ACAGAGAGGCGCTCTCGCGTGTTTTCCTTGTCTGTTGGCTGTAAAGCTTGCCCATGGTTTCCGCACATGTGTAAGCAGACTGACAGCCGTAAGTGTATTCAGTCCAACGGCGTGCTAACTAGCCCCGCCGTCACATTCTATCACTATTCTACATCGAAGTCTGTCTAAATTTGACTGCGCTGGAGCCATTAAAAACCCCCCCAGGGTCCCTTGGCTTCTTTCTTGGGCCCGCCTTTTGTGGGTGGGGAAAAGGTACTCAGCAGAGCGCTTCGATGTAGAATCGTGAAGAAGACCATGCGCGCCTCCAATCCGCAGATGGATTCGAGCATTGCGAAATCATGCCAGCACAATATTAACGAAATCAAGATTTCAATGGTAGTGTGACAATCCATGTTTCGAGTTTTGAATTAACTGCAATTCATACAAGCCTTTTCGGACATGAAGAGGACTTCAAACGCAAGAAATGAATGTCAATGGTTTCTGAAATGAGCAGATGAGTTTCGAAGGTAGCGAGTGCTTCAGCAAGCCTACAAATGTCCATTTCGGAGTCGGTTGAATGTTAGAATGTCAATGATTTCTGAAATGAACGGATGAGTTTCGAAGGTAGCGAGTGCTTCAGCAAGCCTACAAATGTCCAACTCGGAGTCGGTTGAATGTCAATGGTTTCTGAAATGAGCAGATGAGTTTCGAAGGTAGCGAGTGCTTCAGCAAGCTTAGTAAAATGTTCAACTCGGAGTCTGTTCCATTCAATACAATGGTTCTTCACAGGAGTATTTGGCCCATAACCATGATGGTTATGAGCTGGCTGTGGGCTGGTTTCAAGGTGGTTTCAATCAAGAGTGCCGGTCCAATAGCCAGAATTGGGCTATAACCAGCCTTGAAACAAGTCTGTCCGATAACCTGAGACTCGAGTCTGGTAATCAGCACGGTTAGCAACCAGAGTTTCCTGTGCTTGCGGGCTTAGATAGCATCAATCAGCTTTCACTAGCAGCTGGTTTCAACTGATTAGTAAAAGACCAAGAGAAGACCAAGTGACCACAAGTCAATATACCGTACCAGCGTTTAATTTCGTCAGGTTCGACGCCAGATAATTAATTATGAAACGTTCCAGGATTTCGGCAGACCCAACGTTACCTGCTAAAACATACCATTATCGATCCATTACCGCCTGAAATATATTTCTGAAATTTTCGTCAGGCCAAATAATTATTTATTTGTTGACGAAATTAAACGCTGGTACGGTAATGATGATGACCTTTGCGCCAACAAGGTGCAACAAGGGCTGCGAAAACCTCCTGCATACAAGTTCACAAGATTCTGATCCAGCAAGCACGTCTTCATTCGAGCCTAGGCTTCGATAGATCCTGCCGCCTGCCTGCCATTCTGTAGGTGAGAACGTGCCTCCACGTGCCGGTTTCTATGGCGGCAGGGCAAAGGCAAAGCTTTGATTGTTCCGGTTCCTCTATCACCCGGTCAACTGTATTGAAAGATAGTTTTAATAGGCCTTGACTGGCACCGGGTTACCTTCTACCGGTTTGGCTTTCTTTGCTGTTGCTTGCCGGGGCCTGAGGTTGCTCACTCCGGCCACGCACAGGCGGCCGTTCACACCTGGCCAAAGGGCGCAAACACCAGCCAAAATCCTCGTGCGAGCAGAATTTCAAGTCCTTGACATCTCCAGGCATAAAAGTGGTTTACAAGCGCGTGAAAGACGTGCGCCGCTACAAATTTATAAATACCGTATATCGGATGGCTTGACAAAATTGGTAATCCCCGGGCGGTTGTCACAGGGAAGTACCGGGCACACTAAAAACCTAGGATAGAGTGACCGCCACACCCTAATGTCACTGGGAAGTGCCCGGTTGTCACTCGGTTGCCCGCGAGACCCTAATGTCACAGGGAGGGCCCGGTTGCTTTCCGGGCGGTACGCGAGACCCTAATGCTAGTGGACTTGCAGTGCTGGTGGCACCCGGGGCAAGCCGTCGCGAACCACCACCCCACCCCCTCCAATAAGGGGCGCCGCCCTTATGTACTGCAATCCAGACGGTCGCGGCGAGCAACTTTGTGTGTCGACACGGTCGCGTCGAGCACGGTCGATATCGGACCGTGCGTTGCCGATCGGACGGTGCGCGGTGCGACGCCGGTGCTACCAATTTTGTCAGGCGTGCCGTTTTGCACACAACTGACAAATTTGTCGAGCGGCGCGTTATCTACGATATACGGTAATTTAAATTTGTCAGGTGGTTGATTATCGCATGGAAATAAGCCACTTTCCTTACTCGATATCTCAGGTGCCCACAAGTTCGAAACTGCTCCAAATTGGTCACGGATGCTCTCAAAGAGGGCGTCAGTCTACATATATATAGTAGTAGCTGCTCTTTCTGTGACAGTTGAGAGTTGTAGGTCTGATTACAAAATACTTTGCAGCACAACCTCATGACTTGGTCAGCAACTGACAACGGCTTGGGAAACAGGTGTCGTTAGTGAAAATAAAAGTTGAAGTCATCATGAAGCTGGCCGCCCATCTTTGCAGGCCTAAGTCTTTGTCATTTGGCAGCAGTAACTAAACGCTATCGACAGATGGTTGAACTTATGGTATTCTGCAGGGGCCTTCAATCGATGGCTGCCACTGTTCCTAAGAAAGTGACTGACGCCGTCGCTGCGCTACACGATGTTGTATCGTCAATCGAGGGGCATCTCTTGGAGCTCTGGGACTTCAGAAAGGAACTTGATGGAGAGCTACAACCCCTTGAGAGTGCACGACTGAACCTCGCACTTTCAGAATCTGCCACCATCCTTTTCTGCAGTAAGTGCCACCCTTCCACTATCAGTACGTGGAATTCTGCGCACTTAGGGAGCTCAATCTATTTCACGTCGGGGCTTATTGTGATTGTCAAATCTAGGAGATACGGACTTTTCAATTCTGTAAGGCTTTTTCTTACTGGAAAACCCCTCTCCCACTTCTAGAGTTGTCTGGTCTAGTGATTACGACCGGCCTTATCCTCAGTCTTCCCTGCTCGTCTTGATTGCTCCCGCATTCACTTCCCGCACTCACAGGCTGGTGCAATGCATTAGTGGAAATTCTTAGCAGTTGATGCACACGCACGGATAGAGCCTTCATGGCTTCTACAGACTCCTTGAGTACCTTGCTCCTGAATCCGGCTGGATTTTGAATTTTTTGGAATCGAAACTTGAAGACTTCTGCATCGTGCATGTAGTCAGAACCTCAAATGCCTATCGAAAACTTGCACTTTTACAGTGTACCTGAAAACGAGAGGTGTGGGGGACAATGCGAATCCCGTCAAGAAAGAACTAGTAAGTGGCTGTTAAAGCTCAACTGCGACGTCAGCAAGTGCCTCCGGGATCTTTTCTGATTGATTGAATCCTGGTTGCCGCAAACCCCTCCCAAATCTGCTTGTCGTGGCCCTCTTCGATCCGTCCTTGTTGACCAATGAGTTGGCTTCTGTTGGATTTCCGTTTTACATAACCATGATATGGCCGCACATTTCAGCCGGGAAATTGCCTGCTGGTCGTCGGCCCTTTGTACGTTTGTAACATGCGAGTTGGGTCTTTCACGCCCTTTCATTACTCAGAAGTTCCTTGAAAATCAAGGTCTCAGCCGGAGGATAAGCTATGCTCAGCGGCTAAGCTGTGGAGTTTGGATGTTGCGTGAGCAATCTTGTTTCACATGCGAATCGATCTCATGTACAGCGGGACCGAAACATCGGCCCCTTGTTTTGCAGGAACGCTTGCAGCTTTACAAAACAAAAGTGAGTAAAGTGGCCGACAAGCAGAAGGGTAAGTGACTGCCCCCATTGTTTGTGGAAGGCCACCCTTGTCTCCGTAGCTTGTTGGAGTCTAGATCCCATCATCGCTCTCTTTTTGATAGCAAGGTTTGAGTCTACTTGCAGATGCGTCTTCAATCGTGAGCTCCTGCCTTCTCCGAGCATGCTGATCTCCTGATGCTGGGTTCATCGTTGGCCATGACCAACCGAAGAAGGATTGATTCATCCCGTTGACTTCAAAAAGCCTGCATCGCAGACTGTTATAGCCTAAGCTGATTGTCGAACTACTTCACGTCGAACTAAGAAAGAGAATGACGATAAGCATCTTCAGGGAGTACAGGATACCTGCGCTCACTGCGTCATATCTTGCAGGGCCCAAAGCACCTACCGTGAGCCTGAACGTGAGCGCAGCCAATCGTTTCATAGACCACGCCATCCCTGACCTATCCACAGGTTCGTCTACTGATGTCCCGTGAGCATGAGCTGGGTCTCACTCTGTCAAGCAGGTCACTTGAATCACCGAAGCCGTCGAATTGCTTACAATGTCAACATTCTCGCGGCTTTTATGCCGACTCCCTGCATGCGAACTTCTCAAAGTGTGTGCATCATGAGCCATTATTGAATCCGCATCAAATTCTGACTCGGATACTCCTTCTGAAACCTTTGGGAATGGTTGATCGTGGACTTCGTCCAAAGTGGTAGTGGTTTTCGTGCTTCCTAACGGATCAGTGTGACACGGCTGATTGACTAGTGGGGTCGGTGGGTCATGGCGATCGGACTTGCAGACAACCAACGCTGAGCTTTTGCAGAGCAACGACAGCGTCTCCAGCGCAAGGCAGCAGACTGGAAGAGTAAAGGCGAGCAGCAAGGACCTTCGAAACGACAACGCCCATCGGCGGCTGAGTCTGCGAAACTGTTTCTTGAGAAAGCGAAAGCGGAGTTGGAAGGCAAGGTACTCGAAAGCAGGCGAATAGCATAGAGAGGAGGATGTTAATCACCAGGTTGTGTTATTGTTTAAGGTACCATTCTATAAGGCGCTCGCGGGAGCGGCCAAGCAGCCCGACTCAGACAGGTACAGTGGATGTTGGTGGTATTGACCTGCGCACGGCAGCTACTGCACCGCACATGGCTGATTCGAATTACAGTGTATTCTTGCTGAAGAATTTCCTCAAGCTATACAAGATGAAAGTGAAGAGTTTCTGGCGTTATTCTGGCACGTTCTACATTGCACCCGTTTCAAACGTTTGCCTAGTATCTTCCTCCTTCGATACTGATATATGCAGCATGCACGTGGAATTGCCAGGGCCCGTTGCTCATGACTGATTGCTTGATGAGCTTCGAGCTGATGCTCGAATACGTCAGTTGACTTGGCGGCACACTTGTCATGGCGGCATGGTTTTGCGCGCCATCATTCAATTTGACCATGCAATTAACGGTTCGGCCTTTGATATACGGACTGACAATTCCGTATAATGATCACTTACTCTGATTGCAAAGGCCTTACGTTCCGCATCGACCGAAAACTGCTGGGCTCACAAGCTTTGCATCTCCGATCCGCGTACAGATTTGTACACTGCCTCTCTAGCGAAATCCTGTACCAGGTCTGTACATCTCTTGCCACGTGATCGATTGAAGCGTTCTCATTGGTCCGGAGGACCGGAGATGAGCGCTCAGCCATTTTGGCCGACGCGAAACCTTATATGTACTAATATTGAAGTTTGGTAATTCAATATACGAATCTAACACGCGTTCAGGTGGCGCCTTGATTAGTTGCCGCCGCGCGCACATGTAACGCAATGAACGTATACATCTAGCCGCCTAACCCGACGTGCATGAAGCTCTTTTACTAGCATGACGAGTTATGCACGATCTTCCTAATCAACTTTAAAGATGCAAATGATCAGCCGCACGGTGCGAACTAAATGTGGGTTTATAGTTGCTCGGACGTACGTGACGTATTGGACTGAACTCATCTGCCTGGCAGAAACATGCTGCAAACACGATGCAAACGTGGAGCATGTCTGCTCTCCTCAGTGTCCGTCTTTTGAGAATGTGTCCACTGGTATACAATCCGCAAAGCTCGATTCAATGACCTGATGGTAGCGGGAGGTCTTACCCAACCATCGTATCAACTCCCGTACGACTCCGCTCCGCCAGCAGCACGTCCCGTTGCTGCGCGTACCGTAGAAGCCCCTGCTTACCCCCGCTGCCTCGATCATACCCCTTCACGCACAGCACCGCCACAACAGCCTTCCCCGCCCCCCCCGCCAGCTGCGGCCGCTCCGTCAGCCGGTCCGCTTTTTCGCGCAGAGCCTCTACCGCCGTCACGCTGCCCACCTCCGCAAAGTCCCCCACCACTAGCGTGGCCGCTTCCTCACTAACCGCCACGCTGTCAAACTCGAGCGCGCGCTCGCTGTCTTTTACCGCGAGCAGCGACTTCGTCTCCTCCATGCTAGTTCCCCCCCCGCCGTCCCGCGCGAGCTCTGTCAGCGCCGATTGCGCGTCCCGCCACCGCGCGTGCTGCTCCGGGTCCTCGTAGAAAATGCGCGGGGCGGTCGTAAGCGCCGGGAAACGCGCGCCGAGCAGGCGGTCTAACGGGATTGGCGTGCTGCTGTCGTGGCCGGCAGTTTTCACGTGGCTTTGCACTCGCTGCAGATCTAGGTATGTTTCTATTCGGTCGTACCAGCCGTACGGTTGCAGGTCGGCCATGCTCTGGACGAGCCGGCCGCCGGCGGGGGAGCCTGCATAAGCAATGGCAGAAAGGCGGGGTGATGAAAGCGACAGGTTGACGTGGGGGGCGCCTGTGTTGCATGCGCAGATTGATGGTTGAGTGAGATTCTCTAGTAATCTGGAACAAGCAGCTGATGCCAAAGACAACTACCTCATATTCCAGGGAACTCAAATAGAGAATGAACGGTCGAACAAGGTCTCCCCGGTGAGGTGTCTCCATAACTGAGCGGTTGATTCTTGACGACCCCTTGGTCGCAGGATGTCCGCACATACGCAGTGTTTCCCGGCAGCAAGGGCAGAAAACGGACTTGGTCGAGACATCAGATTTTAACAGAGCATCGCTGGTGAAAACAAATACTTTCCTGTTTAGTTTCGTGTGGGGCCAAACATGCTCGTCAAGAAAGAGCTCCGTTGAAATTGAAATCGGATGACCCCACACGAACGCCTGGAGTCTCATCCGGCAAGGGGCAGCTCCTTAAAAACACGTATTGTGAACAGCCCTACATTTGATCAAATCAAGCAAGAGCTATGTAAAGAGCGCCTAGGTGAGGTTGAAATGGAAATGAACATGTGGCGAGAGGCAGTTGAATTGATGTAACTTTGTCGAAATGGAGTCAATGGATACCTGATCAAGTTTGTATTACGACATTGCTTTCTGCAAACAAGGTGAAAGAACCTGAGCACGCTATTCAGAGTGTTTTAACCAGGACTTGACAATCTCTATAGTTTCGGTTTGTTGTCCGTGTAACTTTTTAACCCCCCACCACCTTCGTACATATTCCCCAGGCATATATGGATTTGAAGCCACACCGGTCGCTCAAGGATAAGACGGGAAGGAAGACTAGATAGCACGTACCTGGGGTGATGTCAACGGCATCGGTCCATTGCATAAGGTCCAGTATTTGCCGAATGTCAGCGTCGGACGATATACCAAATTCCATGAAGCTGTTGGTGGGGCGGCAGTCCTCCTCGTACATGCGGAACAGAACCCGTACCTCTGCACCACACCACAAGCTTTTAGTGACCAATGGCGCACGAAAACCCGATCCAAACCTTGTTGGGGCCAACAAGATTGGCTTCGATGGCAAGACTTCTGATACACAAGGCCCCGTGACATCACGTCTGCAACCTTCGCCCTTGGGGTTTGTATCACACCACGTCAACCAGTGACCATGTTCGATTAGCAACTCCCTTGCCTCGTACAACAAGTACAGCCCCCATGAGAGTCCTGGGCAACTAACCAAACTGTCGCTTCTCAGAGTCCCCAGAGAAGACCCTTCACACTACAAAGGTACCCTGCCTTTTGAAAGGGCCAAGAGTGAGAGTAGCAAGATGTACTATGTGGGAAGTACAAACCTTTCTGTGCGCCTGTGCCAGCAGCCCCTGCTGCTGCTTTCGCATCCTGGGCGCATTGCATTCGAGACCCTTTCTGAGTTGCCTGCAACAAAGAGCTAGACCTCATCAGGGTGGCTCAGATTGTCAGAAAGGCCTCGCTTACTGTCTGGTTGTTCAACCTATATGAGGCAAGTGGCAACCATCAAGGGGCAGAGTGCCGCCCCTTGGGGTAAACTCAAGGCAGCCATGATAAACAAAATTGCCTTCAAGGCAATTGTGTTCATCGAGGCATGCCCCCTGGATCGAGGGCCTATGAAGCAAGCAATGAGTCACTGAGGTTATGTTAGCCCCATATGCATCCCTGGCGATGATGTGCTTACCCCAGCTGCACTAGTTCCCCAAAAATCTTTTGAGAAGTGGCCCCCCCTGAATCGACAACAGCCACAGCTGTGCTGCGGGGGCAAGAGGAGAACACTGTTTCAGGTATGGGGTACCGAGGATGAGAGATGACCACTTCAATTGCCTGTGTCTGAAGCATCATATCGCTCTTATGATGCCACCACCATTTTCTTGAGTTGAGAACGGGGGGCATTGGACCAATGTTGACCACCCACAAAGGCAGCATTGTAGGCCCAAAAGCCCCACCATCAGCTCATGAAGTAAGTACTTACATTGGACGAATGAAAGAACGCTTAAATGAATGAACGAAACGAAACAGATTGACCGCTTGCTGTAAGTGCACAGCTTTGCGACTCTCAGGCAGGGACGTACCTGCCGCCATGTCGTGCTGCTTGATGCCTGCAGCAATTGGAGAATCTCAACGTACGGGCCCGCAATGTGGCCCCTTGTTCCTCCAGGAATCCTCTTGCCCTTGCGGTGATGCAAGGGCACAATGGCTTGAAAGGAGAGAGACTGCATGCTCTGCATTCCGATTGCTGCCGTGGGCCCCATATTTCTGCGCAACGTACCAACCTCCTGTTTCGAAGTCCACATTCTGGCCCCAGGCCATTGCTCTGGCCGGAGAGAGCCACTTTCCAATCTCGTTCGTGGTCGCTGCAAACAGGCGTAAATGTCGCTTTTGATAGACTATTTTGCGGCGACCCAGCGATCAGCAAAGTCTTACAATGCAGGTCGACTTGGAAATGCAGAGTGACATGGCTTTGCACGCAGAGCTGCAGTCTTTTGGCCTGTGTTGGTGAGAGCGCACGACTGATCATAGGGTGGTCACATTTGAGGTCGCGACGACCCTTGGGGCCGGAATTCCGACCCTCGGGGTGGAAATTCCACCCTCGGGGCGGGATTTCCACCCTAAGGTTCGGGGTCGCAACATTTCTAGGGTGGGGGCGACCGATCCCGGACCTCCGAAAAAGTTTGTAGGGTGGGTTTGCACAATATACCGTCGCGACTCGAGACCGCACAAAGCGGAAAGTTCTAGCCGTCCGGTGGAGTGGCCCCAAATGCAAATACGACCAAAGTGGGTTTCTAGGGTCGGTGCGCACCCTTGGGGTCGGTGCGCCGGTTTTCCGAGGATACAAATGTGACCACCCTAGCCCTGAGCCAGGGGATCCGCATTGCATGGATCAATGGCTGCTGGGGCTCCTGCAGCTTCCTCTTCCGCCTTCCTTCTGCAGTGCTAATCGAGCTTAGGCGGCCGCGTGTGGTGAGTGCTGGTGTCCTTGCGCCTGGAGTGCTGTCTTCTTGTTATTGCCCAATCTGCTCCCAAGTTTGCGTCTTCTAGGAAGGGGGCCCTGCAGCCCTCCGATTGCTGGGCTTTGTCTGGGATCTTGCAAACTTATAGCTTGTGATGGACCAATTCTTTCCCATAGCCCGCTTTATGTCTCCTTATGAGTGCCACCGCTCTTTGCTTGCCAAGTGACCTTAAAAGTGCGTCACCTCTCAATTCATTGCCTAAGAGTAATATCAAGGCTTCAGGGCATCACTGCTGGAAATTCTCGGCGTTGACATTGACTTAGCCACCGTAAATGCATGTTGCAAATGGGGTGCTGCCTAACCAGCTCCAATTCGTGAGCATTGACCCACAATTCGTTCAACTTGCGGGTAAATATATTGCTCCGGGGGCATCCTTGAAGCCCTGCTCTCTTGTTGCAATCGGTGCACCACTATTGATGGTAATATGTCCTGGTAATACCCTTTTGACCACTGCCACATTCACAATTCCTCCTGCCTCCAATCACTTTGGACAAACAAAGTTCTCAACCTGCGCGTCTGCAGCGGGATTAAGCCAGGTAATCGGTGAACGCCACGCCGTGTGCTACGGGTGGTCATGGCCCCAAAAAGCGCCAAGGACAAGGCGGCCCGCGAGGACGCCGCGAAAGAAGCGGCGGAGGCGCGCTACAAGCAGTGGAAGCGGCTTGTGCCGGTGCTGTATGATTCCTTCACCAACAACAACTTGGTCTGGCCCTCCCTCAGCTGCAGGTCAGCGCCGGCTTGCCTTCCGTCATGTTAAGAACAGTTGCCTGCTTGTTTCTTCTTTCAAGCTGCTCCTTTTACGCTGGCATACACCTTTTGTCATTGTAATTCTATGTGTTCAAGCATTCGAGCGTGATACTGAACGACCAGGATAATCTGCCCCTTCAGAACGTAGTTTCTTTAGCAGATAAGTCCTTTGTTAAACTCATCTTCCCCAACTCTGTGAAAGGTTGACGTCTCAAACCTGCTGTAATTGGAGGCTCAAGGGCACCACCTTGACTGGGACTGAAGTGAGTGCTACCGTTTTCCACATCCGCATGGCTATGTACCTGAAACAATCTGAGGTGTCATTAATGTTTGGTATTTCTGCAAGCCCGCAGCCGTCATCTTTCCGCTGTGATATTACCTGTTTGCAATGCTTCAGATGGGGTCCCCAAGTGGAGAACTACACATACAAGGTCAAGCAGAGGGCCTACCTGTCAGAACAGGTGAGTTACTCCGCCTGCAGAGCACCAATCCTTACAGGGATTGTCATGATTGTCATGCTGACAACTAATCCTTCCTCTTCGTGTGATGGATTTGTAACTCCGAAACCAACAAACGAGCAGCGAGTGTGTTCTGGATGAGGTTCAGAAGAAAAGTTTTGTAAATTCCAGAATTGCTGGCGGTTGAAATGTTCCTCTTGCGGCAAAAGGACTCATTCTGACTGCTTGCGACACAGCGCCTCTCGAGGCTCCTGCCTTGCTTCAGAAGCATCTCTAGCAATGTGGAGCCGGGACCCAATCTTGATTGGCACAGACGAGTCCCACGCTATGCTCAAGCTCAGATGCTCCTGGATCAAGCCTCAAGTGGGCGTCGGGAAATGCATACCCACTTCAAGCAATCTTTGATGCCATGACAGCCAAAGTGGCTGTCCTATCTAGAGTATTCTGATGGAGGAGACTTGGACCTCTCAAAAATGCACACCTCAAGTTTTGCGATCCAACACCACGTTCTTCATCGATTGCAGACGGATGGCAGCGTGCCCAACACGCTGGTTGTCGCGAACGTGGAGATTCCGCGGCCGCACGTGGCGGACGCAGAGTCGATGCAGAGCTTCAACTACGATGCACGCTCCCCGCTCGTCAAGAAGTACAAGACCATCATCCATCCTGGGGAGGTAGGCAGGCCCTCATAGACCAGACTCCAATCTGTTGAAGCAAAAGTTGCTTGACTGTAGAGTGGACTCATCCTATTAGAGACTCTAAGTGGTTCCGGTACAATCAGCGGTTTACACAGGGCTTGAATGTCATCCGGGTCGTAATCGAGTCAGGTTGAGCTTAAAACTCAGGTTGATCGTTTTCAACTTTTCGACTTTCTTTCTCAAAGCATCAGGGGCATGCCGTTAACCATCGGGGCGTGCACAAGTTCGGAGTGTGGCCAGGCTGACAAGCCAATCGCCCGTATTTCTAGCAGGCATAGGTTAGCTGAAATCCAAGCACGGCTTTTTGTCCCTTTCTTGTTGCTTGTTCTGACAATCGACCCTCCGCTGTGCCAGGTGAACCGGATCCGCGAGTACCCAGAAGCGCAGAACATTGTCGCGACACACTCTGACAGCCCCATGGTGAGGCATCCCGTTCCTTGCCCGCAACATATCCCACTTCCCAATGAGTCCACTTGTGGGAGATTGTTTATTGTTCCACATCGAATGCCAGGGAGTGGGGGTGCGTCGCCAAACGGCTCCTAGACATCGGAATTGTGCGTTGCCGCACGTTGGGAGGGAGACCTCCGGAAGCCTCCTGTGCATTGCCTGGGCTCCGACCGGTTGCCGTCTTCGGACTCAAGCTGTCATTGGCTCCAGGATTGGGACAGAGACTGAAATGTGCTGAACGGATTCGCATTTGCCACATCCTGAGCATAACCAGAGCCTTACTAAACAGCGTCGGAATCAGGAAATCTGCAACGGTTGGGCTCTTGGAGGATCGAGCAGTGCGCAGCCACGTTCTCAGCTTGCCTAGGGGCCAGCACGGCTCGACAACTTAAATTTTAAGTCACTAATCTGTTCCCGACCTCCCAGAATTGCAAACTCACTAATCCGTCGTTCCTCCTAAGCTGCCAACCCATGATATCCGGCCCGAGTTTCTCAAACCTCCAATACGATCAAATCACTCTTGTTTCAAATAGCGTGCAGACCAAAGCAGGCCTGCCTGGAAATGCTGTATTTATTCGCTGCGATCTCCTTTGCATCGTCGCTCTTGGCTCACCGACTGTGGCGCGCGCGTGCAGGTGTACGTTTGGAATGTCGACACGCAGCCGGAGCGTGGCGCGGACGCCAAGGTCGCGGGCAGCGCAGCCAGCGTGCCGGACCTCCAGCTGACGGGGCATAAACAGTTTGCGGAGTTTGCGCTCGCGTTCCACCCCAAGGAGCCGCGGCTCATCAGCGGGGGTGAGTATCGCTGCAACTTTTACGGGGCCGCTGCAAACTCTGGGTTATTCAGCGGCATTCTGAGTGTGCTCCGATCGCCGACACAGTGACGGTTTTTGAAAGGCGGGTATCTGCAGAGCCCGTGACGCAGATGCCTTTGGAAGTCGTCTCACTTGGCCTGACTTCGTCCTTTTGAGTCCGATCTGGCAGTGCACAAAACAATACCGTTTTCTGCCCCTTTCCTTTGTGTGTGGCATGGACACCGAAAGCGGCAGTGTGTCGGTTGAGCCGGGAGGTCGCACGTTGTTTATGTGCTTCGTCTTTGAAGCGGCAAACGAAGTTTCAGTTTTCTCATCGAACATTTGATCCGCTTTTGTGCAAGGTCCTGCGGCACTTTGCCAGGCATGTCACCTTTTTATCCGTCCAAAGATTTGACATTGCTGGATCTTAGCAACTCCAACCGTACACTTTGGGCGAGGCGCATTGATTCTACGGATGCTGACTGCTACTCACCCTGCCTGCAGGCCGAGACGGAGAAGTCCTTTTGTGGCACCTCGCGGACCAGATGACGTCACTCGCAAGCACCTCAGCAGAGGCGCCCCCTGCGGACGGCGGCGGCGCCGGCCGCAAGAGCGTCAACAGCGGGGGGCTGGGCGGGCTGGACGGGGACACCCCCACAAAGGCGACAGAGGTGGCGGAGCGCGGTCGGTTTCCAGGGCACACCGACACGATTGAGGACGTCGTGTTCCGGCCCAGCAGCGGGGACGAGTTCTGCAGCGTGGGGGACGACGCGGCAATCATCTTTTGGGACGCGCGGCAGGAGGGGGGCAAGCCGGCGGCCAAGGTGAGGATTGTGGGACCGTTTGAGGTTTCACCAGATACGATCATCCATAAAGTTGCTCTTAAGGAAGATTATTATCAAAGCCGGTCAAGCAACGATGCAGCGCCCATCTTTTGTTACTCGCAGCATGAGGGGAGGCAAATCCGCAGACAAGGTGAGAAACTGATCAACTGATGCAGTGCACAATATCAACAATGTAAAGCCAGTGAAAGATACTCAAGACAGTACTGGGCTGGGTGGGTTAGATGAGGGTAAGGGTGGGTGCAGGTGTGGATCGAGCAGACTTTCGATTTATCAATTCTGTTAAGTTCGAGGGCTAATCCGGTTAATATTTTCGTGGTTTCAAGGCTATGACGATGCCGCAGTCGGTCGGGGCTTCACCTACTGTGTCAGTCGGCTATCATCTCGGCTCTGTCACGTGGCTAGGTCTTGGAAAGAGGCTTCCACCCGGTGTCTCCAAGGTGAAGCAAAGCTTCAACTCTTTGAGTGCTCTGTCTTGGCTGACGTTGTGGTAAAGTGCCACGTGGCATTGACTTTCACGACATGGACTAGAGTCGGCGTGATGACCACCTCGTGCTGTTCTGTGGCCCTGAACTTTCAAATCAAGACCCTCGGGAACAGCTTCAAAACGGGCAGGTGGCGGCGCCGCACAATTACTACATCTACTGCGTGGACGGGGGCGCAAAGGACGATCATCAGGTACTAACGACTGGCTCCAGGTTTTGACGTTCTAAGTTGTCGAAACTTCCATCTTTTCCACTCTCTGATGACTTAACCTCCGCAGGTGGCGTCAGCGCATGATGACGACATCCACTGCGTGGACTGGAGCGCGGAGGACGAGCACGCGGTGCTGACGGGCGGGGCAGACCACAGCGTGCGCCTGTTCGACCGGCGCAAGCTCGCGGCGAAGGGCAAAGCCGCGGTTGTCGCCACGTTTGCGGCGCACACAGCAGCCATTTTGAATGTTCAGTGGTGTCCGCATCGGAAGGGCGTGTTTGCGAGCGGGGGGGAGGATGGTCTGGTCATGGTGTGGGATGCGGAGAGGGCGGGCGCGGCGCAGAACGGCAGCGGGAACGGGCGGCAGCCGCCGGAGCTCATGTTCCAGCACGCAGGCCATCGGTGAGGAAAGGGGTCTCCAGTCCCCTTGAAAAAGTCCTAAGACTGTGCTTTGAGGTATTGCTTTGCGGTTGGTAACCAAGATCAGGCGATTCATCACGTTATAAGTAGTTTTGATGAAGGCGATCGAAAGCTGAACGCTTTCAATACTCGTTCAGAAGTCGCTAGGAAAGGCTTAAAGTTAATGTCCAAAGGTTATCAAGCGCGGGCTCTTCACGAGGACTTCAACGGCGTCTTCAGGAAAAGGGATGTCTGCTAAAGTGTGCAAGGAGCCGCTATTCTCAGGTCTCCCGTTTGGCCAAGGCCTGGTGAGCTGTGCTTCAAGCAGGGATCGGCTGGTCCTTCCCACATCTGCTCTTGTCCACAGGTCAACCAGGTCCGTTCGTTGTGCTGCTGTCAAAACCTGATCGTCAAGGCCTTCCTTTCGAAAGCCCTTCATGATCTGAAGCCACTTGTATATAGCCACGCTTTGGAATGGGCTTTTCTGAACAGCCCAAGTCTTCACATGATCAAATACTGATTGAGTGAAGGATGCTGCGTGCAGGGACAAGGTGGTTGACTTCCAGTGGAACACGGCGGACCCGTGGACCATCCTGAGCGTCAGCGATGACATCAGCTTTGCCGGGGGGGGTGGCGCACTGCAGGTGAGCGCGCCCCCTGTCCCAGCGACCACAACTTGACCAAAGCCTGGACTATGTGACAATCTTTTGGACGACGCATACCGAGTCTCAAGCCAGGACGCCGCAGAGCCGGACCTTAAAAAAGGAAAAGCATGCGGGGCTGCTTAGCCGTCTCAAGTTGAATTTGCGAGAGCATACCAATCTTGTAGTCAAGGTACAGGCGATCAGAGGTGCAAGTCTGGCGCACGAGCGATCATCGCCGTATTGCTTCACACTTGTGAGTCGATCGGACGGAGCCTAGAAGTGCACAGCCTAGAAGTCATCACGCCTGGGGCGGCGTGATGACGTTTCCGTGCACATTTGGCGTGATTTTCCCTCCTTCTTCTCCAGAAGATCTGATCAACAGTAGTCAGTTCTTGCAGAGACGTATTCTCCCATTTTGGTGCAGATTTGGCGTGAACGATCTCATTTCCCTCATTATTTTCCAGAGAATCTGATCAAGAGTAGTCAAGGCCGAAACACTGTTTCACCGTGGCATTTTGGCGCAGATTTGGCGCATGAACGACCTGATCTACAAGCCTGAGGAGGAGGCCCTGGGCGAGCTCAAGCGCCACCGCGACTACGTCACTGGGAAGACCAACCGCGTGCCCGACAAGGCCCCAAAGACTGCGGGTGAGCCTGCTAACCCCTTGCAATCCAAGTGACTGTGCTATCGCCCCTTCTGCTGCTTTCCGCAAAAGTTAGCCCCTTGCACTTGAAATTGACTGTGCTATCGCCCCTTCTGCTGCTTTCCGCAAACGTTGGTGACGTTGCTTCTGCGAATCGCAAGTCTCACATAGTGGAGGAAGACTGTCTGCCTAACGAGGGGGTAAAACACCTTTGTAACGAGGGTTAAGTTGCGGATTAGCGAGGGATCAGGCTGCTGGTGAGGGAGGGACTAAGGTTTGGTTGACAAGAGGTTGAGTTCTGGATAGCGACGGTGGAACTTCTGTATAGCGAGGAGTGGGACTCTCGGATTCTAAGGGTTGAGCATTTATCGAGACTGAGCTGATAGTTGACGAGCAGTCAACGGCCGGTGCCCTCGATCAGATTGGTGATCTGGCCCGTGGTCTGAACAAGAGGATTGCCCACACTGTATTGCTCAAGTCTTCAGAATTTGCAAAAGCGACAAGGACAGGGCCTTTGGGGAGCATAATTCATAAGTTTTCGGATTGCTTCGATTGCAGAAGTTCCTCCAAAACTAGAAGAACCAACGGACATGGATACGGAAGCTAAGACGGAAGCTAAGACGGAAGATAAGACGGAAGGTAAGACGGAGGATAAGACGGAAGCAGAGCCCAAGCAAACAGCGGAGGAAGCGGACATTGAAGAGGCTTCGGAAGCCAAACCGGAAACGGATTCAAAGGCGGCAGAGACAGCGGAGACGCCTGCAGAGACGGCAGAGGAGGTTCGAAAAGAACCAGAGGTCGCAACGCAAGAAGGACCCGCAGATGAAGGGAACAACGCGGGGGAAAGTACGGAGCAACTAGAGGAGAGGCTCCCGAGTGCGGAGGCAGCTGAGGCGCCGGTTGACGGCGCTGCGAACGGAGCGGAGAACCGAGGAGGAAACGAGGGAGAGAAAGAGGGAGGAAACGAGGAACAAAACGAGGAACAAAACGAGGGACAAAACGAGGGGGTTCAAGAGGAAGGAAACGAGAGAGAAAGGGATGGGGGGGAAGCGGATGACACAATGGAAGTAACTGCGAGCGGAGCAGAAGAGGCGCATGAAGAGAAAGGCGAGGTCGCTGCAGGAGGCGGTGACGTGGACATGGCGGAAGCACCGAGGGAGCTGGAAGAGCCATATTATCCTGAGGCAGAGGAGGAGCGTGCCTCAGAAGGTGCAGGGAAAAAGGAGGGGACCGATGGCGTCGTGCAAGGATGATTGGACATTTTGGGGTACTCCGATTCTCTGCCGGCTCTATTATTTGACCGGGCGTTCACAATTATCGATGCTGACAGATCCTGTAAGAGACGTCAATGAAGAGCATGAGTGGTCGCAAGAGGCTGCTTGATCGGTCATAAATCGCGTCTAATCTGACTCCTCATCGGAAGCCATTTTTTCTGATTCTTGAATCTGGTCACACTGAGGAGTTTGTCGGGATGTATGAAACATGTGTCTCATGTATTGTGTACGGTAGCGGCCTGGCTTAAGTCTTTGATTACCAAGTTCGCATGCATGTTTCAGGGCGTTAACGAACAACTCAAAACGGAAGTTATGATCATTGACCCGATACACCGCGAGCCGACAATTCTTAGATACGCTACAAGGTCGGACTGCAAAAGGCATATCAACGGCAGTGACGTACTGAGTACAGCTAGCACGCGATTAGCAATCGCAGCTTAAGCTTGTAATCGAGTCATCTGTTGCGGCAGACCAAGCGGCAATGCATATGCAGCTGCAGTCGATCGAATCCGCCGGGTCAGTGCATGCCAGTGATCATCGATCGCCGCGGTTGCCAAGCTACATTGAAAGTACGTGTGCGAGTGGCCGCGTAGCTTGCATAGGCGTGCGGGGTTGCATCGGTCACGCGGCCGCTGTTGGTTGATGCACTGATGTGGACTCGGGCCGCCTCACAAGCAGCTAATCGCTCTCGATCCAAATCAACCGAACTGATTGAGGCATGCGGATCGATCTCATCCAATTTGACGGCAGAAACACATGCTGCTGGTGTGATGTACGTATATGCGCCGCTTCCGCGCCGTGATGGATCATGACGTACCCTAAACCGTCGGACGCAAACTCAACGCTCAGTACAGTGAGAGCTTCTGCTTGCTGAGCACATGTTATTCAACGACGCTTTCTCACCAAAGATAGGGACAGAAGCAACGGCTGTTAAACGCGCGCAGTTATCATACAAATCCGGCCTACAAATCAGTGCACCTGCAAGAACCCGGCAACGTCCTTGACAAACTCCCCGGCGATGACGATCCCGGCAGCGCCCATTATGAGCGACAGCGTCACCTTTCCCCCTGGGATGATGGGTTTCACAGCCGGCGTCATGCATGCGTCAGTGTATCGTTCCGCCCATGCCATGGCGCCCGGGAAGAGACCAAACAGCACCAAAACTGCAAGGAGGAGCTGCGTTTCAGGGTCAGAGGTTGTCGCTTTTGCGGATTGCAAACGGATTGTATGAACGACGTTGCGGCACCATACAACATTCTGAAAGCCGTTCGTACCCGGCAGTAAATCCTACCCACGGATGCTCTCAAAACGTACCTCTCGAAGACTAATTGACAAAACGTACGCAATGAGAAAAGTACCATTTGAGAAGCGTACTTTCTCTGCAACGGGGGATTTTGGGAGAGCTCTATATTTATTTGGGAGCTATGCTACTGTATAAGTGGTCTCCTGACGTTGCCCCTCTAACTTTGTTCGTACTGTTTGAGAAATAGAATTCTTTTCAAATCGTACTTTTTGACTTTAAAAGTGAAATCAGAAGGCACTTTCAAACCTTACTCTAAAGCGGGGGATTCCAGCGGATTCGAATCGTTTCGGCAGCCCTCAAAGCACGGACAGGAGGCCTTTAAGTAGTGGAACGGTTCCCCGGTCTGCATAATAGCTGCAGCAGCTGACAATGAAAAGCGGAACGGTGAAATAGGACGCATCATGACAATAAAGGCCGAACAGCATTTAAAAGCAAAGACTTACCACCATAAGCGCCCGCAAAGTCGAGCGCCTTATAGAAGATCTCCGGGTTCGTCAGCGCGAGCGCGTATGGCGGTATAAGCGTTAAAAGGTATGGGAGCGGACGCCGTTTTTCTTGTCCGGACGGCAGCTTGAGCAGGTCCGCAAGGAAGTCGGACAGTCCGAGCACGAAGCCGATGAAGGACGTGCCGATCGCGAAGAACGAAAAGATCTCGACGGCGGGCTGCATAAGCAGGCGACAAGCATAAGCTATGACACGCGATCGAGAGATCTCAACGGCGGGCTGCATAAGCAAGCGGCAAGAATTAAGCTGCTAGTCTATCTGAGTTAGAAGTTCTACTTCGGGTGATGAGTACGAAGTACGAAAGAGTTCCGAGTGCAATTCACGACAGAGGTCCGAGTACGGATTGCGAGAGAGATACGCTCAGAAAAAGACGGGATGAAAGAGCGGACTGCACAAGCGGGCGGATGGACCATAAGCTTGCAGCGCGGAGGTGATTGTAGTACACTACTTGTATAAAGGTAGTTTGTGATTGTAGTTTTATTGTATTTTGCTTGTACTTAGTTTGTGATTGTACTTTGATGATCTTTAAAGGCGGCGAAGCGAAGCTCCCCACTGGACGTGACCGGAGCGCTTTGAGAAAGTAACTGGAGCCGGAGCAGAGGGCCCCTTCTAACCAACCAGCGAAAGGAGATGGTAACCAAGGAAAGTCGTCGTTAAGCAAAAACGGTATGTAGGAAAATCGTCATTTGAGAAAACATCTTCCTTGTACGAAAACGTTCCCAACGATCATGCTCACGAACGGTCGACGACAAGCGTCTAGGTTCATTGAACCACCGCAGAGGGAATTGTTTTTAGCGCTACCAAGGCGGGAAAAGTGCACGGAGACTTACCCCGACCGCGCCGCTCTCGCAGCTGCAGCAGGGGAACTGTAGCCGACATACTCTGGGCGGGCCGCGACGATACACGTGACAACCACAAATGAGATATGTAAAAGTTTGCCACCCCGGTGTCAATTGCTCAAGCGGGGCAAGAAGCTCAGGCTCAAAGTAAAATCGAAGAGCGCCCGGGGACTTACCCCAACCGCGCCGCTCGACTCGCCGCAGCAGGTTTTACTGCCGCCATACTCTGAGGCGGCACGCTGTGAAAAACCTGTCGTTCGCAGATATGCTATGGAACAATTCGCCACCCCGGTGTCAAATGCTCAAGCGGAGCACGAAGCTTAGGCTTAACACAAAACACGAAGAGCGCCCGGAGACTTACCCCGACCGCTCCGCTCGACTCGCGCAGCCGCAGCAGGGGGTCCATTGCCGCCATGCTCTGGGCGGCCCCCGGGACCGCAGCGGGAACGCTCCCCAGAATGACGGCGTCCCATAAGAGAAACATGGTGAGGGGGATGGCGGTCCCGTACATGATTGCGGTCCTGATAACTTATCGAAGTGCAGATGAGTTCTTTGTTGGTGAGTTGATGGAAACTTTGACGAAATTCAAGGGCTGTTTGTAACTGAATTAAAATTAAGGACAGGATCAAGGTGAGGAGCGGTTTGTCGAAACTTTCTCTCAAAAAATGCCTTTCAACTTAAATGCTTCCTGGATGATGGCGTCCCATAGTAGAAACATGGCGAGGGGGATGGCTGCTCCATATACAATGGCGGTCCTGAGGACGACCAGATGTCAAGTGTGAGTAAGTTGGTAATTTTGTGAAGCAACTTGGAATCTGACCCCTGCTTCAGTCTGAATTGATTGGAGGGTGCGAGGAAGCTGAGCCGCGGTTGGAAGCAGCGCTTATGACAGCTGATGACCTGTAATCAGCCCTTGAGTTGGACGCTACCCCGTGATGCAAATTTTATCGGTACAGGTAGAAGTCATTTTTTTGCGGGTTTCCAATGGAGGAGAAGGGGGGGTGCTTAGCGAGGTCTGCGGATGGGTCTGTGTTAAAGAGGGCGTCAGACTTCATATACCAGCCCGAGCGGTGAATTTCTGAACCAACTTGGGAGGCACGGAAAATCTAGCACAACTGGGGAGTGCGCTCAATTTTCTCCATGAAGTCGAGCGACCGAAACTCGGTCGGAATAACTTTTTCCCTTTTTCGGGTCGGGCTCACACCAGATTTTCAAATTCGACGTCACACGGGCAGAATTGCCACGCGATCGAAACCCACCGTACACCGGCTGACGTCAGAGGGGACCGGTCCCCCGACGCCCTCTTTAAGTTCAGCCGCTGGAGGCAGGCCTTCAAAAGCGAGCCGGAAGTCTTTGGGACTTTACTTGAACGGAAAATGTCCGTTATAGGCACTGTCCAAAAGTATGCGCGCGCGCGCATCAGCGTCCGAAGAGTGCACACGAGTGTCCGTACACGAGGAGCGTCCGAGAGGGGCTGTGTCCGCACCTGATTTTGGGGAGGTCGCCTTCGAGTTCCGAGGAGATGACTGGGACGACGTTTTGGTAGACGAAGGAAAGGGCGACGATGGGGATGCTTGCGGGGACGGCGGACCAATTGGCCTGCGGAAAAGAGTTTGCTTCCATCATATCAATCTCTTCAGCAGAATAATCAACATGTATAGCAACAAAAAGTCGAGAGAAGTAATTTCTTCTGGGAGCAAAGGACCCTCACGGGAATTGAGATCTATCAACTTGTGCTTCCGAAACTTTTGCCGACAGCTGCAGAAATAAGAAGGTCGTACACCTTGCGGTTCGTCTCGTCCTTTCAGAAGCTCATATCCTTAAGCCCAAAGCAAAGGATATGTAAAGAGGGAGAAAGTGACTTGGTCAGGCACAGAAAGCTTCCAAAAGCTCACATTCGTAATCACAAAGCGAAGAAGCAGCACAGAGGGAGAGTGAGAACAGGTAAGACAAAGAGAGAGATAAAGAAGTAAAGTAGTATTATCAAATATCCCCCACCTTGAGGAGTGATGCTGGTTCTACCTCAGGAGCCGCGATCCCAACCAAAGTGGCGAAGCTCGCGAGAATGGCGGCGATAAGAAAGCCGTTCACGTATCCGAGCGTTTTCTGCAGGGCGCAAGAAGAAAGGTCGATCGGCCCGGATTCTGACGGCGAGCTCGGTTGAAACGGGTCTTAGAGGGCAGTGCCACCTTGACACGTGGCATGCGCTTGTGTGGCCAATCAGAGCTCGACGCAATCAATTGCAGTGACCTTTCGACCTTTCAAATTTGTGCGTCGATTGCAACTGTCCAAGCAGTTGCTTTGGGTGGCTTGATCTCCGCCCAACATCAGAAGATTTTCCAACGGGTTTCCAGAAGGGACGGAGAGCAGGGATTCAAGATATGCCACGTGGCGACGTCTCTGAGGCAGTGAATACGGTTGAACTCAAAGAATGATGTTTATATGCCAAGATAATTATAAGGTATCCGCGCTGGGACGACTAGGGTTAGGGTTTAGGGTGGGTATGGGTGCGAAGAAGGTACTTTTTGGGTTAGGATTCTTAAGGTTAGTCGGAGCTTATTAGTGTCATTGCTCAATAAATGATATCTTTAACTGAGTTTTATACGGGCAACCTACTTGGCTAGAGAAGTAAGTGATGGCGCCGAATGCGGCGGTGAAGGCGGCTGCCGAGACGGGGAGCGGCAGGCCGGTAAAGTTCGTGATGATGTCACCCGACCGCGCCACGTAAGCCACCAACAGAGCGTAGTGGATGAATATGTAGGTACCTGTTTCAAAGGAGAATTGCAGTAAAACGGGTCGCTCCCGAGGAAGCTGCTCTTCTGCTCATGTAACCGGAATGGGTCAACCGATCTGGATTTTATCATTCATAAGGCCGCAATTGAGTTCGTGGGATGGAGGATCGTGCATCTTTCAACCTGGTCACTCGTGGTTTGACAGCCTCGTCTGAGCTCTGGAGAAAGCGCGTGCTTGATCGATCGATGATGTGTTTTTTGGGAAGAAAGGCAATAACTCCACGAGCCGAAGAGCCGAGAACATTGCCCGACGACTGAGAACGATGATGGAGACGGAAATAATAGTCCCTGCGTTTGACCAAGTCCCACTCATTCTGTGATCTGGTAATGTGTTCAGCACCCTACCTACTGCAACCCGCACCCCGGCCTTCCCGAGCGTTCTTTCCGCCATCGAAACGAGGGAGACGCCTCCGGATCCTGGCAGGAACGAAGCAGTATCAAAATCAGCAACTGTTATTTGGTAGCTGCATGGAGTACTCTTGCCAGTCCAGGCACGACTGAGATCACTGTGTCGGCAGACTGCCCCACGAGAACGACCAAATGATCGATGACAGAGATAAAGAATTGCGGGTGAGCCTTTGTAAGCCTTCTACCCAAGCTGCAAGTGCTTAAAGGTGGGTCAAGAACGACTAGGATTGCAAGTCTCGAGCACTTGATCAGACTGACAACATTAACTCCGATTATGTGTGCGCACGTTCCAGAATTGCGTTGGAAGTCCTTCTTCTGCCGCAATGCCCAACGAAACAGCTCCTTAGACCAATGGTTACATTACTTTCAGAAGCTTCTCCGGGATGGAGCAAGAGTAGGCGCTCTCACCTAGTTCACACATCGTGTTGATGTTTACCTCTGCTACAAGGATCCCTGTTGTCGCCTGCGAAGGAAACACGCATGAGCATCACTAGTAATTTGCAACCCAAGGGCTTCCAAACAATCTTCGATGACTCTCCATATCATCAATTGACAAGCTCAGATCCATCAGGCAATAAGCGGAAGCTTAGCATTGACTTTCAAGTACTACAGTGGTGCCTCGGATATGGACGTATCTAAAGGAGGCCTTAGCTGTGTCACATAGAAGTCTGGCGGGATTTGCTGCGGCCAACTGTTGTGTGACCTCAATCTGATCAGAACGTCAATGAAAAGTGGCCTTGAACAAGTATATGTATAAGTGTGGCGCGTGTGTGTTGATCGTCCTCCGAAACCCGAGTCGCTTGAAGATCTGCTGGTCGGAAGCAGGCGACGGTGATGACTGACAGACTGGTTTCGCCTTCTTTCGGAAAGAAAGAAGGCAAGAAAAAGAGAGAGTGGCGGTCCTAGTTCTTCTCCTCGCAAGCTGAGAACAGTGCGGGCGTCATCCAAGACCCCCTTTTCAAGGGTCTTTGGAACAAGATTCTTAAAGAAAGGGCCCCTTCTCGACTGAAACATCGACTCCTGTGTTCTCACCATGTATGCCCAGCACCCAACACAAGCAAAAGCGGATGCAAGGAAACCCGCATCCTGCGTAACTGCAGGAATGGCCAAGATGCCTGCTCCCACCTGAACGGAGATAAGGGTGAAAGGTCCGCTCCAATCAGAAAGATAATTGGATGTTTCTTAGATATGTCCTCATACCATACCAGTGCAGGGAATTGACAATAGCACAGATCACAGCTCAGAAGTTTGTTTGATCTGGGCTTTGCCCTGGTAAACAACGAGGTATTGCTCCTACAGAGCGCAGCGTTCGCTTGTGTTCGCTGGCTTGCATTGAAGATTGGCAGGAGCAACATGTACTTCATGAGGAAGTGAGAACTAACCCCGAGTTGGATTATGCAGCCGCAGATAGCATCAAGCATGAGCTTCGAGAAACAAGTGGAGTTCACTTTGACCTGAATCTTCAGAGCGCCACCAAAAAGCGCAGAGTTTTCTTGATGTAGCAATTCACACTAGCATTGCACCAAATCTCCCCATACTTCCTCACTAAGAGCTTCTCACCAATTCAGTCACCGTTTCTCCTCCAGTCCAAAAGATTTCCCTTAGCTATCAAGCAAAAACCAGTTAGAAACCAATCTGGGCTTCAGGTAAACAAAGCCTTCTCTCATTAGACTCTTGGGCCCTTGAATTCTAAATGAACGGCCCGTTGTTGTCAAAGTAAACGTCTTTCTTCATAAAAGAAAGTGCCTATTCTCACCGTCGTCCCCGCCACCAGAAGTATTGCCCCCACCAGGCTCCCAGGCTCATGCCTCAGCGTCCCTCCATTCACATTTGACCACAGCCTCGCAGACACACTTCTCCCTTCAGCTTTTTCGCTCTTCCCGTCGCTGCTCTCAATCAGCTGATCAATTTCCGAGGTGGATGCGTCATTCTCTGCTTCAGTCACAGTTGGATTGGATCTGCTTGGAGCCGTATCTCTCACGGCGAGCTCAATGTCTTGTTCTTTTTCCGTGACCCCATTGCGGCCCATCGCTCGGGGCCGGTCTTTCCCAGGCCAGGCAGATCTCTGCATTGGCCGCCCGAAAATACTGTGCAGAGCTGCGTCACCAACTGCTTTGTTTGATCCACGTTTTGATCGTCGTTTACATGGTTTTAATGTTTGATTACTAAGAGGAGAGACTTCACATTTGGACGCTCGCTTTCTGCAAGGGTATCTTTGCAAATGCGAATCTGCGTCACTGCTGGAAGAGTTGGATCCAAGGTAGCGAGTCCGCGTTGCTGAGGAGAGGAAGTCTGGTAGCCGCTGCAGCCCTCTTACAGCGCTCTCCATGCTTGAAAGGCGCAATTCTGAGCTGCAAGATGGAGACAACGTTGCAAAGTCGAGATGAAAGGCGCCGCCATTTTTTTTCAGTGATTGTTGAGGGAACAATGTGCTGCCAGCTGGACTGATATCGGACACGTGGATCAACACGAGCCTCAAAGGATGTGAGACCAGGGGGATCCCTTGAAAACCAAGAGAGAAAGCGCTGCGCAGCCCTGCATGGCGTCCAAACGAGCACACTACCGTATGCTCTGAAAGTACGTTTGAAGAGATCTTGGGCTGCGACGGTATGCTATGGGCGCAAGAGAAGTAGCTTGACCAACCTAGGACTAAAGGTTGAAATGCCCTATCACCTGCTCAGCTGAATGTTTTTTGAGACCAGTGATGCTGCCTCTTACAGAACGCATTGCAGCGCTTGTGAGCCAAAGGCTTTGAGAGACATTCTGCATGCTTCCCAGCTCTGTAAGGAAAGAGCAGAATTGCTGGGGCACGCCATTGAAGAGGTTTCTTGTCTGGTAAGTGCCTAACTTCAGCTTTTTGGGCAGCTGACTTGTGCGGACAAGGGTGATCTTTTCAATGACTTCTAGCTGCTCACTTTGAGATGTATCCAATTCAATCACGGCATTCCTCAAACGCTTCGTGTCAAACACACTGGACAGATTCGCTGATACATATACATGTTGTCTTGCCTCACGAATTGTCTGTCCAGAAAGGTGCATTGCTGGTTTGCTCGTCAACAGCGTGCCGACAATCCTCAAACCCTAACATTGCATCGGGTCTTTTCTACGAGCATGACAAACAACTCTGTATCCTCGCCCAGACAGGCCTCTTGGATTCACCCTGTCCAGATCTCAGAGTGCTTGTCAGAATCTACAGAAGATGTCCGAGAGATTTCAGTATTTGAGAAATGGTTATCTCTGAGGCCCATGTTGCAGCTGAGATGGCTCACATTGCCAAACTCAATGTTTCATAGGGCAACTTAAGGCTGAAAGTAAAAATCAAATATTGAATCATTAGCCAAAGGCCACAATATAAGCCAGACCATCGTTGTCCTTGTGCTTCGCTTGACAACAGCGCTCCAACAATGATGGCGCTGCCAGTATGTCGCTTTACTCAAGTGCAGACTAGCACTCCTCTCTTGATTAAGACCATAAAGACTTCAAGAGCAATATGCTGACTAATCATCTTCTACGCAATTCTTTCTCCCTGTGGCAGCAGACAAATTGATGCTGACTTCAGCGAAGAGAATCTCACATGGCCGATCTACCCGGCACAAGCCGTCCCTCAACATCGGGCTCACAAGAAGAACAACAGTTTGCGCTTCAAGCTCCGGGGCCTGGGGCGCTTGTTGTAAGGGATGAGCTGTGGGAAGGGGATCAGTCCCCACCCCGTTCCATGGGGACTGGGGGGCTCCTTGTAACAAGGGTGGCGCCTGCTGATGCTGACGTCATCGGGATACTGACGTACAACGTGTGGTTCAACGAGGAGTGCCAGGTGAGTCGGGTACTCGAGGATCGACTTGCAACGCTGTCAAATTCCGATTTTTAAGTGACTGCACATCTTTTCTCGTGATGCAGAAAGCAGAAAGCTCCCTCGATGGGTTTCAGTCATTCAGTCCTTGCAGGCTTCATGCCCTGCTTCTTGGCCAGGAGTTGTCCCCAGCTTGCGTGCTCGTATTACCTTGTCTTGCGTCCGGATCTGGGCAAAAGTCAACCATAATGCTTCGTAAGACGCGCTCCACATTGGCACCGCGGTGGCCACTGCCAGCGCATGTCTTTTCATCTGTTAGATCTGTTCAGGTTTTTGAACATATTAAATCTGTACTTCAATGGTGTCTCCTGTGCCACATGCAAGCAGCGTTCCTGATTGGATATACCAGTTCGAATCTTCATCTTATAGAGAAGCTGTTTGCTCATGAAAGAATGCCCTTGAACGATCTCTTACATAACCATCAACCTGAAGTACGAAAGTTGGGCTCTTTGGCCTCTATCACCACCCCCAGACTTCTTTGCGCACAGCCCGCCATACGCCACCAACGATCAAAACAGGGTAACTCATCCAAACCGCAAACAACAGGACACGAAGCCCTGGAAGCAGAAAACAAGCAACACCGTTTCCCCCCTTTTTGCCAGGTGGAGGCGCGCATGGCGGCCGTCGGTGACGTCATCCTGCGTCACCGGCCCCACGTGGTACTTTTCCAAGAGGTCACGCCGCGCATCTACTCCCTCCTCTCCTCCGCCCGTTGGTGTCGCGACTTGGGCTTTGTTTGCTCGCTCACGGAGGCGGAGGCGACCAGGCCCTACTTCAGCATGCTGGTGAGGTCGCCCAAAAAAGTACAAAGTACTACCCGCCATCTCTGGAAGGACGGAAACGCTGTGATTTCTGAACCTTTAATTTCAGCTCGCAAGGTCGCCCGCTTTCAAAAGCTCGTTGCCCCAGAAGTGCACAGTAAAGGAAACCCGATTCAGATTGCCGTTGGAACACATTTTTCGATCCCCCAACGATGTTGTCAAGGCCTTGTCTGAAAGTAGACTTTCGGCCTCGCGCCGATGTCCAGGCATTATCCGTTCTCTGCGCCAAATGGTTCAGCAATCAGAAAGTAGAAGAGGAGGCAGTCGACTTTTCACCCGCTAAGCCAATCCTCCGGCCATTTTTTTGTTCCCTTTTTGTCTCCGGCCCACCCTACTTCGTGGTCTTCTCCTTGCAGATCATATTGACTATCACTGCGCTGGCGTTGAAGATTTCCCACTATCCTGCCATAGACCAAAAGCTCGACAATGAAGAGCGCACGACAAAGAGATGAAAAGAATCATCTCAAGGGGAACAAATTCGACGTACCAACGTTCGCAGGTGACGTGGCTGCCGTGCCAAGCCGTCCGGCACGAGCCGTCCGCCAAGACGTCAAATGGAAAAAGTCCCTTTCAACAGAGAGACGAAGCAGAACGCTGCATTTAGTGTCATCTTGAACAGAACAAAGTCCGCAGGTTACGTGGCCGCGGTGCCGGGCCGTCCCGCACGAGCCGTTCGCTGGGACGTCAAAAGATAAAAGTCGCTTTGACACAGAAAGGAAGCAGAACGCTGCATCATTGAGAAATTATGATCTCAGCGAGAGCGAAGCAGTGCTGACATCCGCAGGTGACGCGGCTGCCGTGCCGGGCGGTCCGGCACGAGCCGTTCGCCGAGACGTCAATGGACCGGGAGCTCGTCACAGCGGTGGTCGAGACCGGGGGAGACGGACCGCTGCTGACGGTAGCGACCGCCCACCTGGAGAGTCCGATGAGCTTCCAGCGGCCGTACATTGGACCTCGGAACACGCAGGTGAGTCCTGGTGTCAACTTTCCATAAATTGAAGTATACGAGCTAACACTTGACACAAAAGGAACTGCAAGGACTACTAACAAATAAGCCAGGAAAAGCAGGCGGAGCGTCGAATTGGACCCTCCAAGAGTTCAGGGCTTTGAGCTCGTGTTAGAGGATTGATCTTGAGGGTCGTGAAAGTAAGGTTTGGCGCATAATACTCAGCAGTATACGAAACTTTGAAAGCACAAGGCTTTAGGGCATTGCATTGAACTGTCCGGTCAAGCGGCATGAGTCTCAGCGGATCGAGTCTCTGGCTGACTGAAGAGTTGACAGAACAACCTGATCTCAAAAAGATGGCATTTGGAGACCGGTTTTTGTCTTAGCAGTGCGCTTATTTTAGCGAGTCCGATGAGTTACCGGAGCAGATCGCAACGAGCCAAGTTTGATCACCCTGCGGCTAACCCAATAATCCAACCCCGTCTTTCCCAGACTCGTCTCCGCATTTGAACAATTGAGATCTGTGCAGAGCTGCGTGTTGTGGGTAGATGTATTCTAGCATGCGCTCCTGACCCGACCGACTGACCGACTTACCTTGTACACCAGGCTCGAGAGGCGTTCAAAAAATCGGCTTGTACGTGTTTGTAGCAACATAGACCTTAAGGAGGGACTTTTGGTTTAACCTACTGAGCAACCAACCTTGTTTCTGGGCTCGCGAAGCGGTAAGAAAAAGTGGGTTTCTTATCAAAACTGCGTGTTCGGACTCTGGAGACGATGGAAAATCTTTCAGGTTGTCTTACCGATTAACTTAATTCATTTGCCATTTAGGCTCGCGAGGTGTTCGAGAAACTGGGTTCCTTGCCTAACTGCGTGTTTGGCGGCGACATGAATTGGAATGAGCGACGAGACGGCCGGGTCCCCCTCCCCCCGCTCTGGTTCGACGCGTGGCTCGTCCTCCACCCCATAGAAAAGGTGGGGACACGTGGCAAGCGCTCCGCCAATCTTGACCAATCTGCTTCCCTCTATCCCTCATCAGTGCTTGACGTATTTGGTTGTAAGAAGTGGGGACGCAAAGCGAGACTGGTTTCAGCCCGTTGCAGCTCAAGTCTGGGGCTTTCAGTCCAGCCTATTGCGGTGTTTACTTACTGGTTGTCTGCATGCGATGCCTGGAGTTCCAAACCCTAGACCCACAATTAGACACCTTCATTCACAAACTTGACGCGCTCCATATCTAAACCCACCCTAACCATCATACCAACCCCACCCGTCCCCGAGCGTCTCTTACAGGTATAAGATTCTCCTAAGTATCAAACACTGTTTCTGTATGGTAGGCTTTTACCAGAATGTCATGCCTGAAGTCTGAGTGATCCAATCTTCTGACCAGCAAAGCTTAGTATTGGCGACGAGACGACCTTTCGCTTCACCCCAAGGGGCTTCCCGGTGGCTGCTTGATTTTTCAAGGACTGACCCGCGACCTTCGCACGCTTCAATTCAGCTTGCAATTCTTGCTTGGAGCAAAGTGCCATTGCGCAATTTACCCTGCCATGAGTTGTTTCCAGGCGCCTCCTCATCTGCCGCCTGATCCCCACGCACCGCCCAGAAAGCGATTGGAACGTCGCCTGTGATCATGAGGATCGCTTCGGATATTAGCAGAACCATTTAAAACCTGACACGCGTGTGATTCCAGTTCGGCTCCGTTCCTCTATATTACCAAAACCATAAGAATCAGACACGCATTTGTTTATAAACCGGCAGTATGCCACTCGTTTCCAACTCGTGTGTAACGGGGGCCGTTCACTTTGTTCTTCACGGAAAAGCAATTGCTTCGGGCCTGAGAGCTCACCCGGCCTGTTTCGGTGCGCAGTATCTCAAGCCAGGTTACACCTACGACGGTCGCACCAACGGCATGATCGGGGGCGCCCTGCAAGGCCGGCTGGACCGCTTCTGGTGTCGCCTGCAAGACTTCGACGCCGAAAGCATCGAAATGGTCGGGACCGAGCCGATTCCGGGGCTTCGGTGCGACCGGGAGTTTCGAAATGGGGACGGGTTTAGGAGGGTATCGTTACCTGTGTTTCCCAGCGATCACTACGGGTTGCTTATAAGAATACGAAGGAAAAGGAACGGTTCGGGAGGGGAGAGGCAGGAGGAGAATCCAGGGAAGGACATTGTGTTGATCTGATGAATGCTGTTCAGCGTTCCTGGTTGATGTGGCGACCCTACAGCTGGCTTTAAGGCCGTCAATTTTATAAACCAGGCCATTGAAGCAGCTAGACCTTAACATTATCAACGGTATGCAGCTTGTATACTGGAAAGTCGAATGATTTGAATTCTGCCATCTCGCTATACCAGATTTCAGACATGCTCTACGTCGCGAAAGCATGCGGGCTCTGAATAAAGTTCTATCGATCCGAGATCGTAACTTCATGCATTAAGCTGCCCACTTACTACGCGAAAACCAATTTCAAGTGTATAGCATGTCAAAATTGATTCCAATCCTTGCATGCAATCATAAGCAAATCCGCGCCCGCTGTGTTCTTGATGCATCGATCAGCTCAAGCTTGAGTAGCTAGATTGAATCCATAAATGATGGGGGGCTGGCTGGCCCCGGAGCATTGCATGTCATTGAACCGGACCCAATGAACATCTGCATGGAGACAGACGATATGATTGAGTAGGACCTGAGTTATTATCGTTGCTCAGGCTCGCAATGACAGGCAACCTGTTCTGACGCACTTTTTGCCTCTTCCTGCTCATGTTTTGGGGTCAAAGTACTATCACCTATCTGATTGAATTCCCTTCTGACGACGGTCAGATCCTTCATCTCCAGCCTAGACAACTAAGCGAGCACAAGATGTCCTGCTGAAAAGCAAACGGTCTAACTACCAGGGGGCGTTCTACCAACCACATAGCCACTTTACAACGGGATGCTGGTCAGCCCCGGACGCAACCCCAACCCAATTGGCGGTGCGCTGGCCATCAGTTCAGCTGGCGACTTGCCAACAATGGCGCGACTCCATGCGGAAGACGCCAGCGATTGGGCCCCAGGTGCGGGTGCCAACTCGTCCAACAGCTGCGATGGAGGTCCACTGCCCCAAGCGACAACCGCCTGCGGTTGGTCCGTTTGCTCGTTGTAAAACCCGATGGGGGCACTGAAGGCAATGCCTGGGATCGTCCCCAGGCGTGTTACATCGCCGTCTTGAAAAGGGCCACCAGGCTCGCTTAGACGAGAGGCTACAGCGAACGCAGTGCCTGAAGCGGACCCGTACTGGGAGTCCGTCTCGACGAGCAGCAGTTTAGGAGGGGAAGCCGCGCCGTTGGCGGAGGATGCTACGGGCTTGATCAGCGCTGCGGAACAGGCGGGAAGAGGGTAACGGCCTGGCTCGATTGCGTTGTTGAAGGTGGTCGTGGTCTGCCCAACCAAACGCAGAGCGGAGCCTGGAGGCACGTTGAGGCTGTAAGAACTGGCTGAGCCACTGCTGTTTACGATCAGCAACGTCCCGCTGTCCTCATCCACCTCGACGGAGGTGAAGCGGTCGCCGGGGAGTGGCTGCCACAGCGGCGCGCTAAAGGGCGCGTCGCCCCCGTCTGGAATTTGAAACGCATATAGAGCTGGCAGGGACGCCCAGACTTGCCGAGAGACGCTGAACACCGGGGGCATACGCTGCAGGCTTGTGTAGGCGGAATCCCACTGGTACTGGAAAGTGGCTGGATCCGGGGCTTGCGGGGGTGGGAAGTTCTGTGGCGCCGCCCCTCGCAATGAGACTGAACAAAGGCCCTTGTCCTCCGAAAGGAAGAAGAGCGCCGCAGCAGGGTCGCACAATACAAGGCCCGACCGAACCACCGCCTGCAACGGGAGCGCAAGAGAGCGGGGTTGAGGAATGACGATTGACAGAAGTATGGAAGCCATAAATCTATATGCCCTGGCCCGAATGGTCCTTTGTCCACCTGCAACCAAATGACACACTAAAGCTGGCTCAGAAGGGCCTTGCTGTAAAGTGGCATTGGCGCAGCATCAACAAACACGATAGAACTCTGCAGAGTAGTCATGTCAGGTAAACTGCCACCAAGTGCAGCTATGTGGTACAGTTCTGAGGGGCATTGGAGTGAGCACTCTGTCAAATGTTCCAAACGATTGCCTAAACTCGACTAAGTCTTATACAGACTCCAATCTAAGACAAAGCCATAGACAAACAGCCAGGCCCAAAAGCCCCCAGGCTACAAGCAGAGCTTGCCAAGATGCAATACAAGCAGATCAGCGGTGCACACAAGAGATGCTTGGAGTCTCGCCGGTCCCGCTTTAGAAACCCCAAACCAATGTACGCAACATACCTGTGTTGTCACTGACGGATACCTCCGCACAACTCCCATGGCAGCAGGCATGCCTCCTGTATCCCATTCGATGTTCAGCACCGACCCGTTTGAGCAAAGAACGAAGAGCCCGCGGTCTGTGCTGCTGAACACCGGCGCAGAGAACCTGAGTGCATTTCCGGCCAACAAATCGTCCAACTCCCGACTCTTTGCATCGAAAGCGTTCACGCCGAGGCCCAAGTAGCCCTCCCGGCAACACCAGAGCAAGTTGATTGCCTCTTCGGGGTGGTCCTTCATGTAGGCGCACACCGTTGGCGGGTCAACGCCGCTGCGGTAAGGCATGCCCAACACCTGGAGCACATCCAACAACGCTAGGAACAGCTGGCAGGTTCGGTCCCCCGTGAGCTGTTCCCGGGTGATGACAGGGACAGGGGCTGGCAGCGAGGGGTTAGGCACCATGGGGAGAGAGAAGACGTAGTCTTTTGGCAGCTTTGGGGCGATAGTGAGGAAATACTTCTTAAACCCTGCCACTAGGTCAATCTGCGGCCGCGGCAGGCTCTCCGAAATGCCGACGGCCTCAGAATACAGCCAGTACAAGAGGGACACCCACTGTCGGCCCTGCCAGGCGGCGTGCAGAGCGGCGTTGAGCCGCTGAGACTCGCTTGCAGGCCCGTCATAAAGGTCCAACGTTGCGACAGTGGTGGGCTTCTCAGCTAAGAGGTCGTAGCGCGACAGCACGGTCCCGTCCACCACGTACAAGTGCGCATCAAAGACCTCCCACCCCTGCAGCAGGCTCTGTGCTGACACCTGCCATGTGAGCGTTGCCTTGGCTCTTCTCGTGTCAACGACAAAGACTGTAAGGCCATCATCAAAGACAAAGAGACCAAGCTCAGGAACAGCCTTGGGGCGCTGGACGGGGGGGATTGACAACGGACTTTGATCTGAGATAGTGGACTGCCAGCTGAAGACAAACTCCTTTAGAGGCGGTGGAGGACCGTCTGGGGGAGGATTAGGACCGGGTGCGGAATCCTGAACAATGCAGCGCTCCCTTGAATCGTCGGACTCGCTGAGCCTTTGCTGCCGTGCTTGGGGAGAAGACTGGAGTCCCACTGCTCTGGACGAACCGCAGAGGCTTTCTTGGAGCAATTTGAACAAGTGATGGTCAGGTGGCGGCTCAGTCGAACCAATCGCAGCGATCCAATCGGGAAGTAACATTGTCCTTGGATGACTGCAGCGCCAGCCAACCCCAATTATGAGGTCCCAGAAGGCCTCTCACATTCTCTGTCAGGTACTGGGCTTGTCTGTCACTATGTCCATCGTGTCTGCTGAGGAGTCACTCCTAGTAATCTTAGTAGCGGGGCAGCACATTCTACTTAATCCTTTCACCATTCACTCAGCAGTGAGGACCCAGCACTGCGCGTCTTCATGCCAGTCAGGCAAGCCGTCATTCCTGGCCCTGCATCTTTCTTCAACTGAACTTAGAAGATAGAAGTTACAGTAGATAAATCATAAAGCGCCTTCCTGCGTGTCAGTGTCCAGGCGTGTCTGATAATTGATTGCAAGCACATGCTCTCAGCATGTTGAGTTTCCGCCAGAGTCCCACCTTTTAACTTCACTTTCTTAACCAGTCAACGTTGCAAACCGAGCACTCTTGCCCACTCGAAGTCCCCGCTTTTGCTGAGTTCCCGACCACTTTGGGCAGTACAGTAAAGGGTTTCAGGATACCCAATGCCTCTTGACTTTTGGCCGTTCAGATGGCTGGATGCTTTTCAATGATGAGATTCATAATGAATGCGGACGCAAACCTGCATTAATGATCAGCAAATCTGCATCATGCACTGCATGCAGTGACCTTGAGCTAGAGGGGGCTCTCGCCCAATGGGGCCGGAGAGGTTGCTTGGCAGTAAGTTTAGAACAAAGCCTTTCTAGCTTGCTTCAATGCCAAAGTGAGAAGCAGTTGCTCCAACCACAGGCACACACAGGACCACAACTTTTCTAAAGCAGCTACCGACAAGGAGATTGACGACATGCTGACAGTCTCTGCTTTTAATAAGGGCACCCGCCACTCTTGGCGGAATTCTTCAAATTGGGTACACAATGGCGTACAGAGTAGCGGAAGAAGGGGCCTCCCTGCAGGACAACATTCTGCTGCCCGCTGGGGGCAATTGGTCGCTGGACGCATCGGGCCTGGACGCTTCGTTGCTCAGCGGGGGCGGCTTGCAGGTTGTGGTGCCAACTGCGTCCTCCTTTCGGTCGGTGGACATTCTCACGGGCCAGGGAATCCAGGCCAACAGCCTGCCCTACCAGCCTGATTTTCTGGACAATGAAGGCTACGCGCTCAGCTGCATGGGCGCGGGATGCCTCTTCTTTGCAGAGCAAGGCAAGCTGCGGGCGCTGCGGACGCACGATGGAGTCTTCAAAGGGACCGTCCAGCCAATCAGTGTGGACCCGGCAGGCCTAGCACGGGACGCCACAGGTTGGGCGGAGCCTGATGTCACTGGCGCCTTCGCTGTGACAGCAGTGGGGGACGTTGTGGCAGTGATGACCAAGGCAGTGGACGAGGCAACTGGGAAGAGAAAGGTTCAGGTATGGCTATCCAGGACACAAAACGACTTGTTTGGTTGAGTGTTATGGAAATACTTTCAACCAATGTCAGCGGGCGCTGATTGACTGTTGACTCATCAGCACTAATTTGGGGATTCCAACTGAGGTCATCATTGATCAACTCAGCAGAACTCTATCCCTGAAAGCAGTGCATGACAGAAAGGCCCTAGAAGCTGCCTCCCTTACATCTCTTTCATTACAGTCTCCTTACATCATTCCATCTTTTGATCCACTTGCAACCGCTGTTTGCACCTCATACAGCTGAAACAAATCGTAAGCAGGTTTCTTCAGGACAAATAGTTGTCGTCTGGTTTGAGCTAAAGCTTGCAAGGGGATGGTTAGATTGTAAAGAAGCTCACTATTTCGGTGACTTTGTTCAAAGGGAGGACTGAGCAAGTTTCTGATTGACAACCAGGACAAAGCGGACAGGGTCTTTTCAACCAGACACATTGCATCAATCGGAGAGGTGCCCTTGTTGCAGGCAGGCTGCCCAAGTGGACTAGGTCTGGGTGGTTAAAAAAGTTCGCCCTGGTTATAGGCCTTGACACAATATCCCCCGGCAATCCCGTGCAGATGCTCGGCTTTGCTATGGACCACGGCGCCCCCAGCCTGTGGCCCCCGCTTGAGTTCCCGCCCGACGGCCAGTTCGGTCCCGTCAATCACACCGGCTCCTCGTCCTTTTTCTGCCTCGACGGGCGCCTGCTGTGCCACACAGTGCAGGCCAGCTTCTCAGAGCAGAGCTGGTCCTTCCCCCGCCAGAGCGGCGCCGCAGACGGCACCACTGTGCAGCTCGACTCGGCGCGCTACGCACCGCAGGTCAGCGAGAATTTCAAGCTGGCAGTGTGCCTGGGGGCAGACCGCGACGTCTATGCGGTCAACCTCAGGACAGGCGCGCAACGGTGGGTGTTCTCCTACGAGGACGCGTCGGCACTCTTCCAACCTGCAATCTGCGAAGCGCTGTCGCTGCTGGTGCTTGTGGATGCTCGAGCTGCAAACGGGAAGGGCCGGGTTTCGGGCGTGGATCTCAAAACGGGCGCGCTGCGCTTCCGGGTTGACATGGATGATGGTCCATTGGACGGCGCCCTGGCAGACCCAGTGGTCGAAGGCACGACGCTTTTCTTGAGTGGCAACTCCTTCCGTGGCTACGACTTGGCGCGCATGGCCACCCAGAACATCCTCCCCCCTCCAGACCCTGCGTTCTCTTTGAAGGACTTAGGCCGGACTGGCACACAGGTGACGGTAGTCAACGGCTCGGCCATCTTTCCAGCCGGGCGCACCGTCGTGTGCCGCCGTTTCACAGAGAGCACGGCGGCCTACTTCGATGGCGCTGAGAGCAGCATTGTCATCCCGCCAGCTGATCACGCGTTCAACCCAGGCAGTGGGGACTTCACGTTTGAGGCCTGGGTGCGTACCAGCACGGGTGGTGAGGTCATCTGCGCGCACCCGGAAGACGGCGCGACGCATGGGGCGCGCTTCAACATCGGGCCGCAGGGCGAGCTGCGCTTTGCAGTGATGGATAAGGACGGAGAGGGGGTTCTGCACTTGAGCGACAATACGTCCGCCACAGATGGGAGGTAAGAAGCGGCGAGGAGATTCGGCCCGCTGACAAAGTGTCGCATTTGCGGATCACGCTCGTCCACCGAAGCCAACCTCCCGTTGATTGTCACAGCTCATGCTTTAGTAATTGAAGCTTCCGACAACGCCCTTCACTAGCATCCTGTCCGTTCCTGTTAACATTGAAGAGTTAAAGACGCAGAATGAACGAAGGCAAGTTGATTGATGCGTCTCGAGCAGGGCCTGAGTGCTCAGATTGTCATGCCGGTGAATCGTTGCAAGCCTGTCCCTCACTATCAATCTGCGCAGGGTATTGTTTCTGTCAAAGAAAGGACTTTTGAGAAGAAATGAGGGGAAACCGTCTGACGTATCTGAAACAGGGCCTGTATCTTTCCTGCCCATCATCGAATATGGTTAATAGCTTGTTCTTCGCTTCTATCTTGCGCTCAAGCATCGCTGCTCCGTCTCTTAGGTGGCACCACGTGGCTGCCATGCGACGGCAGGGCCAGCCCGCTCTCTTTCTGGATGGCGTCGCGCTCAAACTCTCATCTAATGACGACCCTACTACTGCAATTCAAAGCACATACGGCCTCCTGCCCGTGTCTGAGCCGCTTCAAATTACGGTGAGCTTGAGTCACTGGTAGGACCTGACTGCTGGGCCCTCTCTTTCGACGTGTCTTCCTCAGCTACTCAAGCAACCGCGCAGTTCCTTCGAACAACTCTTTGACTGAGCCCCTTGTTTGGAGACTATTCTTGACGCAACCCCTCTCTTACGATTGTTGGAGAATAAAAGTCCGGTCACACTTCGTGCTTGTAAGTGAGGAGTCTCCTTGTCAACAGCACCGCAGGCTGAGATGTTTGACTCTGACGGCCCTCCCACCACAATATCAGTCGCCGACCCGTTGCCTTTCTGGTGTATGCAGATCGGGTGCGCTGCCTGGCAGGGCACTACGGGCAGCTTCTTCAGTGGACTGATCAAGGACGTCCGGATTTGGGACCTCGCAGTGGAGGCCCCCAAGCTGCTGAGCCGTATGGGGGTCGAGCTCACGGGCGCAGAGCCACGCCTGAGCGCCCTCTTACGGCTCGACGAGAGTGCGGTCGAGGATATCGAGAACCGGGTTAGCGGAACCAAACCCGCCTGCAACTCACTCCAGATCGCGTTCACAGACCTGTCCCTGGACAAGAGCGCCTTCCCCTACCTGCTTAACCAGGCCCAGCCCACGTGGCCCTACAGCTACGCCGCGCACTGGGCGGCCAAGGGCGAGGAGGCGCCCGCGAGCGGGGGGTTTTTGGACGTCCGCACGAACGTGTTGTGCTTCCGGACGGGCAACGCGCTGTACGGCGTGCATGCGGTGGACGGGCAGCGCGCGTGGGCGCTCGATTTGGAGAGCGCCTCCTCGGCGCCAGCGGTACATGACGGTTCGTTCTACGTCATGACGGCCGGTGACGGTCTGCTGGCGATCGACGCAGCGTCGGGAGAGCAAAGAGTGGTGCCAGGCCTGGAGGGGCTGAGCGCTGGTGGAGAGAGCGGCGAGTTTGTTGCGCCTGTCATCAGCGGAAGCATGCTGGTGGTCGCTGACCTGCAGGTACGCGCCCGTCTAGTTCTTCTCACTCTTCGCATCGCACAGGCAGAATTGTTTTTCATCAAACCGAAAACACGCTCTGAATTGCCTTCTGGATGGTCGGGGTTGTGTGAGGAGGGCCATTTGAGCATCGAGTCCTTCTGGCGATAGGTCGGAACGGTCTCTTGCGTTTACCATATAAAAATATCCGCAGATTTACCTAAAGTAAGAGGCTATCAGCGTGCTTGAAGACAGCTCTTGGGAAATTGCGCTAGAGCAACTGTGAGACTCAACCTCCCATGCACCGCTGGCCTTCAAGAACCACCCCTTTGGTCAGCCCTGTTTCACGAAGCAGCCGTTCTGATTTACCATCATATCTGACCAAGTTGCTGGTTGTGAGTAGGCTCATAAGATACCAAAGGAAAAGGACTTTTTTTTTCCAATTTTCTGTAGGGCGGTGTGCACGTGCGTACTCCCAAGCCTCGTACCGGCCCGGGAGACGACTCTCCTCTAGAGAACGAGTGGTGGACGCCAAAGGGGCTGCCAGCCTCCGGCCTGCGAGGCCTCTACGCGGACGAGTCTGCGGCTCGACTCAGCACCTGCTACGCGGTGTATAGCGAATCGATCTGGTCCTTCCAACCAGCGACTCCCTTGTCGGATGCTAACCAGATAACGGGCGACAACCTGGGTTTGGCGTGTGCGGAGTCGGGCGCACTGTTTTTCGTGGACAGGGCTGGGAAGCAGATTTTTTCGTGGACGGCAGGTGAGAAACAACTCGTCAGAAAAGGAACCGTAGAGCGACTAGATCTGCGCAGAGACTGGAACGGATAGTTGATTGTAAACAGCAGGGTTAGCACGCCTATGATTTAGCAATGCTGAAACGGTCGTTTTCTTCTCAAGGGAGCAGGTTGCAGGAAGATGCATTGATCCCTGAGCCACGTTCAATACTTAGGACTGTTGGTTCGGAGCACTTGAATCTTCTGCTAAGAACGTTTTTGATAATGCAGACATGTCATCCGAGAGACGGTCATATTGGGTACACAGCAAGAGGCTTCACCTTTGCAAATGTATAACGCTCTGTTCGGAGCAGCGCTAGGGTCGTTTTTTTTTCTTTTCGAACTTCAATTTTGTAGTTCAAGGCACTCGCGTCCTTCTTCTTCCTCCAACCTGGCATTAGCTGCAAACCCGGAGATTCTTTCAAGCTTCACAATCGATGAAGCTTGTAAGAAGCAGCTTGGCAAGCCTTTCCTTTCTTTTTCGGTAATCATCATCCGCAAATTGTATCCGCTTCAATCCTACCACCTAAAATCAGCCCGAGTTTTAAGTCTTGACCGCCTTGAAAACAGGATCGTGCATCCCGAACTCGCAGATTTTTTCACTCAGTTCGAAAATTGCAACTGATGGCCTGTTGTTGCTGTGCTTGCGTGCAGGCGTGTTTCGAAAGGGAGGACCGCTGGACGGCGACCTCGGCACCATCACTGGCCTTGCTGCAAGCCAGGACCTCCAACTGCTGGTCGCCACAACGTCTGCCGGAATCGTTGCCGGTTTCTCACGCGGCACGCTGGACCTACGCTGGACACGCAAGCTGCCGGCGGGGCTGGCTGGGGCGAAGAAGGGGAGCCCGCCACGTGGCGCAACGCTATTGGACGACGGGCTGCTGCCGCCGCAGATCTTCAACCAAGAGGTAAACTGCGCAGCGCTTTTGGTCCACTAATCCACAAACAAGTCCCTCAACCGTACTACCGAGAACGTCATGATGAGCCCTTCAGTATTCTACATTGCAAACGGGTCGGACATGTCTCTCTTTCACATGGTGTGCACAAACTTCCCTAGCAGGACGATTGCAGAAAGGCTGCTTCTTTGCTTGCTCCTCCTTTTCGAAGGGTTAGCTCCTCTTCTCGAACGTCTGAGTGCCGTTGCTTGCAGATCCCTGACGAAATAAGTCACACTTCCTTCTGCTGACACACGTCTACACAGCGGTGCGGTCGGGCCTCGTCGCAGTCCTGGATGCTCGCGACGGCTACTTGCTGGCGCTTCTCCCCGTGCCTAGTTGCATCACCACGCCGCTGACCGTTGACGCGCGCAGCGGGACCATCTTTTTCGGGTCGTGTGACGTGGTCGGCCGTCAGACGCAAGATGGCAAGCTGCAGCTGGCAATAAGCGACGACGGATCGCTGCAGTCGGTGGCGTTTGGCGCCACTCGGACGCTCGGACTCAACACGGACCAGACCGCAAATGCGCTGGGACAGCCCGCCAAAGGTGGGGCCGGATGGCAACTGTTGGTATCTCATTTAATTCAGTCGTCTGAAACAATTGTCGTAGGCTTTCAAGATGTTTTAGAATGCAGCCTGGGGTTGAGGTGAGCTCACCCTGCTTAGAAGTCTGGAGTCCTGCACAAACATTTGTAATTTTTCGAGACAAGACCAAATTCCTGTGGCATTCGAACATCGGCATATAGTCCATAACGGCGTGTGCTGGCAGCCATCGTGCCGACTCCTTGACAGCTTTCTTGACACTTGACACAGGCCGTGCTTGTGGCAAGTTACTTTACTTGAAGCAGCAGTCTTCGCATCGACTTGTCTAAGCTCAAATCAAAGCACTCCTGGGGTAACTCTCAGTCGAGCCTGGCAGCTTCACATCGAGCCTGCCAGCTCAAGATCACAGCACTCAAGCGAAATGCATTTCTAATCGCAGTTCGAAACGTCTTCTTGTGCAGGTGCGCCTGCTTTCGTCGCAATCGACGTGGCTCAAGGAACCGGATTAGAGCAGGAGTCAGTGACGGTGGAGGCCTGGGTGAACACCGTCAGCAAAGGAGAGCTCTTGTCGGTGTGCCCTGCGGAGGACTCGCCCTTCGGCATCTCTCTCCGGCTGCTCGATGCCGGCAGTATCCAATTCACGTGAGATGCGGCCTCAAGAGAGTTGCGGGTTGCAGATCTCCTTGTTGAAAAGCTTGCTTTGTGAGGCCGTTATCCCAAACCTCTGCGCTCGGCGATGCAATCACTTCGGAGGAAGCGACAAGCTTCGAGTCTGTAAGAACAAGAAAGCTGGCAATCGTTGTTCTCTTCGATTCGCAGTGATCGTTAGCTCCGTTGCTTTGTTGAGCAGACAAGCCGTGCCTGTCTCATACCCGCTCCTCCAGTTGAGCACGTTCCCGCAGCCAGCTCATTTTCGGTGCACTTTCGTGTTAAGGTGCTTACCCCACCTGCTCGGATTCGGTAAGTACACACTGAGGCGGTCAAAACCCTGTTTTTGTTCTGGCAACAAATTTTCGACAGCAGAGTTTTGACAATAGAGTTGGCTTAACAGAGACTCTGCTTGTCTTGTAGTTGCACCTCGGAAGTTACCTCAACCGCATGGAAGACGGTTGCTGTGAGCACAGTCCGAACGGCAGTCAACAACGGCGTGTGGCACCACGTGGCGGCCGTCAGAAAACCGGGTGACGCCCTGAAGTACGGCCCTTTCCCGCTTCGTTTCTTTTCGTAGCTTCTCATGCCGTTCGCTCTACACGCGGTCTTCTTCTTCCGTTCTGAAGTCTGAGATCTTCTAGATTATCAGGAGTCAAAGAGGAACAGGTAATAAAGTATGGCCTGCTGCTTTTGAGAATATAGCACTTGTTGACGTCGCAATCTTGGCGCCAGTTTGTTGACACGGACCGAGTGAAAAGTTGTGCTTGCATTCATTGTCTCCCTGGACCACCGTAAGCTCGGAGCTGCCCTGGCAAGAGAACTCAAACCTCTAAAGAAATGCAGCTGAGTCCCACCTTCACTCTCTTGTGTAGAATGTGTAATTCTGCAGTCATGGAGGCCAATTCCTTAAATTGCGCACTCGATTTGGGAGCTGGCTCGCCTGCTCACTCCCTTTTTGTACGAACGATGCAAGCTGCAAGATGCACGTCCATCCGCATGCTGCTTGGCCGCGCACTTACTCATCGCAGTGGTTTATCCGCAGCATCTACTTGGACGGCAACCTGGTTCCCGCAAGCGCCCCAGTCTCGATCACCGCTACGGCTTCTCCCGGCAAGCTCCTGCCAAAGGGACGCACCTTGATCTACATCGGTGCGGACGCACAGTCTCCCGGAGCCGCCCCGCTACCCGGGTCGCTCTTCCGTGGCCTGCTCGGCGAGGTCCGAATCTGGGACACGTTTCGGACGCCCATCGAGCTGGCGTCCGCGATGCACACCAAGCTGCGCGGCAACGAGGCGGACCTGCTCGCCTACTGGAACTTCGACTACCAGGCACGCGGCCCGCACAATATTGAAATTTCCGAAACGCTGTCACAGCCGTCCGATCTTCACCTAATGAAGCCAGTCTGAGAGTGCATTTGGGCGTTAGCTGTTACCGACCAGGATCAGACTCGCAAGCTTGGCCGGCCCCTGCTCTTGACCCAAAAAGGACAAATCTGAGCCGTCCATTTGTCGACGTTGACCAGATGGACGATGGTGACAGCCTGGCCGCTTGTCCCCCAGCCATTCAAAATCCTGCGTTCCGCCTGCAGGGCCTGACCGACAACACGCTGGGCGGACTCAACGGCGTGTTGCTTAGCGCGGACGGAACGGCTGCGACGGTCGCGGGCGCGGGGCGGTGGCTGTCCGACCTGCCTTTCGTGCAGCCCACGTACCCGTGGCTGGAAACGACGGCGGTGTGCACGGACCCGGGCGAGGAGGAAGGCAGGCCGGCTGTTTACGAGCTGACGGTGAAGGTCAGGCTCGCTAGCAAACCCAGTTTGCAGGCATGAGATTTTGTGCAACATGGCGGCTCCTGAACGGGCCGTTTCTCAAGAAAGGATCTTAAGTTTGCTGTGATGGCGTGGCGCCCTTTTGAGGCTTGCTTTGTGCATCATTCAGAAACTTCAAGTCCATGTGGAGGCCGGAGCTTCCAAGGAATTGTTGCTGCTCATTCTCCCGCCAGAGAATCGGTCGTTCTAAAACGTTTCAGCTGTGCCCGCTCGACAGTTATGAAAGAGGCTCACCATGGGTGGAACATCCAACGAAACTTCAGCATCTCAAATCACAAATTGCAGGCCAGGATTGCGATCGCCCTCTCTCACTTGCTCTCTTCCAGGCAATTGCGGCAAATGGCGACCCCTTAGTTGGTTACCCCCTGCATTGGTGGTACGTCAAGCATTTGGGCACTTCGGACGCTGTCCCCGTCCGAGTGACGACGGACACGGGGGGAGGGCCCGTCAGCGTCACGGCCATCCAGGAGGGCACGTGGCAGGATGACGGGACGCCACCGGAAGGCACGGTGTGGCCCGTTACGGACAGCAAAGGACGGGTGGTCTTTACCGTCGAAGTTCCAAAGATGGGCTATGGCCCCTCCTTTGACTTCCGCATGCCGGGGTTTATGACGGACCCCCACGAGCGGTTCCACGCAAACGTGCTGAATAACGTGCAGGTGAGGATGAATCGCAAGAAAGATAATAATAAGGCAAGATAATAGTAAGCTCCTACCGACACTAAAAACCCTAACCCAAAAAGCTTACCTGCTCCGCGCCCAGGCCTATCCTAACCACCAGACTAACCGTACCCGTCCCAGTGTGGTTACCTTGTCATATCTCGGCTTGCTTTATCTTTCTTGACTTCAATCAGGTGAGGCACGTGCCTTTGCTGAAAGCAAGGACTTTCTCAGCTTTTTCCTCTCCCCAGTTATGTGCTTGCTTCGAACGAGTGCAGTTGGCTGGTTGGTCGGAGCAGACAGAGGGTAGAAAGGCGCGAGCTCTCGCATGCGTCTGACTCCGCTTGTTGGACTGTCTCGTTAACAATGTAAGAGCTTTGAAGGAGTCGCAATGCAAAGCCTTACCCACCGGTCGCTGATTACCTCACGACCCTGAGTGAAGTTTCTCGAGTTTCTTCTGGCAACTTTTAGCAAGCCGTTGGCTGGGATCAGTTGCAAAGAAGTCTCACCCCAGCAAGCTATGCGCTTCTCCCCAAAAGTACTCTCCTGCAGATATACAATCTTTCCGTTTTCCTCGTGCCGCGTCCCAACCATTTCATTCCTCGTGCTGGGTCTCACAACTCTTCCCTTCCCCCGTCATGAATCTCACAATCGTCTCTCCGCCCGTCTGCAGAAATTGAAGCGGCCCCCACCGCCGCAGCTGCTGGTCCAGTGCGAGCTGCAGGAGGACTACTCTTATGGGGAGGGGCCAGACGCGCGAATTGACGAGACGCGCTCGAAGCCGGTCTACATGGTGCACGTGCGCGCGCAGGAAGCGAACGGCGGCTTCCGCGCGCGGGAGCAGTTCCGCATCTACGCCTCGGACCAGACAACGGTGAGCCCGCGGGCGTCTATACGAGGCAGCACAAGCTGCCAGGCGTTGCTTGTCATGCCGAAACGACACGCTTATTAGAAGCACGTAATGTGTGCCCTTAAAAAGCAGCTTCTGCTTGAGATCTGGCCGGCGGATTCAAGTCCCCCATCCGTTCATCCCGGACCTTCAAAGCAGAGGGCTGTTGACATTCTGTGGCAAGCCTACCTCTTCAGTGCACGGGCAGCATCTCCTCTCTCCGAAATATACTGTGGGCCAGGGCGAAATTTACAGAAGCGAACTTCTCGTCAGGCACTGTGCACCTGGTTTTAGGGGCGCTTCTCCTGAGGCGCTTCAAATCGTTGCCGATCCTGCAACAAGCCGTCTGCGCCCGGCATGCCACGTGGGCGTTCCTCCTGAGCGTGTCCAAATCCACTTGCCCGTCCTGCGCTTACAGGTGGTCTACAAAAACAAGGAGTACCCCATCAGCTCCGACGTGGCTCTCGCTGCGGTCAGCGACAACAAGGGTGACGTCATGCTACACATTGTCGCGGGTGCCGCGACCGCGCCCCAGCTCGCGGTCTGGGCGGGGTTCATGCACCGCAGCGAGCGGCAGCTCATCTCGCCCGACGTGAGCGCGCACGCGCGCCTGGCCAAAGTAACGGTAAGGCATATCCCTCGTTTATTCCTTCAGAGCGGGGACAAGGAGAAACAGTCCTCGCACGGTCGGAACCGGGAACGCCGTTGGAAGGGGGTTGCAGTCGGGCCGGTGTCACGTCGGTGCTCGTTGAGTCTCAGCCTTCGATGCTTCCTCAGAAGCAAGATCTGACGACTTGTAAGTTCTGTTTCTAAGACCACGAGGCTAAATTGAAGCGTCCGCCTGAGTACCTGAAGACCATCCGACGGTTACAGCCGACCTTTTCAACAGTGTCCCCGGCTCCGATCCTGCAAGGACCGTTTCCCTTGTTCCCGGCTCCTTCAGTCGGGACGAGAGACCGGGCTCCAAGTCACTGCCCTTGTGCTTCTCGGCTACTGACAGCTGTAAGCTTTGCCATTGGTTCCTCAGGAAATGGCTCCTCATTGAGCAGAGAGCTGGTGTCACTCCCTCTGGCAGCCTTGCACTTTGATACGGAATGGTTCCTCTCGTTTTTCCGCTTCTCGCTGAAGAGCGAGGCTGCACACTTTCGGTCACTGTAACATCTCCCGGCTTGGGACGGTGCAAATAGGATCATGAGAAAGCTACAAGTTCAAGAGAGGCCAGTGTTGCCATTATCGGGAACAGTCACACAAACTTGAGCGCGTCTTCTGCAAATCCTCCCAGTGCTTAGCTCTGGGGTAGTGTGTGAAGTCTTCTCTGCAAACCGCTTGCGATCCCATATTGCGCATAGATCGCACAAACAACGCGTTTTGCAACCATGGGCTGCAGGGCACGCAGCTGACCGACCCGAAGCGCGCCCCACCGTGGTCCCCCGCATATCAGAAGCAGAAGGACGCAGGGACCCCACCCACCAACCGGCTGCTCAACAAAGACGTCCCGCAATCCACAGCAGACCAGGCGGCGCAAGCGATGTGCCACGTCATGGCCGCGGTGCACCCTCCACCTGGTGAGCGCTGTCCGAAAAATAAGGGACGGGAAAGGACTTGGACATCCGAACGATTAAGGAGGGTTCTCTTCGGACTGGATCCCAAAAGTGCTTGAGGGTGTAAACCGAAACGCAGCTGCGCAACTTCTGCGGCGTTATTTAATCTCTAGTTGAGCCTCTTCTAAAAGCGCAACCAGGACCGCCTCTTACACGGCTTTTAAAGCGAAACCGGTATTCAGAACTACCGTAAGGTGCTGAAGCTGCTTGCTTGGTCCGAACACACGAGCACGTGCAGGCTCTTTCGATTTGAGTCGCCTTCTCAAACGGAGTTGAAACAGGACTGTAAAGGACGGCAGGCTTTTGCACTTCGCTTCTGCAGCCTTTGGTCGCCTTACGGAATTTCAGAATGATAGATTTAATAGTGTTCGCTTCAGCGGACAACGTCTGATTGTGACTGAGGATCCTTCGAATTATTCCCGGCCTCTCTCAACCAATCTTTATTAAATGTATGTAGTACCCTAACCCTCTAATCTCGTTTTTGTTCTATCCGTCATAGGCTGGCCTCTTGAGCCGGCATCTTTTTGGGATACTCTTTGCTGATAGAACCTTTTTCTTCCTGACTCTAGGCAAGTTGACTTCGTTTTCGACCTCGCTCCTGCTCCTTTTGCAGCCCTCCCCAAGGCCCCTCGCAAAAGGCTGCGCGCGAATTCTGGCGGCCCCCCCAATGCTGACCCCCACGCGCCAACCGCGCAGTCCGCGCGGCTGAGCATCCCCCTCGACGAAGTCCCCGCGCGGCCGACGACGGTGCATCTGCAGTCGCGCCGCAGAGCCGCCATCTCTGTCGAGGGCCTTGCTGCCTCTTTGGACGGGTACAAGGGCTTCTCGTTGCAGTTCCTGGAGGGGAACCAGGTGAAGCTAACGTTGCACAAGACCGGGGAGGACGTGCGCGCGCGCACCGAGAAGCTTGCCGCGCAGTGCGCGCGGCGAGGGCCCGACGCGGCCGCGCGCGTCCTCAAGGGGTTCTTCTCTTGGGTGAGCGACGCGTGGAACGCGGTCAAAGAGGCCGCGGAGGCGGCCGCGCGGCTCGCGGAGGAGGCGGTCGAGAAGGCGCGCGAGATCGTGGTCGCGATCGAGAACGAGGTGACGGTGTTCGTGCAGACGGCGGAGAGCCTCGCGAGGATCGTGGTGGACAGCGTCGAGAAAGCGGTGGGTACCGTGGTGGACTTTGTGAGGAAGATCGGGGTGCTCATCGAGCAATTCGTCCAGTTCCTCATGCTCCTCTTCGACTGGGGCGACATCCTGGCGGCCAAGGCGCGCATGCGCGAGCTGCTCGGCGGCTGCGCGAGCGCGCTCGCGGGCATGCTCGCGCCCGCGAACCTGGCAGGCGTCGTGAAGCTGTGCGAGGGCGAGATCCTGAAGCTGTCGCCGGGGCCCTCAAGCGCGGCCTTGCCGGCGCCGTCCAACAACTTGCTCGACAACGACTTCGGACAGAAAGCGTGCGGTCAGGCCTCCAGTTCCCGGGTCAAAACCATGCAGAACCGGGCGACCAACCAGATCCCACCGGCAGGCGCACAAACCCCCGGGCCCATCCCAATCGTGCCGCCGGGCGGCTCCGAGCCGGCGCACTCGAAGCTGGCGACTGCGCTGCTGGGCACGCTGTCCGATTTGGACGACCTACTGTCCGGGGATGTGCTGGCGGCGGTGCCGCTCATCCTGGACCTGCCCAAACTGCTCGACGACCTGTTTCCGCTGGAAGCGTCCGAAGTGACGGACATCGTGACCGGCGCGTTGCGAGCGGGCGGCGACGCGCTGAAGAGCAACCCGTTTCTAGATTTGGTGGACGCAGTTTTCGGTGCGATGGACGCGGGGATCGACATCCCGTTCGTCAGCATGCTCTACAAGTGGATCACGGGGCACGAGCTCACGGTCCTGGACCTGCTGTGCCTGCTGCTCGGCCTCGCCGCGCACATCGCGTACGCGTGGGCGTCCGAACTGCTCACCGGACACGGCGCCTCGTTCGCGGACGACGCGGCCGGGCTCGCGCAGTACTTCGGCGACACGCTCCGCAACGGGATGGCGCTCGCGCTCGGCGGCTCGCACGTGGCAAAGCAGGAGAGGCTGACGGACGTGCCGAAGACGCCCATTTTGATCAGCTACTGCGTGCTGAAGGGGGCCCACATCTTCACCAACCTGGCGACCATGCTAGTGTTGGACGCCACTCGTACGACGGTGGGCAAGGATCTGGACGGATGCTGGCAATGGCCGCTCGTCGGGACCGACGCGCTGCTCGAGCTGGGCGCGCAGACCGTCATGCTGATCTACAAGTTCCAGGAAGCGATCGACACCCCGTCGGGCACGGACAAGGCCGTGGCGGCCATCAGCTGCCTCACGGGGATCATCATGGCGATCCGCACTTTTGGCGGCCTCGCAGACGCGTATACCATAGAGAGAACCAAGAAATTGCCCACCGGCGGATGGACGGACCCGGTTCTTATTGCCGTTGATAAGCTGCTCGGAGGGCTGTCGGGGCCGAACTTCAACGCCCTGATGGCGTGCCTTGTTGGCTTGCTATTCGCAGACGTCGGGATGATCATTTTTGATTTCGCAAAGGGGGAGTGGAAGCAGCACGTCAGCAGTCTTGGGACTCTGGTAGGCGTTGTCCACACCGTCTACCAACACAGGCTCAACGGTCAGGTGTTGCTTCGGGCCTTGAGTGCGGAGGGGGCGGAGGTCCCTTCCAAGCAGAAAGAGATCTACGCTTCGGCGGTCGTGGAAGCTGTAAGCATGGCGCTTAACGTCGTCTCGTTAGCTGAATGAGCTTAGCTGCAGGCTACTTAGTAATGATAATTATCCCTACTCGTGAGTCACCTAGGAGGCGCTTCTGGTAAGTTTGTTCAATCTTCTTAGCGACCTATGAATACTATTAGTCCGTATCCCGTAACAATGTCGTCGAGGGCCCGTGTTTATCAAGTTTTGCATCAGGCCTGACTGAGAGCTGCTTCTTGAGAGAGATTAAGTTTGCGGCATTTAGAGTCAGCACGGTCGGTTCCGTCCTGTCAGACGTCTTAGGATTACTGCCACCCGCACACAAGAGCGTTATGTACTTCGTCTGGGAGACCCTTTTGATCTGCTGCACCTCATGGGAGCAGATCATTTGTGCTTGGAGGCCATCGTTCAACGTACATCAAGCATATGGTGTTTCTTGCACATCGAATGATGCGTTGAGTTAAGTTCAGATCCTACCATATCTCCGTGGCTTCTTGCATGATTGACCATACGACAAACCGAAATTATGAGGCCACACTCGTGTTTTCCATATGAGTTACTTCGTGAGTAGGAAAAATGCTTACAAGGAACCGCAACAAGGGCCTTTCGAAAACCTGGAATTCACTAGATGTCTCCCGGTCATCTTTTGCAGGAATCGAATACGTTACAAAAGCGTAACCTAGTGCTGCCCTATGGTAATCTTGTCCAGATGCGTACGATTGCACGTACGGAGTTTCGCCGATTTCCGACCTGCCTTTTCAAGTTTCGCTCGCGGCTCCGCACGGCGCAACCGGCAACGGTACGTACTACCACATTGATGCGCAGAGCTCGCGAGCTGCATGTGGCACGCGCGCGGCAGCGGGCCGGCACATGACAACCGCACAGCGACGAAGTCTTCACTGCGTCACATGAAATCTCGCACATGCTTAGATGCTCCCTTAAGTTGATACACAGGCCGGCCGTATACTACCGCAGTGTATCTTACAGTTCACCTGTTTCTAGAAATCTTGCATGGCAGGCCAATGATACACACAGAGCATGCATGTTATTGGATCATCGTTCATGCTCAAACTAGTTGTATCATCTTGCGCCATGGGCCCAGGTGCCTAAGCGTGTATAAAAAGAAGTGACCATCTTAGCTGTTTGTGATCGAACTTAGGAAAGCGGACACTACAGCAAATATGTGCAATCTACTCTTGTATGCCGGCCGGCCATGAGAAGCCTACGATAGCAGTTGGCTTTGACCAGAAAGACCTTTCTAGAACAGCGGAACTGGCTTATATGCAAGATCTACGTGAAGCTTCGGGAAGTCGATACTGCACCTATTTCGAGATGGTAAAAGCTGGTTACTCGTTTGAGAGATACCTTGACTTGCTGGTCCACTCTCCCACATTGTTGTTCTCCTTGGCAAGGTTTAGAGTTGGCTCGCACAAGTTAGAGCTCGAAATTGGTAGGTGGAAAGGTTTACCCCGAGAGGAGAGACTGTGCAAGCTCTGCAGGTCAGGGGTAGTGGAGGACGAAGTGCATTTCATCTTTGAATGCACAGCGTTCAGTGACCTTAGACTACCCTTCCAATTACTTTTCGAGCATAGCGATTGGAGAAACCTAAAGAGCTTTCTCAATCAAGAGGACCAATTTGCGGTAGCTAAGTTTGTCCATATGTGCACGTTAAGACGCGCAGAGGTCTTAAATAGGACAATCGTCGACTAAGCCTGTCATGGCTCCGAACCGACGTTAATAAACAATTAACAATTAACTAGCATGCAGATCGGATGGTTATAAGTTGCAAGTCGAATTCAACATCATGCTTATCACGGCCTCAGCCTTCCGTGATCGGACATTTCAATCAAGGCCTATAATGTCACTTCTTACTAAGACGACATACTGGCAATAAGCATGGGCCAGCTGCGTTCAGGAGCCAGAAATGTGACAGCCAGGGTCGGACATATACATGTAGCCATAACCATCTCAACTTATCCGCAAGAAATCATGTAGTGATTGAGGGATGGACCGGATGGTGCATGCAAGGCAAGAGTATCCGAGCAACAATGATCGGACTCTAGCTGCTTTCAACGTCTACACTAGGAAACATTCTGTTCACAAATCCTATGATCCGAAGGCGCACTGCTCCCGATTGCTCTGCTTTCGTGCTCCCGTTTTTGCAGTCGTTAAGGAGAGACAGCAAAGCGTGAGCTCCGTCTATCATTTATGGACGCCGCAGATCAGTCGCAAACGCAAAGATGAACGCATTCGAGTGCCGATGGCGCCCATTGTGCGCTCCCCTGTCTTTTCAGTAACTCCAAAACCCTTTCTTGTGGTCGACAGTCGACAATGAGAAGCGAAGCGCGCTACAGCACTGGACCGTCAGGAGCCGGCACGGATGGCTCAAGAGGGCGCTTGAAACTTGGGAGAACCTTGCCAAACTCATCTATTACCTGCTCATACACCGCTCGCTTGAACTTTACAGCCTGCGAGCAGATGAGTCGGGGTAAGTCGACCCATCCAGAAAGAGAGTATGTGGTGACTTCGCCATCCACTGTTGTGCTTGCAGCGAAAACAGACTGCTGAAGTTGTTCTGCTTGAAACGATATAACAGCCCGACTGCTGAACTTCGGGCCTAACACGGCTCCTTGCTTGTTTGAATGGGCATGACTATTGAGGATTTTGAGAAGCTCTGGGTATGAGGTGACTGCAGCGGAGTGCGTAAACCAAACAACTGTTCTTCCTCCATCCACAAAGGAAATGGATGCTCTTGAACGAAAAATGGACCGTTCATTGTAAGTCCTGTATTTTTCTTAAAGAGCATGTTCCATCTTCCGGAGACCTCAAATTACCAGAAAGATCCGGAGTCACGCCTTCAAAAAAACCAAATCCCGCTCAGATTGACTTGATCTGTTTCTGATTCAGTATAACTGAATCTGAATGTTCAGACGTTATCAACGTTCACAGCGTTTCAAACGTCGTCAACGATTACAGTGGTCAAAAATAATCAACGATCACAGCATGATCGATGCAGGCCTCGGGCTGGGCGTGTAGATGTTCACCCACCTTGTTAACCACCTGGTTTGCGTCAACCCACTTATACTCCGAGAACTCGGGCTTCTCGGACCCGTCTCCTAGAAGATTGATCTCGCTCTCGTCTCCGGTTAGTCGAAACAAAAACCTGCACGCACAGTCTTCTCGAAATGAGTAGTTACAAACAAGAGAACCAAGGGGTGCAAACCCCCACGACAAACGACCGAGACATCGTTGAAATTTCCACAAAGCCCTCGACGTGCGAGTGCAAGAGTCCGACAAATTTACTAACTGCAGAAGGGACGGCATATCCGGCCCTTCAGTTTCCATGGGCTCTGCGTTCAGATTGTGTCTTTCCGCGACCACCCAGCAAAAGCACATGACGGCCTTCTGGTCGCATGAATATTTTTAGCTACGAGGAGTTCCTTCAGCATATCGTTCATGAAATCATCTCGAAGGCCCCTGCCAACGCGAGAAACAATGCTGGCGGCCTTTGATAGCGTTCATAAAGCTGTTCTTTACTTGAAAACTGGCAACCGACCCAATCCCGATCCTGTTTCAGCGGTGTCGAGGTCTACAATCCGACGAATGTTGGAATTCGCTTCCAGTGATCAAAGCTCCAAGCCTCATTTTTGACAGATGATAGCACCGCATGTTGTCAAACTCCTTGCCTGCCCCCCTTAGCGCCTTCTCGAGACGATGGACCTGAACAGAATTTGTAGAGGACACTTGGACCCTCGTACACCCCTTCGTATCTGGACCTACTCTCCGGGAATCTCATTGACAATTGCGCGCAGATCCGACGTGCCCTGATACCCCTGGCATCCGTATGCCGGGGGCCGATGGTCTTATGGAGCCTGTTCTCACCACTTTTGGGCCTGCCCCTTCCAGTCCTTGCCCCAGTGTTCGCGTAGCCGAGCTCGGACGTCCGGAGGAAAGTCATATGTGACCCTGTACGAAAATTCGGCAGAGACGACTTTGCGGGGATTCAATCAGGACCTTGGGAGAAACCGGGAAAGCGACTTCGCTATCGCGTTAACAAAGTTGAGCTCTGGAAAAATCCGAAGGGAACGCTGCGGCAATTCCAGGCAATTCCAGAGGTCGGTACCTACCCAGATAATTAGGATGAAGGAGCATAATTGAAACTTGGTAATAAGAAATGAGTCCCAAGATGCGTATTCCGCGGGCGGCGCGCATGAGTCCTCAGAGTTTGGGAGTATAAACAACATGCGCCGTCTTTTCCTATCCTAGCTAAAGTACCCCAATCCTTCGGAAGACAAATCTCGAGGGGCAAGTGAGGTCGTTCGAAAGATGTGCGAAAAGAGACAGAAATAGCATCTGTCATTGCCAAAGAAAGAAATGCTGAAACGTGTCTGATTCTAATGTACAACCCGCTTTCAGGTCACCGGTCATCATTGCTAACGCCTGGAAATTTAGGTTGGATGAAAGCCTATATTTTCACAAACTATGACCTGCGCAAAGAGACTTGGAAGTACCAGGACAACTCTGAGCCACAGATGAACCGTGTTCTCAACCAACTTCAACATTCTGACCACTGATTGCCCGGCCGAATGTCAGACACTGTCAGCGATTCTGATAGAAACTGCAACAAAAAAAGCATATTATTCTAAAAAGAAACCTCCTGCTTCGAAGATGATGCAGACTTCTTTTAGAGTGGTTGCACCTTTTACGAGCTCCCCTCACAAGCTTACCACCGTGAGACTTGTCCGATGATGTCAGCCGACGTGACGCCCGTCTCCTCTCGCAGCTCTCGAACCGCAGCCTCAGCAGCGGTTTCTCCCTCGTCAATTCCCCCCTGCACAAAGATTGGGAAGATGTACTCGTAAGCCAAGGCATCTAGAGGAGTCCCCAGTAGGCAGAGCTCTATTTCCACACGAGTCCATGAAAGCCAGGAACTCGGACGAAGCAGCATGAGAATAGAGAGAAATGTGAGGAGTTTTAAGTGACGGTTCGCAGCAAGACTTTGGATGTACAAATGTAAGGACGGCCTGTTTTGATGACATGTCTGGCCTCATTGCGGCTCTCAAGCATTAAAGATTGTCTTTCAAGGAATTGCGACGGTTGTGATCTCAGATGGTGCATACAGCCACCTGAGTAACTAACCTGATCGGCCATACATTCAGAGGTAAGATTCAGAGGTACTTTTTGTAGGCACAGCGAGCAAAGGATAGGGAGAACATGACAACCACTGCATGCCGCCAGCTTCAGTGGGTAGAGCGCAATCTGAGGATAGCTGCTTTAGAACGGTGAATGGAACGGGCAGCAGAAATTTTTCTCCAACTAAGGACTTGGGTTGAGCTAAGTGCCTCACGAACCAATCAAGGAAGGAAACAAAAGAACTTTCGATATTCGGACGCTTCTATGAATGAAGACCAAAGGGGTTTTTTGACGAAAGCAATGCTTACCTGGGGCATCTGCCACGCATTTTCCATGTCCAGCCTATTGGCCACAAACACCTGGTCGTCCGCATTCACCAGGCACACCCCCACATTTGGACGGTATCCATCCGGACACGCAGCGCCCTCCTCGAGGAAACCGTCGTGCCCGCCTTTCATCACCCCTGTGGCCGTGCTTTTTGAATGTGAGTTTCTGCAAGTGTGGCTGTCAGGTTGGTGCGCTGGAAAGGAGGCCTTACTGTTTGTTCTGAGTTGCTGAAAGGAGGATGAACTGCTGCAGGACGTCACTGCAGCTGGATTTCGATATGCTGATGTTGGAAGACACGAAAGGCGACTTGAATTCCGACCCTGAATAGGACTCCAACCACCGCAACTCTTCAGTGGTTGCAATACTGAAGATATGTGCCACAGATTGGCCTCCCCGCAGGCTGTTTGGATACGCAGGTGGCGAAGTGCCTGCTGAGGAGCCAGATTCAAACCCTGAACAAGGCTAGTCATTGCTTTTATAGAAGCGGCTGGTGGCAGAACAAAGCTTCCCTGTCAATGACAAGACGTCGCCACTGCAGCATCCATTGCAGCGCGCCACATTTCAAATGCATCTGAGCTGAGCCAGCGCGCGGTATTAAATGGGTAGACCTTGCCAAGCAGAAAAGCGTGTCAAGATAGTGAGATATGGCCAGCCGCAAAAGTACTGACACTAGGAAAGTTAAACATTATAAGCCTGCCAGGTGTCCGATAATGGTCAATCTCCTTCCTTATGCCAGGGCCGACTCCGTCGATTCCGGCGGAATCGAGATTGTGTCAGAGACGATCTTCCGCGGGCTTCGGAATCCGCTCAGCCTGACTTGCCGGAGCTGAACCTGCACACTCCCGCTATTTTTGTAGGGGCTAGAAAGTGTCTGCAGCGCCTCACAATGGAGGAGAAAAAGTAGGGGACATGCTAGCATACATGTACTCATTTTGTCCCAGACTCCAGTTAGCTCGAGCTTTAGCAGCCAGATGCATAATGGCCACAAAGCAAAAGTCAGGAAGATCCTCAGGTGCACGAGGGTTAGGCAACGAGAGACACATAGTTTGATTCTTCTCTAGGCTTTTGCGTTTGCGGCATGTGAAGGCGTGTCTCTGCGTTTCTTCGCTCTCAAGTGGTGGCAGCTCAGGTTGGACTTATTTCTTAGATGTTGCATCTTGAGGTGTTAGAAACATTGGTTTGAAACCTGGGACTTCCAAATAGCCAAAATGCTGCCCAGTCCCCACATTCGGCGAACTAGCATGGCTGGAGAGGCCCCCCTGCAGATCGCTTTTCTGGACGTTGAAACCACCATACCCTCGAAGAAGGGCGAGCAGTATGAGCTGCTTGAGTTTGCGGCAGTCGTGCTGGCAGCGGAGGGGTTCTACGAGGTGTTCTCCTTTTCGACGCTCGTACGGCCAGCGGATTTGACTCTCATCACACCCAAGAGTGTTGCTTGCAACGGGATCACGGGGGAGAAGTGCGAGGGCGCCCCTCGTTTTGCGGAGGTTGCGGAGCAGATCTACAGGATTCTACACGGTGGGAAGATAGTTCTTTTCTTCCTATAGCTGAGTCTTCGTTGATTATGGTGACTGCTTGGAAGTTTCTAGGTGTCAACTTTTTGGTGTTCCAGAGGAGGTGGGACTATCAGGAGTCAGGAGACATTGGATGAAAACTCCGAAGGGGAGCCCATCAACCGCTTGGCCCTCGTAAAAGTTGTCTTCAGGTTCTTTGTCAACATCGTCCCAGCAAAATATAAAAGCACAATTGTGCTTGCGCCCCACTCTCGAGACGCCATAGAAAGCATTTTCTATAAATTCTTTTGTTGGCACGCTTGACGGAGATTGTATTTCCTCGCGCAACTGGCATCATGAAAAGAGGCCAGAATTTCCACTGCCTTTGGGGAGCTGGGGCCTACGACAGGGAGTGCAAAGCTGCCCCCATCATGCTGGGAGGGGCTTTGCGCTTAGCATTCAGCATTGGGTATTCTGGTGTCCTTTCGCTGTGCACCTCGTTTATCTGGTTGGTCTTCATCGTTTCACCTTTTTGGACACACGTGCTGGAAGATTTCGTGAGTAGTACCATCGGATTGGGGAGCTTGGTGCCCTCTGGTAATTGAGCACTCCTTCCCCAAGTACTTGGTGTGACAAGCAATTTCCTGGAACCTGCCCCCCACCTCTTCCAACACAAAGTGTCCTTTTCAATCTCCTTGCCATCCCACCGCAGAACAAGTTCGTCTGACAGGCAGAACTAAGAGTGTGGCTAAACCTTGGTCCTAACAAAGGCATGTTTGATTGAAAGGCATGTTATCACACAGTGCACCTGGCCCAACCTTTTGCTGAGGCACCCACTATGTGGTACTTTTGACATGACATTGAGATGTTGACACTCTGCGCAAAATCTCACCCTCAATGATGTCTTGTGAAACCAGATACATGTGACCTATTTTTCCAAAGGCTGCTTGTGGGCGGGCCATGATGTTGTCAGGATTTTAACAGCTTCGCTGAATCAGGTGACGGGCAGCATGGACAGATGCTTGAGCCAATCTCACTGAACTCCCCCGTCGAGCGGAGTTTGGGCCCCAGTGTTGTAGACTGGTAATATCCAGCTTTACTACCTGAAGCACGTCATAATACGCCTAAACCAACATCGGAACAGTCTCTCTCCCCAGTTGGCTTAGGGGCTGGCCACAGCTTCTTGCATTCCAACAGTTACCATTTTGCTTTGCGAAGTGCACTAAATTCTTTGCAGTGACATGTAATCATTCTCCCCCTCACACGACCAATCGAATGGCCACAGCATTATATAGTTCACAATTTCACTCTCAACCACAAATCGCGAAACCAACATTTTGCCCTTCTCTTCCCCCAGGCCGTGTGCCCTCGACGTCGAATTTTAACCCAGTTCATAACAGTATCTTCTTTAAGGCTGCGCAGGGGTTAGTAAGATCAACTCTAAAGTTTGACCCACTCCTCAACCTTTCTTCCTCCAGGCCGAGTATGGGCCGGCCACAACATCGTCAAGTTTGACAATCTGCGGATTCGAGAAGCATTTCAAAAGTGCAACCAGACCGCTCCCGAGCCGCTCGGAGTGATCGACACGCTGCCGCTGCTGCGGTCCAAGTTTGGCATGCGGGCCGGAAACCTCAAGGTGGGTTAGTTGAGTGGCAGTCGAAGGTTATCAAGAAGTTAGTCGAGGGTCAAGTCAGAGCATTTCGATGATGTTGAAGAAGTGGTCAAGGGCCTACTGTGAGTTCACAAACCCCCAGTTCACCACCAGTTAACCCCTTTACTGTGGGTTAAAGGCCGCAGAGAGAGCTGTTGGAGAGCTGTGCGAGTGGTTAGTTCTATTTCAAGCAAGGGTTGAAGCATGGTCAGACTTTCCATCTTGATCGCAGGCCATGCGATTGTGGGAATGGTCGCTGTTATGCGGGGTTATGTTTTTGGCGCTCAACAGCTGTAGGTTGTACCACAGTTACGGTGTTTGCAACCTGTAGTTGGCAGGTTGGCGGCTGGTCATAGGGAGGTCAAGGGACTGCTTAAGGACTGCCGAAGTGGAGTAATGATCTTCGCTGGGCTCCATAATCAGTAATTTCCACTGGAGGCACCAGTCACAAGGCTGGAACTACCTTATTTGCACTGAGTAGAAGTGCACACAGACCTCGTTTCATTTACCACTGAAGAATGCACTTTTAATGATGTGAAATTACCTGTCATTTCAAACTAAAACCTTGCTAAGTTGTGTCAGAGACATTTTTCGACAAGGCTTCCCTGAAAGGCTCCAGATCAATCGAGGACCTACGGCCAAACATCCCGTGTCTGATCTACCTAATCTTCTCGCTTATTGACGACTAAAAGAGAGCGATACAGCAAGGTTGCTAAACGCAAATGCTTTACCCTTTAATTTGCAGATGGCGAGGCTGGGCGAGTATTGCGGGCTTGGGAAACAGGAGCACAGGTCAGAAGTCACTTCAACCCGCTCTCGCTGCACTGCTACTGGCTTCTGATTGGTTTGACAATGCTAAGAGTTTTCGCCTCTATTCGTTTCTAAGAGGCATTCAGGATCAGGATTTAGGTGCGGACTGAGTGGAGAGAAACGTGTGTGAGAGCTTGTAAGGTCAAGCCGGGTTCACTCCGAGTGCCGCTTCTACGACTGCGATTTGCGAAGCTTGACGTTTTCGACCTCTACAGGAGCCTCGAGGACTGCCGAATGAACATCGAGATCCTGAAGCACTGCGCAGCGATGCTCTTTCTGGTAAGCAGCCACCTCCTTCCCTCGTTATGTCGAAGTTTGCCGTGCATTCCGCTTTTCCCCATCTTCCATGCGCCTTTCTCAGTTGCGCCCCGCGGGTCATCTTCGTTCTCCCTTCGCCTTTGGGGCGTGTCAGGATCCAAAACCCAGGCCCTCCCCGTGTCTTACTCCCTGTGTTCTCCCCTCGATACTTGAGTGCCTCCATTGCTCTCCCTCTTTTTCCGACCGTTCCAACGATTCCGAACCAGGACGAGTCAAGTCCAGTTCCTTGCATGCGACGTTTGTGACTGTCTCGACTCGTAGAAGTTTTGCCGTCGCCTGAAACCGCTTCGGTCTCCAGCCTCTCATCTCTGATTCAAGTAAATGCAGGTACACTCCGTTAAGTGTGGCGCCTACATTTACATCGCTGCATGTTTTGTACGTTTGTTTGACGCAACAAGTGACCCTTCCCATCCAATCGTCACACCTTCCGGTCGACGCAACACCCAAACCTATACACTCTTCTGCACTCAGGAATCTGGGAACACCTCAGCTGAGCTCTAACACGTTCCGCTCGATGCGGAACCTGACTCGCACTTCATTCCGCCCCACTTCCAGGAAGCCAACTTCGCGGACATCTTCTCTCCCTCCACTCTGGCAGCCGTCTTGTCCTCTAGCGCAAGCTCCCCCCTCTCGTCCTCTGGCCATGCAAAGCGGCTCGCCGAGCGCGGGCTGCCCCCCCGAAGCGGGGAGAGGACGCCGCCCGTCTCCATCCTTCCGTCTAGCGAGGAGCCACCATCCGATGGTAAGAGCGTGTTTCAAATCCTTTGTTCTTACAGATAGAAGATGGTTGTTAGAGTTCTGGGACTCGAATGTGCTTCTTGAGCGGCTTTTGGAAGTAAGACGCCGTGTGCTGTCCCCAAGTTGATTGTGATGCTCGGAAGTTTGCATCCCAGATTGATATGTAGCTGGCCTCTGCAAGAGCTTGCAGAGCGCTCGCTCAGGGCTTTGAATACCAGTCCACTACTACTTGTATGTATGCTCCTATGATTGAGGATTGCGGGCTTTTGCATGCTTCGAAGATTGAGTCGCTGAGTCGCACACATACTGCCGGTGCCGGACCATAAGCAAACCCCTTGAGGACTTTGGACGACCTGGACGATCGTTTATCTGTGCACGTGGGCACTCCATGCTCTGCTCGAAGCTTCTCGATTTCACACTTGCCAACAACCATTTTCTTAGAGAAAAGCTGGAAAAGCCCACAATCAGTCCTGCTGATCATCAGCTTTTGCCCATCTGTCCCTTCACAAGTGTGCGCCTAACCGCCTTGGTTTCGCTTAACCACGCAGGCGGAGTCTCTGCCGTTCAGGCCGTCAGCACCGCCGCCTTCCTCCACGCCCTCGACAAATCTTCCCAGACCCCCCCACAAGACGGCCGCCCCCCAACCGACGCCCTCATCAGCAGCCTGGCCGCCCTGAGCCTCGCAGGGGGGGGTCCCGTTCCGGGGGGTTCCCAAAATCCCCCTCGCTCGCAAAGCCCATTCTCCGGGATCCATATGGGCAGCCCAGCAGAAAGGGCCCAAATGCCCAGCACCCCCGGAAAGGACCCCCCCGGGCCGCAACTGTCCCCTTACGGGACTGAGATTAGGCTCGCGAAAGATAGACTTCCACAGGTAAAAAGCGCGCCCGCGTTGCAGCGGGGGGCATCGCTGGACAGCGGTCTGCCAGTGGCTTACGCTGCGAGGAGCCCGTCGCAAACCGGGGGGTCAGATCCGCACTCGGAGATCCCCCCCGAAGGGAGCGCGACACAAAACGGGGGCCAGGATCTGCAGGGGGAAGGCCCCCCCAAGGGGGGCAGTATGCGAACGGGGGGGTCGGACTCGCAGTGGAAGGGACCGGAGGAGGAGGAGCGGCTCCGGTTCTTGGGAGAGAACGAGATTGCGGATAAGGTGGTTAACTGGCTTAACCAGGTTCCGGCAGTTGACGTTTGGGCAGAACCGGAGGGACATGGGCCGGATCTCAGCGACTCGCCAGCTGTCGGGCGGCCATTGGTTGGTGTAGACAATAAGGGGCATGCGGGGAGGGGGGACAGGTATGAGAAGGGGGGGCCAGCTTTGCAAGGAACGGCGCCTCCCCAAGCGAAAAGCTCTGGAGCAGCCCGGCTGAAAGGGGACGAGGCCGAGCGCACCAGGACTGTGCTTGAGACCAACGGGAGTGTTACTGGGAGAGGTAGTAACACCAGGGAGGATATTCACACTAACGGGGGAGCTGACACTGGGGGCGAATATCACACGAAGGTCCTTGAGGTTGCGCGTGTAGCAGCTAACCAGGATCTGCCGGAAGAAGAAGAGGTGCTTCGCCGGTGGTCGCACGGATCCCGTAGCGGGAGCGCGCGAAAGTCGATGAGCAGCGGAAACTCCGCGAACCGGTTGGCGGCGTTAGCGGAGAACGAGGAGATCGTTGCGGACTCAAACGGGTCGAATCGCCGGTGGTCGCTCGACTCGGGTTACCGGGACAACCCGGGGTTAGCGCGGGAGGACCACTTCCGGTACGACGACGAGGACGTGCCAGATGGCGAGTCGCCATTGGAGGAGCCCGAGCCGCCCGCGACCCCTGACTTCCAACCGAAGCGGAAATTCATATGCTTTCCCACGCTCCAGAAACTGGTCGGAAAGAGCAAAACGGGGAGGGTTAGCACTAACCGGGAGGCTGACCGCCTGATCATAGCGCATCGCGAGTCAGTTGACAGCGGGCCTGTAGGGTTCCAGTCTGCGAGGGAGAGTAGTTTGGATCCGTTGAGTCAGTCGTATGGTGGGTATACAGAGGAGGCGTATGTTACTGTGGGATCAAGCCCTGCAAGCACGTCTACGCTAGGCCTGGAGGCGGGGAATCGAGGTGAGCTTGTCTAAAATAAAGCAGATATAAATAACTACTCCGATTACGAGTTATCTTGAGGATAATGCCTGCCCACGCAAAGCGCATTGAATCAATTTTTGCCTGATGCGAATTACAGGCATTTCAACCTTCAGCCGGAAACTAATACTCTCTTGGAGGGCTGAGGATTCACCTATTTCTGGCTGGCAGTGTTCCCTGTCTGAATCCGCAAAATCCTAAATCCACCACGGAATCGCGAGACCCAGGGCCGAAGATTCTCAAAGCTTCAAATAAGCCTTCTTTTCGTCTTGCTAGTACGAGTAAATGTGCTTAGACAGCTGGTAATCTTGTCGTTTGTACATTTTCTCTCACAGATTCCGGTGCCTACCCCGAGACCTCCTTCTTCGGCCCAAACGCCGTCTTCGACCCCCTCGCAATTCCCCTCGAGAGCCCCTCCCGCCGCTACTCCTCCGCCCACATGGCCATCGACCTCCCGCTCACACGGTACCCCCCCCCTCGCCGCTCCTCGTACGACCCCCCTGGCGCGGTGCCGTCCCCCGGTGTCCACGGAAACAACTCCCCCGGTTTCGCCGAGGGGGGGTTCCCCCGCGCGACCGGCGACCGCTACTTCGTCATGCGGGCGCCCCCCCGGCACAGCCCGCCGGGGGGCTTCGCTGACGCCAGCACGGGCCTTGCTGACGTCAGCAGCTCGGGGCGGGACCGCGGCGAGTTCGCGAAGAGGGGACCGCTCGGGCACGTGTTACAGCCCCCCGACGATTACTCTCCGGCGGAGACGCTCCGGGGGCCGTACGTCGAAACGTCGAGCAGCGACGTGGCGACGTCGTGGACCCGGGGGGAGAGCGGGGCGACCCCCAGGCGGAAAACGGGGGGAAAAGGGTCGCCGGTGTGGCCCGCGTACGCCCCCCGGGAAGTGAACGTGGACTTGCTGCACGTGGTTGAGTCGGTCCATCATGCAGGTGAGCAAATTGCTGCATTGGTGGTCGACAAGTTCTGTCCGTCTGTTTCACTTTGTGGCGATTTGCTTGTTACATAAACAGTGCTTGAGAACAGAAAGAAGCCTTGTAAGGTCTTCCCTTCCATTCACTCCGGAGCGCCTTCCAGTAGGCTCTCCATCTTCTGAGGAACGCCTCGGCGAACCAAGCAACCTGCTCCGAAACTTGGGACTCTATCTTCGACCGCTCTAAACTTCAGAGGGCTACTACTTGCATGCCGGCTAATGCAGTCCGCCAAACGATGTTGCCATTTGTGATCTCCAACGGTTTTTGCTTCGAGACTTGAGCTTTGCACAAATCAAGAGACTGCATCTCGACACGTGTGGGGCCCTCTACTGAATGCTAGAAGGGGCTCACATTTGGCTGCTGCAGTTGTTGCGGGACCCCCACTTTGTAGGTGGATAGGAAGCTATATTGGCTTGTATCAAGCCCCCCATGATATCCACCTACAATCAAGGGGACACTTCGCCCTGTCCAGGCCCCCCTTTCCTGACAATCCACTTCGGCGACGCCCCCCTCCGGGTGCAGGAGCGTCAGCGCAGATTCCCCCAGAAATTGACTCACAACAGGGGGCGATGTTGCCTTCTGCAGGCCCCCCCTCCCTGACGATCCACTTAGACGATCACCCCTTCCGGGTGCAGGAGTGCCAGTGCCAAACCTCCCCAGAATCCCAAATTCACAAATTTACGCATAACAGGGGGATACTTTTGCCTTGTGCAGGCCCCCCCTCCCTGACGATCCACTTCGGCGACACCCCCCTCCGGGTGCAGGAGCACCAGATGCGGCTGCGCTTCAGCGTCGGGGACTCGTACGCGTACGATGCGCACGGCCGCCCGACGTTCTCCGTCGTGGGGGAGCCTTCGACGGAGCTCAAGAACTTCCTGGAGGGGTGTGACGTCATGCTGCGTCAGCAGCTGAGCCCGCGTGTGGGGCCGGCCGTGTGGCGCCGCACGGTCGTCCAAAAGGTGGGCGCTCCTGTGTTTGGGATAGTTCTGGAGCCGCTGTTGGGTCTGAAAGAGTCAAGCTCTAGTTGTTTTGCACTACCCAACAAACGGTGCCCCACCGTAGCGTCTTCTCCTCGTCTTCTTATATGCTTCCGCTTCGATTTCATCTAGAATATTGTCAGGCTGGGGTGCAAAAGCGGGTCGCCGTTTGCACCTTGACGGTAATTTGGCCAATCTGCTTTGAAGTGCCTCCAGTATCCATATAACCTGCTCGTTGCGCAACGTTGCTGTCTTTTCACAGTCCCTTGATTTGATAGGCTCCCACCCCTCGACTCCTCTGTTCAAGCGAGGCCGACTCATCAAATGAAGTCTTCGTTTTCAACTGCAGGAAGGCGAGGTGGATTCGATCCGTATTCGGATCGGCGCCCGGGGACACCAGCAGACCGCCACGTATACCACCAAGTTCCTCCGACGGAAACGCTCCGGAAAGGGCATCGAACGACTGCCACTTGGCGTCGTTGACCCGCTCATTTTCCGGAGCTTCTTCCCACACGGCTGTGTAGTTGACGTGGCTTTCACGATAGAGACGTCCTGCGTTGAGGGGTACGCGGGGTGTAGATTAGTCGCGAGCGAACTGACCCTGGTCTAACGTAGACTGATGACACGGTTGAGCAAACGGGAATGACTGTGACTAATTTTGGGGTTAACGGTGAGGGAGGTACTAACCACAGTCTGCGAGGCACCCCAGCTCCTTTAGAAACTGATCGACAAGGAACTAACCGTGCGGAGGTGCGCAAAGGCTCCGCTTAGGGTGAGGATTGACCCCCAGTAAATGCCCAAAGCGTGCCGTCTTCACAATGCAGCCCTGCCGCCTCGATTGCCTTGACTCTGACAGCTGACGCGTCTCAGGTTGTTAGAGAGTGGCCTGCAGTTGACCTGACAAATTCTAGGCTAGCTTGTCCAGGATCGGACATGGTCATGTGACACTAACAGTCCTCTTCGGTCCTATGGCTGGCTAACGCTGCCACGTTCTGACTTCAGTTGCTTAGCTTTGCGACTCACTGCATGATCCTGACGTCATGTTGCCCCCATGCGGCGGCTAGGATTGTTGCAATTTATCATCAACTTTATCAACGTACTCGGACTTAATCAATTTGGCACTGCATATTCATAGCTAGCTTCATGATTGGTAGTTCGCCGGAGCCAACATGCCATCACCCAAGCAAACCAACAATATGGTATAACCATTGTTGAATTTGTCGCGATAATTCAAAAAGATCGTCATGAGATTAAGCTCGCAAATTATCGACGCCACAGCGTATATTTTGTGCAATACGGCCGGTACGATCGTGTATGTCCGTATGCAAATTTAACGATAGTTGCGCGCGAATGTGCATGCATGAGCTGCCAAGCTGCTGCTGCGCATATGATTAGCGTGGTCCTATTTAGTCTTGTACTGTCTTAATAAGTGGCCGCTAGCTTATCCACTCACTGAGGCATGAGCTTAATTGCACTTGATTCGCGCAAATGATTCTGGATCGAGGAACTTGAGCCTGTCCATGATCTCAAATTGCTGTCCTTCCTAATATGCACGATCTAAGATCAGATCAAAGAAGATGATGCGCAAACCCTGCTAAGATTGATCTCAGTCAGAGAGAACGGTTTCCCCGGCGGCGGCCCGGGGCAGGCCAACGCTGCGAGCGCGGCCGCGGCAGTTACCCGAGGCCGAGGTTTAGCCGATCGGAAACTCAACCTGGGGCCCGGTGGTGATAACTCTCAAGAAAGATAATAGTAAGCCAAGATAGTAAGCTCCGACTAACACTAAAAACCCTAACCTTAAATGAAACACCCGCTCCGCACCCGTACCCACCCTAACCACCATACTAACCCTACCCGTCACAGTGCGGTTACCTTACTATTATCTGGGCTTACTATTATTTTCCTTGAGTTTCATCCGGTGAAACCCTGGCCGGTGACGATGTTGGAGTATGTGGCGGCCGGCCGCGGTACGTTGAGCCGCGCCACGCCTTTGGTCAGGGTTCAATCATGGCGGCCGCCAGCGACGATTTATACAGTACTGCTTAGGTGCTTCCAAGAGCCTGGAAGGCTACGAGGGCGGCGGCACCGACTTGTGCAGAGGACTTGATAGTGGTCGTTGACTCTAGAAGGTGAGTGCATCTGACCAATGTCTTCAATCAGCTTGTCTGTATCAACATCAATGTTGCCCCTTTCTTTAGCATCTGATGATTCTGTCGACCAGACTACACAGGTCGACTGTGATCAATCTGTTCACATGCAGTGAGCTTCAATCCTTCCCCGTCCAGATGCAACATCATAATACCAGCATTATCTTTAGAAGCCAGAAATGCAGCATCAGATGCTTGGATGATGGCAATCTCTTGTTTCTTGCGTCAGTCTTTGTATCGTTCTGAAGCTTTGAAAGCTATACACGTCACAACGTCACAGGGAAGGAGCTCCTCAAAGTGTCAAGAACTCCGTTCTTTTATGGACGCCTTTTGCGGTCAGATTTCCTTCAATGATTGTATCAGATGTCTACTTGCTAACCAGACAGGTTCTCTGTGACACCATGTTTTAACGTAAGCAATAAGCGCCGATGATTCTGCTCTTCAATAATGTTGGGAAGCAGAGGTTTTGCTAACACCTACTTTCTAGTGAACGCAAAGAGCAGCGTTTGGACCTTCAAGTTAAATTTGTGCGCAGGGGAGTTGCTGCATCCAACACGCGTTTCCAACATATCTTGCAGGTCTCTCGGGCCAGGACGTTTACTGAGAAGCGGGCGTTAAAACTTGAGCTCCAGAGCTTTGTTTTTACCAAGAAGTACTCCATCTTCAGCGATTTAGGGATGAGTAACAACGCTGGTGCTCAGGGGTTGGCAATCTGCTCCCAGTCAGTCTTACTTCCCCTCTTCTCGCGACTTGGAAAACAAGATGCGCGCGCGCCTGTTGTGTCTGTCGAATTTTCAACGAGTATGGTTCTGAGGCTTCCGTCTGGAAGGCGATCTGCCAAGCAAGGTGGCCCGAAGTGCCCCTGGATAGTCTATCACGTCTTGTCGAGCGCTTGGGGGGCTACAAGAAGATGTACTCGAAGCGCCAGAACTTCCTTCGCGTGCGAAATTTTGGATGCTCGGAAGAAATAACGGCTCTCTTACCGCTTTCCGGGGCGGGGTTCACCGTGGAAGAAGAGGATGACCCTGCTGTAGAAACGGGGCTTTGCTGGGGATTCGTTTCCGAAACACAAATCAGGAGTGCGTTTGAACACCCCAAAAAGCACGAAGGGCTTCGTGCGAAATGGACGAACCATGATCACCGATACTCTTTCCCAGTGGCGGGTCTGTACATAGTGAAAGCTTCGCCGGTGGTCTTCAAACTGAAGCTGCAGCACCGTCAAGGGCACCGTGAGGCTCGGTATGAGCTGACGTGCAGTCTTCAGGACTGGACCGAAGCTCTGGAGAAGGAACGGATGCGTTCAACGATGTCCTGCATGTCAAGTAGTAAGATGCGGATCCGTGTTCGGGGTGGCGGAGTCCTTAAGACTGTGTCAAAGGCAAAGGACTGCGTCATTCAATTTCTTGGCTGCAACAAGTAACGTCCGTCTATGATTGATTCAGACAGCCTATACGTTTAGCATCCACTAAAGGTACGCGTGTATGAGTGACTCGCGTTGACGCACTTAAGGCTGCATAGCTGTTTTCGACGTACTGCTTGAACCTCGGGCAGACCCTGGAAAGAGCTTGCTGTTCAGGGAGTCCCTGTTCAAATTAGCTCTCCCTCAGATAATGAAGAGTTGCCTTATTTTGAAAAAGCAATCATGTGGTCGATCCTTTCGACCACATGTATTCCTTCTGCCGCGATCGACTACGTATACGGCATGATTGTCAAACTTTGCTGACTCCTGATTCAAGACGACCACATGCGTGCGAAGCATTAGTATTGCTAGGATCGGACATCCTCTTTCTCCACGCTGACTTGTATGATAAAACTAGCATGTGTTCCACGTAGTCTCAAAGATGCAGGTTCGCGTCCGTTGATAGTATGTGCAAACCATTAGCCGTCTTTTCGCAACAGAGAATCCGGAACCGGAAGGCATCTTCAACGTCTGATGCTTATTTATCTAGCTGATGCCAGCTGAATTAAGCTGAAGACAGTTGCACAATGAAATCGATCTTTTGTGAATAATGAGAAATCATGCAACCCAGATCATACGGTCATACGCTCCTCTTGCAATCATACGGTACGGTAGGTTCCTTGAGCTCCATGATCTCCTCGCGTAACGCCTCGCGGCTGCCCGCGGCCGGGCGCGGGGTTTGCAGCCGGAAGGGTACGTCACTTAGTCGCACCGGCGCCTGAAAGGCCGGCGGCGCGCGGGCACTTCTAGAGATTGTCTTCAACTTCAAGGATGCGGCACAGAGATACGCAAACAACGGTGCCGACAAAAACGCAGGATGGTGGGCAGGGCTCTTGAGAAGCTGTGAGCATCACTCTTGTTTCTTCAACCATCCATCATGCCGGTGGTTCATTCACACAGCCAGGACTCTTCGCCTCCGTGCATCAGCGCCTTCCGGGACAACATGGAGGAGGGTGATTTGAAAGAACATCTGTGGTTTTTGTTTACTTGTGACTGATCGCAATTCTTGTAAGCTTGTTATTGTGATCTTTTTGACACAAAGCAGATTGGGTCTGTCAGGAAAAGAAGCTTCTAATATTCAAAAGGCTTTGCCTCTTCTCGCCATCTGCCGGCATATATACGTGCTGAACAGCGGAGACTCATCTGTTGTCAGTGTTGACATGGGTCAGATTTGATACCCCAATCTCGGCTGATGTTCTGACGCAGAAAATCCTGGTAGTTGCGTTGTACTACCTGATCTGCTCGAATCTGGATGAAAGCACCAATTATCTCTCTATCACAGCAAAGGCTGCTCTCTGATTATTTCAGACTAGGAGGGGTAAGAGACTGGGCTGGTGGGGGCTTCCTAGATTTATGGGATACATGTGGGGCAACATAACATAAGAAAACGTAGTGACAAGAATAACATCTCGTAACATGAAAGAACATGGAACAACTGCGAGCCCTACTGCTTTTGCAGATGAGAAGACCTTTCAAAGAGACCTGATACAGCTTTCTCAGCAAGGTCATGAGAAGACGAACCACCAGAAAGTTGACGTCATCTTAGAGTGCACAACCATGAGCGACCTGCAAGCCGACGCTACAGCTGGAAATGATGACGTCACCCAGGAACCCGCCATCTGCACCGATTCGACCTTGTTCAACCTGATGTTGGGAACGGTCGGTCAGCCAGATGCGCGCGCACTCGCGCGCGCGCTCGCGCGTGCCTGCTGCGTCCGCCGGGCTTCAATGACTTCGGCTCCGGAGAATCCCTCTGGAAAACGCTTTACCAAGCCACGTGGCCTGAAGTGCCCCTTGAGAACCTCAGCGCTCTGCAGCTTGCTTACATGGGGGGGTACAAACGCCTCTTCTCGGACTGGAGGTTCCTTGAAACATGCGGGTTTGAGTGCTCGATAGAGGTCTCCGCAGCGTTGCCTCTGTCCGGTGCGGGTTTTATCGTCGAAAAGACGGACGGTCCGCATTCTGGGAGAGTGCTTGGCTGGGGTTTCGTTTCACGAGCTGACGTCACGGCGGCCCATGCGCGCGCTCTCAGCATGTCCTTCGGAGCTTGGAGTCATCCAAAGTCGATCTTGAGGTTGGAAATACAGCAAAGTCTGCGTGGATATATAAGTCAAGAGTTTGAGATCACCTGCAGTCCTGAGGCCTGGGCTGCAGGCGTAAGCAATAGAAAACTGCCAATCGAGGTTGTCAGCTCAGTGAGTTTGACGTGGAGAATCATCGGGGGAGTTCACTGTACGAACTCAGCAAGGCCCGATACAGGAACTGCTGTTCTAAAGTTCTTCAAGTGTGGAGAATGAGCTAGGATGTCTTCTCTCTTTTTCACGGTTTTTCATAAGGAACCTGCTATGGTCTCATGGATCAAAGCAAGGGTTTGTACCTAATCACAGACTCCTAACGTCACCCGTTTTTCAAGGAACTTCGGTGGTTAGAAATCGCAGCAGAGGTTTAAGTGAATGCACTTTTACGAAAGCACAAGAACTAGCTTTTGACACAAAAACGATTCGGAAGCTTGCACTTGATCCGTTCGAAAGAAACCAATGAGCCTGAATAATGGGCGCTATCTTAGCTTCAGGAGATTCCGGCGATCTTTTAGGAGTGTTCGAGCCAGCCTCTAGAATTTGGGGGCCCTGAAGACTGCCTCGTGTATGCACGTTCCTGGCGCCTATAAGCAATGTATAAGTAATCTAATTTGTCAGCAAGTGCATAGTGAAAGCGGCATACCCGCGGTGTGTATCCATGTTCCGATGCAAACCTTTCATATCTAGTTCCGGTTGTCACTCCGCCCAACCAATTAGCCCCGAGGGCCCCTAGGACGCGATACATTCATTGCTTCGCCCGGCTAACCGCGCAAGAGCCGGAATGCAATGGAATTGAGATTGCAAAGCGCGCAAGCACAAGCTAGTTGAGCAGGCTCGAGTCCATCTGAAAGCCGCCTGTTCAACCGCTCCGTCGTTGCAAAGAGCAGGAACTATCGGGAAAGGCATGCGACGCTACATCATTGCCGTTGCAATTCCAGCCGAATCACCAGATGCTTGCATGAGCAATGAAGTCACATGTGGAAGAAGGCACGGAAAGGAATTGTGCTGTTCATGCAATCGGCTTGACACGTGAGTCATGGTAATGCTTTTGTTTCATCAGTCATGCTCTTTAAAATCAATTGAAAAGCCGTTGAAGCACCGTGCCACGGATGTTTTGATAGATCGAGAGCCCTCGACCCCCTTTTCAAAGATCTCGGTTGCTCTGCTTTGCACACACAAAACCCTACCTGAAGCAAAGCTTGCTAGGTCCTTCGGTTCCTCTGCCGCCAACGCTGAAGCTCAGCTCTTTGGCATTGTTTTGGAGCTTGCAAATAGTTCGCAAGTCATCCGAAAAGCGCTTAACTAATATATATCTCATCCCTGCGTATTTATCTAAAACCTGCGCTACATAAAAATGTGAGTCGGGCGCGGCGAAGCGGTCGGGTTGCGTCTCCGAACAATCTGCTTCGTGTTGACGAGCGGCGCGGCCGCGGGGTCCAGAGGCTTCGCCCCTAAACCCCTAAACCCCGCCGCTCTGGGGGATCCCTATGCACTACGGTCGAAGCTCTGACGTCAGGTTCCGCTCGCGCGCAAAACGCGCGGAGCCCCGACGTTGTCGCTCTCAAGTTTCTGGCTGTCCACTGCCGAATCCGCCCATGCTCCTGTAAACAAATGAATGCCAATCCAACTCCTAGGCTTGATCTCTGTCGGGGGCCGGTCCCGGCCCCGGTTCCGGTCCCGGTCCTGGTTCCCCGGAGAGAGGACGCTGGCGTCACCCTCTAGTTGCTGTCGTCAGCCACCTTCTTGTACTTCCACACCAGGGCCTCCAAGTCTTCCACCGGGTACTCCTGGCCCCTCTTGGGCAGCCCAATGTAATCGTCCACATCTGCACGGGGGGAAGAACCGGTCAGTCTCGGGGATCGGGAGAACGGAGGGCGGCGACCCTTTGATCTGGCAGAGGGGGCAGGCTTCTGCAAGTTGGTCATGCGCTTGCAGCGTCGTTGGGCGAAATCAATCGGCTCAGTCACTCTGAGTCTTTGTGAAGAGGTACAGGTAATCGAGTTGCATCTCTTGATTCGAAGGTCGCAAGCTCCTTCTTCGTCGACTCGCTCATGTAAATGAGACTCAATCGGGTGGATCTAGTAGACCATCAGTAGACAGAGAGCTCTCGGCTACACAGAATATAGTTCGCTCGTCTCTTCCCCATTATTTTGGAGCAGTATGGGAAAGCGCGCGCGCTCACCAAGCTCGAACATGTGCGCCTTGACCTCCGCAACGGCCATGCCCTCGAGCGCGGGCCCGAACGCGACGAGCGGCGTCTGCGCGTGCGCGCGGATCTCCTCGCTGATCTCGGGGTCGCTGGTGATGACGCCCTTGGGCACCATCACGAAGTCGTACGCGCGCCCGGTCGCGAGCGCGTCGATCAGCTCGTCGGGGGTGGCGACAACCTGCGCGCGCGGGGTTTGGATTTTAGTGGGGGGAGCGATTGTGCAGCTTCCAACGTAGTCGGTTTGACGGAACGAGTTGCAGATGCTTCATTGCAGCAGCAATCCCTTTGCTTGCTAGTTGCGAGGAAGTGACTCGAGGCTTTGAACGTTCCAGAACGGACATTTGACTGGAATCAACGTCTTTGTGTTACGTTGAAGGGGCTTCGCAGTTCAGTCAGAAGCAGCAAAAGATCTACGTCTTTGGACAGTAGCCGATTGAAAAGCTGCTCAAGGAAGCTCTCTACGTTGATAGCTTTGAAACCCTAAAACCAAAACCCTTAAACATGAAGCTGGAAAACCCTGAACCCTCACCTTGACGCTGCACTTGGAGTTGGGCACGGCCGCGAACTGGTCCAGGAAGAAGTCGCCCATGTCGCCGTCCGCGTCGCACAGCAGCACCGAGGCGCTAACCGGGGCCCTCAGCGAGTTAGCCCTGCTAACCCTGCGGCTGGGGCTGGAAGGCAGGCTGTTCCCTGGGCTCTTGGACCCGGCGCGCCTCAGAGAAGCGGTGCGTACCGGCGCGGTCTCCTCGTCGGCGTCGGCGGCGGGCGCGCGCGCGCTGGGGCGGCGCGCGAGCGCGGGCGCCGGCGCGTCGGTCATGTCTTCGTCGGCGGCCTCCGCGGCCGCCTTCGCGGCGCGGTAGCTGGGGCGCTTCTGCAGGCGCTCCTCACTCACGGGCTCACCTGAGAAATGGAAACGGGACCGTGTCAATGGATGTGGTAGTTTGGACTTCTGTGCGGTGTCGGATACTGCTGAACGGACTCGAAAAGTACAGTGGATTCTCAAATCCTTTCTTGACAAGCAAGGAGAGGATCTTGGAGAAGAACGCCTTGCAAACGGCAAGTTCGTGATCGTTTCGAACACACGAGAGTCTCACAATAATGCACCTACCGTATCGAACGCCCACGATATCTACACCATAAGAAAGCCTTCAAGCAGGACTCTGTTAAGAAAATGATTCAAGTACAGAGAAGGAAACACATTGCAAATAATAGATTTCCTGAAACGCGATGGCGCCTCGCTTCTCACCTCCATCCCCGCGGCTGATCTTGCGCGACAGGGTCCTCGCGGGCGCCTGCTCCTCGTCGGCGGCGGCGGTCGCGCGCGGTACGCGCGCGCTGGGGCGGCGGCTCATCTGCGCGGGCGCCTGCTCCTCAATCTCGTCGTCGAGGTTGCTGGTCGCGCGCGCGCTCTGGGCCTTCTGGAGGCGCGCGGGCTGCGCGAGCTCCTCGGAGACGGGGCGCGCGCGCGGGCTGCCGTTGTTGCTGCCCTGGTTGGTGTTGGAGTTGCCTGGAGAAGAAGGGCAGGATTTAGAAAGGATTTAGACAAGGATTGAATTGAGATTGGAGATACGTAAACAAGGGATTGAAAGCAGTCCACTTTTCGAGGCGTGGATTGAGGACGTTTCTTGGCTGCGTTATCTATCTTACAGTCGGCTTGAATGGAGGCCCACTACGGGCTGCCTTCGATGCCGCTTCTACATCCAGGTAGCCAAATGTGACGTCAATTATGGTCTTCTCTTGGACCTCTAAGATATACTAATCTCCCAGTGAGCGAGTTGCGTCGTACGAAGCCAATCTTATTGAGAGATTATGATACTTATATTGTATACTCTGGCCTCACGGGCGTGCATCTGTCCTTGGCGAAAATTCCAACCGTCCAAAGAAGTAGAGCCCTTTAACGCAAGAACCCATTAATCGTGCATAATGAGGAAATGTAACACCATTCAATGCCCACCTGCACCCATCTGTCCCTTGAGCATCATGCTCAGCTGCTGCTGCAGCTGCGGGTTGTTGGCCAGATCCTTGAGGTCAGTCTTCAGAGCGTAACCACCTTCAAACCGATCGAATTTAAGGTGGGTTAAGAAAGGGTGTTATCCTGACCTGCCATCTGTCCCTTGAGCATCATGCTCAGCTGCTGCTGCAGCTGCGGGTTGTTCGCCAAATCCCTGAGGTCGATCTTCATGCTCTGCTGCGGCTGCGCGGTCGGCGCGTCGGCGCCCCCGCGCGCGGAGCCGCGGCGGGAGGGCGAGTCGGGGCGCGCGGAGGGGGGGAGGTCCTTCGTGAAGTGCTCCGTGACCTTGCTCTTCATGCTGCCGAGCGCCTTGGAGAAGGCGGACGCGACGGGGTCCTTCTTGGGGCCCTCGCTGCGAGAAGGGGGGGGTGAAGAGATTTAGAATTGTGCTTTCAGAGGGGGGGGAGGAGGTGACATTAAGGGCAAAGAAAAGGGACGAAGAAGGCGGACGCGACGGGGTCCTTCTTGGGGCCCTCGCTGCGAGGGAGGGGGGGGTGGAAAGGGCGTATTCAAATATTGCTTTTGGTGGGGGGAGAGTGTGAGACTACGAGGAGGATTGTTGGAGGAGAAATTTTTCCGTTACTTTTTTTGGTAGGGTGTTACATTACAAAAGGACTCACGGGATGGAACCAGGGAGTCGAGGCGGGAAACTATAGGGAGGGGCAAGAAGACAGATACTCAGAAGCACGTCGCTACTCTTTAAAGCGCGGACCCGAGACCTTTACCCATTCTCGACTTCAATTTTCCTGCCTTCAAAAATTCAAAGTAAAGCGCAGCTTTGCAACGCCGCGTCAGCGTGACGTCAGCCGGGCTCACATGTTCTGGGTGGTCCTGCGCGACCCGCTCGCGGACGACTCGCCCTGGTTCATGGAGATGACGTAACCGTCCTCGCCGGACTGGATCTGGAACGCCTGGGGCTGAGCCTGAACGGCCTGGTTGTAGTTGACGGCGTTTCCGTTGAGGAGAGACGCCTTCAGGTTGGCGCGCTCGTTGGCCTGAGCCAAGGGCTGGCCCTGAATCTGGAAAAGCGGAAAGGGGGGGTTGTGTCCGAGACCTTTTCAGGGGGGGAAAACGGTTGAGATTGCACTGCCTTTCCGTTAAGGAGAGAAGCTTTCGAGTTGGCGCCCTCGTTGGCCTGAGCCAGGGGCTGGCCCTGGACCTGAAACAACGAGAAGGGGGTGGTTGAGACGCGATGTTTGAGGGGGGTGGATATGGATTTGCGGCGCTCTGTATTGTGGGGCCGGCCTTGGGAGAAAGAATGAGAACAGCCCAAGATGCATCACGCGTAACGGTACAGTTTACTTTTACAATGGACGTTACGACCTCCAAGGATCAAATCTGGCGGTAAGAGTCGGAGTTGCGATGCTTTAAAGACACAAACCCTCGTATAAATCCCAGTAGCCTTTTTGAAAATAGTATAAGGCCTCACAACCCATGTCGGTGTTCTCGAAGAGAAAGTGGCGGTAACGAAGCCAACATGAGAACCACCAAAACCCCAAGCCTATAACTTAGAAAAAGAGAACCACCTGCGCGCCCTGCAAGCCAGTATCCTCATCGAAGCGGAAGTGGCGTTAACCCAAACCTTTGATCTCATAGACCCAAAAGCATAAGCCCTTAACCCTGATAAGTTCAAAGCTAAACCCACCTGCGCGCCCTGCATGCCGCTGTCCTCGTCGAAGTGGAAGTGGTGGTGCTGGTGGCCTGCCACGTGCAGTACGGACCCGAGGGATCCCGCGATGATGTGGCCCGCCTCCGCGCGCATCTTGGCGCGCGTCTCCAGGGAGTAGTGGGGCAGCTGCCCGTTGTGCGTGTGCTTGTACTCCTCCAGCTGGCACCGGATCCACCAGTGCATCACGCCCCACGCGTTCTACGGAGGGGGGGCAAAAAGAGCCGGGTGAGCGGGGGGGGTGTTTCGGAAGTAAGCAGTTCTTGATAGGGAGAGAAAATGGAATTGCAACCAAGGATTGAGATGTAAAAGCACGAGTGCATTACGCCTTAGGCGTTCTGCGAAGGGGGGACGCAACGAGCCGGGTAAGCGGCGGGGGGGGGGAGTTTGCGGGAACGAAAACATGGAAGCTAGAAGTGGGTGCCGAGAAAATGAAAAGATGGAGGAAGGGGGAAGTCGATACGCGCCGCGCGTTCGTAAGGAGGGGGGAGCAAAATCCGCCAGGTGAGCCGTGGGGGGTCCCAAGTGGAAGTACGTAACTTGCGAGGGGATATCGAAGCACCATTTACGCGCCGGGGTGCAACAGGCCGGGTAAGAGTGAAGGGGCTCTTGGAGGATAAGCTATGCGCCTAACTTGACCCAAGCCTGGACGTGACCCGACCGGTGATCCAAGCTGTAGTAGGGGCCCGGATAATTGCCCCGGCCGAATTCCGAGCAGGTCAGCGATACAGAGACCAATGGCGGAGCCTTCGTAGGAGACCTTGCCCCTTCCTCCGCGACCGTTTGAGCTGAAACGTACAAACACTGAAAAGGAGAAAGCGCCCGGTCTAGTTCTAACCTTGGACAGCAGGTCGGCGATACAGTGGCCAATAGCAGAGCCTTCGTAGGAGAGGTTGCCCCAGCCCTCGCTGCCGGCGAGGAAGAAGCAGGGGTAGCACAGCCACCCCGCGTAGAAGATGACGGCCATCCACTTGACGGCACTGTGGCACGTCTCGGGGAGCGTGAAGTAGGCCTCGATGTAAATCTGCGGGTGACGTCAGCGACGCGTCAGCGATCGGGCGAGGAAGATGGGAAGCTCGTGCAGATATTGTTATGACATAGAGTCGGACTGTAAAGGACTTTTGGGTACGCACGTCTCGGGGAGCGCGAAGTACGGCTCGATGCAGATCTGCGGGTGACGTCAGCGACGCGTCAGCGAACGGGCGAGGAGGTTGTGGTTGGCGAACGCATTTTGGAAAAGGTTGGCTTTGGAATGTTCCGAAGGTCTTCAGGCTGAGGTCTCATCAGCTGTTGCACTAGTGTTTCTAGTCAACTTCGAAATAACAAAGAGAAACATCAAAAGGACCCGATCGAGAGGAACAATCAATTAGAACGGTTACAGAGTGCGCAAGATATGGAGACGCGTTCTCTTTCCGCGAAACGCTTTCGTATCCTTCTCGAATCGACTCGAGCAAAGTCCTCCGAACAGGACGCCTTTGGATCAGGGTTGAGACAAACACTTCGGTCAATTCCACAGAGAACTTGCAGGATCTGGGGGTTTGAATCGAAAACCAGGCGGGGCCGCACCTGGAGGCAGAAGTAGAAGGTGCAGATGCCGTAGCAGACGCCAATCGCATAGAAGACGGCGGAGATCGCGCCCTCGGACGCGGCCGCGGTGATTGCGCACAGAATGGCGCCCTGATCAGTCGCCAGCAGCTGCATCGATCTGTGAGTGTATTCACCTTCCTCTCCCGATATGTTGGACAGCGCCATCAGGATCACTGCGGGGAGGCGGTGTGAATGGGGTCAGGCAACGTGGATGTGAAACGAAGCTGAGGCCCGTCTTTCTTTCGGATTGTCAATCATTCTGATTTCTGCTTGAAGGAGGTTGCGAGGTAACCACAAGCTTACAATCAAACGGCCAGCTCTCGAGCTGCTCAACAGTTCGGTAAGGAGCTTATCGAGCTTCGCACACAACTAGATCCGCAGATTCGAGGTTGAGCAGAAAAGTCGCGAAACCTTAACCAGGGTCCGACCTGGTAATCACGGGGACAGATAAGCTGGTATTCGACGGATTGATAGGTCCAACCAGTTTACACGCAGTTCTAACCAGGGTTTACCAGCTGAACCAGGGTTACGAAGCTCACAATGGCAGGTAAAAAAAAAATATCTAACCAGCGTTTACCAGCCATACAAGGGGTTGCGAAGCTCACAATGGCACGTAAGAAACAATAATCTAACCAGGGTTTACCAGCCATATAAGGGGTTACGAAGCTCACCAGGACAGGTAAGGAATGACTACCTAACAAGGGTTTATTAGCCAAACCAGGGGTTACGAAGCTCACCAGGGCAGGTAATCATCCACTCCATGTAGCGAACCCATGGGACGCTCTTGTTGACGCCATAGATGTTCAGCTGCGCGGGATTGTTGTGGGGCCAAAAGATCTCGAAAATGTACTTGAACGACTCGATGAAGGCGATGTAGATAACTGTGAGAAACGGGGTCAGCACAGGTTAGCAACTCATTTGTAAATGAAAAACTTTATGAATGTAGGTGAGCCCGAGCTCCGGTTAGCGACTTAACTTGTACTTGGATGACATGCAAACCTAAAATTGTTCTGACCACACACGGGTAAAGCACGTCAAACGCTACCAGGAAGCAAAGAGGAGGAGAAAGGAAAGTTACTCTGGACCCTATGCTCTTCAACGCCGTTGTAAGGAAGCTCTACCAGAAGTGCTCACTTCCAAAGGCATGATTGCAATTAAACCATCCACCCTAAATGACACCAATCAATTCCACCCATGAAGGATGTCACACTTGTACTTAGTCATAGTATACACAAGATTCTTTCAGAAGCGGGTGAATCATTGTCGCAGCAACGCTTGACTCCTTCCTTTGCCTAGGGAGTCTGCTTCCCACTTGCACATTCCTCCTTACCTAGACCTTCTACCGTGATTACTCATCTTTTGTGAAACCAAATTCTGATTTCGTCCATTGCCTACTATAACGTGGATGCACCCACAGATCTACTTGACTGATATCCAAGAGACTCAATTGCTTAAATGCCATAATTTTCTAACGCCAGACGCTGTTCACAGGCCAGAATTGTCTACCAACGAGACTCGCCCATGAACAAATTGCTCATAGGACATGCATTGATCCTACTCGCATTTGCCTAGTAAGATAGATCATTCAGAAGACTAGGACTGATCCGGACGGTTAACACGCAAATCAGGATCGCCCCACAATGCATTGCTCACCAGATATGCCCAGTCCCCAATCCAGCAATCATTAAAGAAAACGGGTCACCCATGACAAAGTGGATGGCAAACCAGAGTCGCTCACAAGACAAAGATCGGAACAAGAGAGCCACTCTGCAAACATAAGACAGCCATTCTGCAAACTTAAGACAGCTTTTTCACAAACACTGCACAGCCACACTGCGCTCCCTCACCCTCCCATCCGGCCGTCTTCTTGCGGTACTGCTGCAGGTAGAAGACAAACAGCCCGATGGAGATCAGGAAGCAGCCCCACTCGAGCGACTTGTACACCGAGTAAAGCGCGCCCTCGTGCGACTCATGGTGCATCCCAAGGAAATCAGCCACGTAGCATGACTCGGTCCCGTTCCCGGCCGAGTGACTGTCCGTGACCGTCGAGTGCGCGTCAACCGTGGAGTGCGCGTCGACCGTCATGGCTGCTGATGCTGATGTCACGCGCCGAGCGGCGGGACGGAGAGAAAAGGGAGCAAGCCCTGGCGGCTTCCCCTTGCGGCTCCTGCCAAGGTCAAGAAGCGTCGACCGATGAAAGTGTCATGAGAAATGAAGGGGGAGACGGGGGGAAAGCGAGACAAATCCAGCGGAGCTGGGGCCAGGTGCAGCCTAGGTCGGAGATATCTTTTCCAGAGTCAGGTGCTAGGTAGAACTCAGGACGCTGGCGAGCTTAGCAGCTTGATCCTGAGAACCCGGGGCCGCTGACAAAGCTAAGGTTATCCATCTCGGTGTCGACACGCGGAAGCGCAACGGCCGGCGCACAACTTGTGTACCTACGTCCTCCGTTACTTCGGTAGTTCGCTCTTTGCAAAACACTTCGATAAGGCTAACAGAGCTCGTAGGTAGTGTTGTACTAGCTTCGGAAGAGCTTGATCAGGCTCCTTCGTCTAGCCATGAAATGTCGATATTAAGGTATCAGTACGCATTGGAACGTCTGTAAGTACCTATCAGATATTCACAAGTGCCATGTATTCTGACCCTACATGCCGAGGTGTATAGGATGTACTTCCCATGACCAATCTCTCAGACACCCGTATTGAAAACCTATTGAGCTTCAGCCAACCTGCTTAATTAGCAATTTTGTACAACCAGTAGGTATCTGGCTTGCAATGATGGCAAGAGAAATGACTTCACTTGATCTATCCGATGGCCCCATATCCAGCTTTGCTTTTACCGCTGGTGACAGCGTTTCCTTCAGTGCTCACGTGATGGAGTAAATGCAGACGCTCTTAAGAGCAAGTGGACAAATCCGCGCGCAGTTTTGCGCATGCGGATCCGAGCTTTATCTGAAGCTGCGCTCCCTGATTGGCTAGGCGCTTGGACTGTTTTGATGTACGGCTTAGTCTGCCCTAAAAAGTGCACAAATATCGCAAACCTTGAGCCGCGGGTTGGCAGACTGGAGCTGAGACTTGAGCTAAGGTGCCACGGTATAGGGTTAGGGTTTGCGGCTCGTCAGTGAACAAGCGGTCTACTCATCAGAGACTCATTAGTCGTGACGCGGAATGAGGACAGGGACGGCTTGCTAAATGTACGGCGGAAGTTGCAACTGTGTTCCGCTTACTGCCGCAGGAGTCAGCCTCGGCGTGCCTTGACAGCTTCCTATTATCAATCCACGCATGCTAACGGAACAAAGAATCGTTGGTTTATCGGCGGTTAAGAATCCTACGCATCTTCATCGGACGACCCAAAACCAGGCCACGCAGCAGTCAGCTCGCGCGCGTAGCTGCATTATCGTTACCGCACAATTAGTACACCATTATCAACAAGCTACACATGCAGTGGTTGGCTCGCGCGAAGGCACTAGCAGATCGCGAGCTCTGCTGGTCAAACATTTAATCTTTATTGCTTGGCGTGCTCAGAGTCATGTGAAATGATTGGTGCATCATAATCTGGGCCATGAAAGTAGAAGCTCAGAGGCACTCTGCCACGAGCTGATAAGCTACGGGACGCTCAAGCGCTGCGGAAGTTTCTACGCCTCGGTTGATTTGGCGGGCTGGTCTGCAACAATCTGCGCCGCCTACGAATCGAAGAGTCTGATTTGATTTTGCATCTATCTATATATCAAGCAATCAGTTTTCCACTCTGAGCTGGCAGCATTGCGCCTGCCACCTGGCACTTCTTTTGTCCTCGAGCCTGCCACCTGTCAATCTCTCTATGTCCGCCACCGTTGCAATGAGAAAGCTTCTCACGGGCGCCCTGCATTGGGGGAGGCCCTCACACGCTAGAAGATCCTTCACCAGCTCACCTTCATTCTTGGCCACTTCCCCCCCCTCAAATTTGCCTGCCAGCGGGCACCCCCGAAAAGTCGACACAGATGTGTTGATAGTGGGCGGGGGGCCCGTGGGGCTCTCCCTTTCGATTCTGCTCTCAAACCTAGGCGTTAGATCGCTGCTGGTGGAGAAAAGGCTGCACCCCACGACGCACCCGCAGGCACACTTCATAAACAACCGGACGATGGAGGTGAGGTGGTGTAAAATCTTACTTGTGGGCGCCTTGGTTTCTGCCTGCTGTCTGTTGTGGTCTGCTTCTGGCTTTGCTTTCATCGCTTGGGGCAACTGGCACTGACTATTCTGTTCCACCACCACCGATCATCAGATGTGGCTATTTGCAAAGCACCAATCAATGTGCCGCCTTAGCAGAATGCAACTTTTGAATGCAAAACAAACTTTCAAAACCTGCCATGACAACTTCTTAAGGTGGCGCACATTGATTGGTGCTTTGCGAAAAGCCATATCTGATGATCGGTGGCGGTGGAACAGAATAGTCAGTGCCAATCGCGCGAAAGTGTGTAGGAACTCACCTTTTTGACACCATGGTGGACAACGCTCCGCTCCAGGAAGTGCGAACCCTGAATCACCTCGGGCTGGTGCCAGCCGTCACACCACTCAATCCCGCACCGGGTAATTATTTTTTGGCAGGTTATATTCAGTCGAAATCCAGATCTCATCAGGACAGATGGTGCGAGCCATCAGCCCCCCCGCGATTAGCAATTCCGTTTAGCCCACCCCCGAGAGTCTATCATTCTACAACAGGTAAAGTGAGCTGCGAGCGCTCCAGCACCAGAGAGATCTTCACGCACTGCTCCTAAAAAAGATCATCACCACAAAGTCTGAATTGTCTGCAGATCTTCTGCTAGGCAGGTGACACTAATGAGACTACAGCTGGGATGTTACCTGCTTTTCAAACACAGGAAAACCGGTCTTCTGATAAGATGTGCAAGTTGGACACCTGCAGATCTTTCGTCACATGGGCGACGTTGCGACGACCATCGGGCGCGAGCAGCCCCCCCTCGAGGAGTGGCGCCGCTTCATTTACTGCCACACAATGACAGGGACGGTTCTCGGACAGGTGGACCACTTTTCGGACCAGACCGCGCGTCCGAATATGAGCCCCGTGTCGGTGGCGCACTTCTCCCAGAACAAGCTGGTGCCGCTTCTGCTGAGAAGCGCGAAAGCGCTCGAGAAAGAAGCGAGGGGGTCGGCGCAGGATGTGGGGGGTAGCGCAGGAGATGACGATTTGGCTGGGGGGTTCGAGGGGCTTGGGTGTATCTTAGAGGGCTACAAGTGCATGGCGTTTGAGACGGCAGCCGGGGGGGTGTTATCAAGAGTAGTCCCGTTTAATCAAGCATTGCAAGAATCAGCTTCAGAACATACAAATCCATTGAGCACTGTGGATCAATTAGGAACCAGAGTTGCGAGAGATCAGCCAAATACGGCTCGCCCTCACTCAATCAATGTACATAGCAGGTTTTTGATCGCGGCGGATGGCGCAAGCAGCGGAATAAGAAGCCGTTTGCGGATCTCTTTAGAAGGGGATGGCGCAATTGAATCGCTCCTCAGCGTGCATTTCGAGTGTCGGGGATTGCATGAGAAGCTCAACGGGCGGCAGGCAATGCTGTACTTTGTATTCAACGAAGATGTGATCATGGTCGTTGTGGCGCACGATCTCAGGAAGGGGGAGTTCGTGGCGCAGATCCCGTTCTACCCCCCCCAGCAAAGGCCCGAGGAATACACCCCCGAGGTGGGTAGCCGGGTTCCCTGCGATGCGAACACGCGCCAAATGGTCTGCGCTTCTGGTCTGTATGTTGGTTGTGGAGGAATTTGAGTCGCAAGGGGGGGATGAGTGGCACAGGCTTGCCACCATGTCGCCCCCTTAGAGGATCCAGGAACCTTACCCCCCTGGGCACCAGTTTGGATCTGTTTTGAAGGAACTGTCTGTCAGGAGGGGGGAACCGTTTCTCTTTCATAGGGCGCCCGAGGACTGCATATTTGAGTCGCGGTATGCTTTTCCTTTTCGGAGTGGATGGTGGTCAGTCGAAGGATACGCAGATGGGAAAGACAGTGAACCACGGCGATGAGAAAGGATCAGAGAGAAGAAAGGCAACGAACAAGCTCAAAACTCTTATTCACTGCGGTGGGAGCCTCTCGCCTATTCGAGTTTTGCTCGCTTCTTTCCTACACGGACGCGACTTCTTCTGAAACAAAAGGTTTGGTCGCTGTCATTAGCACTTGTAAAGCAAGTGCTGAAGGACCCGCATCCTCGTGTTCCCCATTTGGAGGCAGCATCCCTCGAGCTACTGATTACGTGACTTTCTCAAGATGGGGATACTTAGGTACGAAGTGGTCACACCCGGAAACGCGGCGTTTTCGTTCTGACGGCTCTCTTCGAGTCGGGCTACCTGCGGGTGGCTCTGCTCCGCTAGACCACTTCAGTTGCTTATGTCAGCGGCTGATGCACAAACTCCGCCCCATCGTGTATCAGGTCTGCCGGGATATGATCCAAAAGGCGATTGGCGACGCAAACTCTCCAGTCCTAGTTCGCTCGATCCGGCCCTGGACCATGACCGCCCAAGTCGCCGAGAAGTACGCCGACAAAAGCGGGCGCGTCTTTCTGATGGGCGATGCAGCTCATCGTTTCCCTCCCGCCGGGGGGTTCGGTGAGGCCCTGAAATCCACCCCCTTTCACGTATCAACCACTGCCCCTGTGAAGGCTGCTCGTCCGGTCTTCTAAAGGCGAGACTCCAGGCGTTTCCTAGGCAGTAAGAAGCAGAACGGCCCCTTCCCTCTTGCAAAAACCCGCTCGTTCCGTTTCCGTTCCTCCGTTGGTATGATGAACAGCCAGCATCGCCAAGCCGTGCTATCAAGTCATTTCTGATCGTTGCCCGATGCTTCTGCCCTACAGCCTTTTGACTCAGTCCTTTGGTTCTTTAGAAGAGATGCTCTTGCTCTTCAAGGTTCAGTTCTCCGGAAGGACGACTCACTTGGAGCGGTCAAGCGGAGACGTTTTCGAAGAAATCCGGCCATTCGCACTTTCGCGTCAGGTCTCCCTGTCTTCTCCCCTGTCTCCTTCAACAACGGCGAACACTCCTCTCGTGCGTGTTCAGAGTCGAGGACAGCATCAGGCAAAGAGTGGAGGCCTTCTGACCCGTTGCCAAGTGCGTTCCCGTTGCGTCCCCCATCTGAGCCGCCTTAATAAAACCTGCATTCAACATCCTTCGCAGGAATGAACACCGGAATGCAGGCGGTCAAATCCTGGCCTGAAAGCTGGCGTTTTTCATTCCGTTTCGGTTCCGTCGCCTGCAGGTGTAGACAGCCTACTCCAGGATGCTCACATTGTGGCCTTCAGGCTCCCGTTACTCATTCCAGTTCCATTCCGTTCACACAGAAATGAAGACAGGAGAGCAGGACGCCCACAACCAGGCCTCAAAGCTCGCGTTATTTATTCCAATACCGTTCCGTTCCCCGCAGGAATGAGCAGCGGAAACCAGGACGCGTACAACCCTAAAGTTCGCGTTACTGATTCCGGTTCCGTTCCTTTCCCCGCAGGAATGAACACCGGAATCCAGGACGCTCACAACCTGGCCTGGAAGCTCGCGGCTGTCATACGCGGCGTTTCGGACGTCAGCTTTATGCGGACGTACGAACAGGAGAGGCGACCGGTGAGTCACTGGGGCTTTTCTCAAATTTGTTACCGCATTCAAACTTTCTCAGACTCAGGGTTTTCAAAATAGTATGCTTTGAATCTGGTTTTGAAAGTTGGATGCGTTAATTCATAGTACACTTCCTTTGATCTGAAGGTAGGTTCCTAGCAAAGGTTTTGGAACTGCGAGTCGTCTGCTGGCAGTTCCTTGCGGAATGGGGAGTCGGGCCGTCATTGAGTGCTTCGTCATCAACGGCAAGTGATTGGTAGAAGCTCTTGAAGATCACGGCTCCGCTCGCCTCCTCAAGGATCCTAAATGGAGCTCTGGACCGCTCGCAAGAGGCTTGAAATTGCATTGATCAAGAGTTTAGGTCTTCCTGACCGTGATCCAGCTTGCAGAAACGAACAAGGCGCCCTCTATTGGAAACGTGGTTTATTGTAGACGTGGATGCTACTTAGAGTTTCCGCAGGCTCAGAACTAGGCTGGACGCGAAGCTCAGCTCTTCACATTTTCCGCAGATCGCAGAGGCGAACACGGAGCCCTTCACTGGAAACGTGACTACTGCTCAAACAATTTTGCAAGACTTCGGAACTAGATTGGACGCACAGCTCAGCTCTCGAACATTTTCCGCAGATCGCAGAGGCGAACACGGCGCTCAGCGTGTCCAACTTCAAGGGCGCCATGGCCATCCCGTCCGCGCTGGGGTTGGACCCTGCCGCAGCAAAGTGAGTGACGTCCGGTCGTGTTTCGGGACGCCGTCTTGTGCGAGCTAACGTCAGGCTCTCAGGCGTTCAGGCGTTCACGTTCCATCTTTTCCGAACACGACATTCCGATGATGCTCCTTACGTTGCAGAGTTCGTTTTGAAATTGGCTCACTTGCTTCTGTCCGAATTCTGGCCCGTCTGCCGAGAAGCACTTTCCTCTTTCCTGGGTCTCTGTCTCAAAACTTCACCTCGTCAACCTCAGTTACGGACCCAGGTCTTGACCTAGACGTTTGCTTTTTCTTCCGGTCCGTTTGGAAGAATTCGGTCGCTGTGCTGTGCACTTAGCTCTCCGCACCCGCAGCGCTGTTCTCTCCGGGCGTTATACGTCTTGTTACTTAGCATCGCCAACCCTTGGCGAGCTGCCTAAACCCTCACCGGTTCCTCCGTTACCCTTTGTAAATCCAGCCCAGGCTGCTTTTCCGGACGCTCAACGGCCCGCCAATGATTGTAGCCTTCTCCCCGAAACCTACCAGAGGGAGCTGCTCGAGAGTTGCATTGGGATGCGTCTAACCCTCCCTAACCCTTTCCTGAACCTCTTCTTAACAGCCCAGCTTATTTTCCGGACGCTCAACCGTCCGCCGATCAGCCTCCTCCTGCAGCCTACTAGAGGGAGCTCCTCAAAAAAAACGTTGGGGCGCGCCTAACACTTGCTAACCCGTTCCTAACCCTTCTTCGTAACCGCCCAGGTTACTTCTCCGGGCGCTCAACCGGCCCCCAAATTCCAATGAGCCTCCTCCCCGCGGCCTACCAGAGGGAGCTCCTCGAGAAAGGCCTTCCGTTGGGCCGCGCCTAACCCTCGTTAAAATGCTCCTAAACCTTTTCTCTTAACCGCCCAGGTTACTTCTCCGGACCCTCAACCGCCCGCCTATCAGCCTCCTTCCTGCGACCTACCAAAGAGAACTGTTGGAGAGAGGCCTTGCTTTGGGCCGCGCACAAATGTCGCCCCTACTGTTAAACGCCAACAACCCCGTGGGCAGGGCCCGGCTGGCGGAAGTCGCGCGGATCATACGCGAGGGGGAGAGCCTGCAGCTGCAGTTTCCGGCGGAGGACCTCGGATTCCGGTTAGCGCAGCGGAATCCTAAGCAACGTTGTCCTTAGCGTGTTGGGAGTTGTCAGTCTTTGGGAAAAGGCTTCCAGACCGAGAGAGCAAACGGACCACTACTGATTCTTGACGGGTGATTTGAAAAGGGGCGAGCGTAACCAGCTGCAGCCGACGGAATCTGAAAGCGCTTATGCAACATTATATGGAAAACCAAGTCGAATTAGTCATTCACGGATAGGTGGCGTCACTCTTCTTCGGATCAAGGCCTTCCCGCTACGGTGTACATTATTGCATCCTCATGTTTCCACTTTTTCATACGCTCTTCGAACCTATTGCTCATAGCTTATCCTGATCCCCGTCTGAAAACGTCAACAGGTACACCCAGGGAGCGCTCTGGACCGGTGTGCCTGACGTCATCGAGCGTGCGGAGCGGGCAAACGCCATGGGCAGGCGGACCGGCTATGAGCCGGACACGCGGCCGGGGTTCCGGTTGCCCCACTGCGAGCTCGCAGTTGGGCTGATTGACATCGAAACTGGCGCTGTGTCTGCGACAAAGGTCAGGTTCTTACTTGGTGTCAGGATCCACACAGAGCTTGAGTGACGTTATGCATGGAGTTTCGTTGGCAATGCAGGTTGATGCCGTCACTTGCTTCTGGGAGTGGGGCACGTATGAGCTTTTGCTTCTCGTTCATCCTCAATGGTTGCTCGTCTTGTTACTTTCCTGCTACTCGAAGAGATCCGCTCCTTTGGGTTGATCAGAACCCTAGTCCCCTCTCAAACGTCTACTTTCTCCTGGTCATCCTGAGAGCGTCTACGGTAAAGTCCCAAGACAAACTCGTCTCGGTTCTGGATCCTCATAGTTTCCCGTGCGGGAGGGTTAAGACCAGTATCCGTGCCGATGTTGAGCATATTCAAAATGTTCGGCGCTCAAAGGAGTGCGCTTTCAACGAATCTCGGTACTGATGGGGATTTGGAATCGTCGCTGAAGCAGATGCATGCCTCTTTGCAGGACACCGTATCGACCTTGGACCTGACAGATTCCGGGCAGCTATTCCTGAGGCTAATCGTCTCAGTCGACCGAGATGGCGCCGATTGGAAGCGCGCGCTCGCAGACCTCCAAAGCTTACTTCCGTTTCCAATTCGTGGGGCCGTTATTTGGCCCGACGGCGCTAAAGCAGACTCTCAAGAGATCAGTGGCAACAGGAGCGAGCGGACAAGCCCCATAGGAAATGAGGAAACGGATCAAAGCGTTTTGCACCTGGTAGATGTACATGAGAGCTGGGCTGCGATGCCACGTATCGGCCCCGGAGTGATACTGCTCGTGCGGCCCGACGGGCACATTGCCTGGCGGTCGACAGTGGACGAGCTTCGGGAGTTGGCTGACGTCAACGAAGGGGGAGTCTTGCAGGACATCTTCTCTGTGCGACATCATAACCTTCAATATAGCAAAATCTGATGCAATTGTTGGCACAGATGTCCAGCTGCAACCTGACAAGCTGAGTCTTCACTTTTGTTACATACCGTGTGCGTCAAGCACGTAAAGCATGGTCGAATATATGCATTGATAGCTAACTAGGGGGTCATGAACTCGTAATTTCGTGCAAGCTTGAAGACTGATTAAATCTGCCATGCACGACAAATCAATATGCACAGTTGCTGGATGGATCGATTGCAAATTCAGTTGGCCGACCAGATACATATTGTATATTGGATGTTTGCGATGAGGAGTCTGTCAACCCATGGCATGATCCATGGATTGCGTGGGCGCATGGTCGGTATATCAGGGTTTTTATGCAAAAGACTTCTTAAACCCCCACCGGGGATATAACTTGGGGCGATTAACCGGCTGTCATTCTCGCCAACGGCCAGGGCCGGAATTCAACTTTCGGTCCGAAGGCGCATGCAGCATGCTTGAACAAGTCCTGGAAATCTGAGCTTATATAATCTCAAAAATGGAGGAGTAATTACTCCTCTGTTTTCGGCGGTCTTTCTTTCTATGGCTTCGTTTCAGTCTATATTGGATGAGGCCAGGGGATCGAAACCGCCGCTCAAAACCGAAAGAAGCGGCTTGTTTTTCTGCTGGCGGAGCACCTTCTTGTATATGTTCAAGTTGTGCCCTAATGCGCCCGTCGCAATTTTCAAGTTGCGAAAGATGATTATGGCAAAGCTGGTAACCAGCACTGTTTATACCCCTGGTGGGGGTTTAAGTTGGCGATCAGCCAAGTGTGGAAGTGTGAATAGTAGCACATCTCAAAGCAGATTCTCATTAAGGTATCTTTGTTGGCTGACAAGATGGCTTGAACACTGAAATGTACACTTTGTAGCATGGCATGTGCGCATATCCAAGTCATAACGTCCGTCTTGCCAATACCATGAAACATTTTGGCTGAGCTTCGATTCATCTCTGCAAATCATGCCATTGTCAGAATTGTATGAACTGGAAGTGTCTTGAGATATGGAACCATTTCAGCAATGCTTTGGACAATATACACTGTACAGTTTGCGTCCTACACAATGGCCGCTACCTCTCTGACAAGTACCATAATCGTCTACTGACCACCCCTCAGCCTGAGCACCAAGTGCAGGGTCGACTCCTTCTGAATGTTGTAGTCGGCCAGAGTGCGGCCATCCTCCAACTGCTTCCCGGCGAAGATCAACCTCTGCTGGTCTGGGGGAATGCCCTCCTTATCCTGAATCTTGGCCTTGACATTGTCGATGGTGTCGCTGGACTCGACCTCAAGCGTGATGGTCTTGCCAGTGAGGGTTTTGACGAAGATTTGCATACCTCCGCGCAGACGCAGCACCAGGTGAAGAGTGGATTCCTTTTGGATGTTGTAGTCAGCCAGGGTGCGACCGTCCTCGAGCTGCTTGCCAGCGAAAATCAAACGCTGCTGGTCTGGAGGGATGCCTGGAAGATTGAAAACAGAGAGGTCAATTGATTATCAAACAATTGACCAAATAGAATCTGCTACAACCAAGCAAGCCGACGCATGGGCAGGACAGAGAGCGCTATATATGACTACACCCATGCAAGGAGAAGTGGTACTCTAGAACTGATGGCAAGCGGCAGGACAGCGGAGCCAGCAAAAAACTGCAACTCTGGATCTGATGGCGAGCAAAAGTACAGCAGAGCCAGCAAAGCGCGGGGCAAGAATGCACAACAGAAGCTGTCATTTCGTGAAAGGTTCACAATTAAATGCAACAAACAGCAGTGCTGCTTGCACTCCAACTGCAGTGCTGTGAAACCATCAATCAAAACAGGTGATTTACTCACCCTCCTTGTCCTGGATCTTGGCCTTCACGTTGTCAATAGTATCGCTGCTCTCCACCTCCAGAGTAATGGTCTTCCCCGTCAGCGTCTTCACAAAAATTTGCATACCGCCCCGCAGCCGCAGAACCAGATGAAGGGTAGACTCCTTCTGGATGTTGTAGTCCGCCAGGGTGCGCCCGTCCTCGAGCTGCTTCCCAGCAAAAATCAGCCGCTGCTGGTCAGGAGGAATACCTGGAAGAAGAAAAGGAACAGTATTGTTATGTCACCATACAACCGACAATTCCATTTCTTTCTCGCTGAAGAGGTTTTGCACAGAACAGTAGCACCAAGCAGAGAAGGCCACATCTCTCGAGACCTTCCAATGGAAGGCAAAACCCACTAACCATACTTCAAGCTCTTTCAGAGAGCAAACCCTAAAAAGCATGATGGTAGCAAGTATTCTAGCGCAAAGCTGGAACCTTCAGAAAGCAGAGCACTGGAGTAAGAGCATTCCAAATGCATAGATATCTCTGCAAAATATACAATCTGAACAAACCCTGAACTGCTAGTCATCGGCTTTATTTCCACCCACCTTCCTTGTCCTGAATTTTCGCCTTGACATTGTCGATGGTGTCGCTTGACTCCACCTCCAGGGTGATGGTCTTGCCAGTGAGAGTCTTCACAAAAATCTGCATTCCTCCCCTGAGCCTCAAAACCAGATGCAGGGTAGACTCCTTCTGAATGTTGTAGTCAGCCAGGGTCCTCCCATCCTCCAACTGCTTGCCGGCAAAGATGAGACGCTGCTGGTCCGGGGGAATGCCTGCAAGCACGCATGGTGTCAGAAACATAACAAACACCTCATCCCATCAATGATTTTGCAATTGAATGTAAAAACCTACAAGAAAGAAAGACCAAAGCACCTTACTTTTAGCAAGCAACAGACCTTAGACAGTCAACTGTACAAGCAAAAACATACCTGCCGAGAACAAATCCGCGCTTGCAGGAGTAGGACACAAATTCTTGATCCACGGACAAACTGTTTCATGACCAACTTTTCCCAGAACCCTACCTTCCTTGTCCTGAATCTTGGCCTTGACATTGTCGATGGTGTCGCTGCTCTCAACCTCCAGAGTGATGGTCTTGCCGGTGAGGGTCTTCACAAAAATCTGCATGCCACCCCTGAGCCTGAGCACCAGATGGAGGGTGGACTCCTTCTGAATGTTGTAGTCCGCCAGGGTCCTGCCGTCCTCAAGCTGCTTGCCCGCAAAAATAAGCCTCTGCTGATCAGGGGGGATACCTGGGACAAAAAGCAAAACCCAACTTCAATTGACCTTCCAAACAAGAAACAATAATCTGCCAAGCTGTCTGCAAACAGGGATATCAGCAACCCGGCTGATGAACCTGGCTGATGGAGCCCGGCAGAAAACACACCCTCGACATGCCTACCCGTGCACAGTAAAAGGCAAAAGCAATATGCAACAATCAGCAGAAGTCAAAAGTGATGTGCATCAAGGCCTGGGATGATGGACAGGGGTACCCTCAGGAACTCAACCACCTAGTGCAACAGCGTCTCACCTTCCTTATCCTGAATCTTAGCCTTTACGTTGTCAATGGTGTCGCTGGACTCCACCTCCAGGGTGATGGTCTTGCCAGTGAGGGTCTTCACAAAAATCTGCATCCCTCCCCTCAGCCTGAGCACCAAGTGAAGAGTGGACTCCTTCTGGATATTGTAATCCGCAAGGGTCCTGCCATCCTCCAGCTGCTTGCCAGCGAAGATAAGCCTCTGCTGGTCAGGGGGAATTCCCTCTTTGTCCTGAATCTTGGCCTTCACGTTGTCGATGGTGTCGCTCGACTCCACCTCAAGGGTGATAGTCTTGCCGGTCAGGGTCTTCACAAAGATCTGCATGATGGCTTCGGTAGAGGCAACAGACAGCGAGCTGTTGGAACTTGAAGGCGCTAGAAGAGTTGAAGGCGCTGGAGAACTCACGCTTGACTTGTGAACAGAGAAATCTGGTGTTTGACGCTGCTTGTGAGGAGCTTTTGTATGCCCGCGGAACGGGAAGGGAGAAGGCTCTCACACTCGTTCACACCGATGCTGGCCAGGGGTCGAGGGTCCCGAATCTTCTTCTCTCCGGTGCAATTCCTTTTTGCAAGCTGCAAACGTCTGTTCAAAACTGTCGAGCGCCCCGGTGGTCCATACCGGTCAGTAGTAAGTTTGCCGGTCTCTCTGTTGAGACTTCCTGGGGAGCTTGCTTGACTTCTTTGAACCCATGGCATTTTTCCTGAGACCCTCTGATTCTGCCCGGTACATACGAAAGGTGATGTACCGGCTGACCGAGACGCGTGCTTGCAACTTCCGGAAGGGTCGGGAAACGGGCACGCTACGAAACGGTGCGTACCATGGAAGGTACCGTCATCTGCAGCCGTGCTGACTTGGCATGTGCCACATGGGCAAAGCATGGGTACGCACCGCGGTGTCCCGTTACTCGGTAAATACAAGTTCACCCAAACGCGTTGGTACGTACCACGGTGTAACGTCACGAGCTCACCAGAACCCTAAATGCTTAAAAGATGCAAAAGCTCCAGAAACCCTAATGCCAGCCCAGCTGCACTGCGCTTTGCCGCTAATTGGCGCCATTGCTGGATTGGCAGGACCTTCGCTAAAGCTCATGTGATCATGGTTGAAGCAATCAGAAAGCAAAGGTTCTGGCGCGGCATCTTCATCCTTCTTTCAAGCTCGGTAAATTTGGACCTAAGAGGCTATCTGCTAGCCTAACTGCTGTGCTTGTTGTTGAAAGGGAGGTGCCTGGTTGAGCAACCATGTTGCACGTCCAAATCAGGGGCGCTGATGCGGCGGGGGAAGAAACTTCAACGTCGGGGGAGAGAAGTTCTCAAGGAGAATCGGCGCATGATGAAGTCGCCTTCTTGGATGGCGGCTGGGTGACAGTGGGCAAGAAGCGGCGGGACAAAGAGAAGAAGCTCATGGTCGGACAGGAAGAAGACGATGGTGGGGAACTGAAGACGGTGCGCTTTTCTTCAGGAAATCCGAAGATGGAAAAGAGGTCTGGGGTCGTCCACTTGTTCAGAAACGTGGAGCAATCAACGGAGGCGCTACAAGTTTTGCCGGTGAGCCAGATTGATTCAAGCTGACCGTACTTGGCAATTCACCGGTATTTTGACTTCTACTTGAGCAATGCTGCCACATATAGAGCTCAGGTTTGCCCCACAGTGAATGCAGCGGTCCAAAATGATGCAACTATGCAATGCTGTGAGTTTGCAGTTCCTGAGCCATCTTTGAGCAGACAATTCTGGAACACTGTATTGTTTCAAAGGCACCACTGCTAGAAGCAGGGAGGGACTGTATCTTCTCTTTGATTGTTCAGTAGCAGCCAATCGCTGTGCTTGGAGCGATTGCTGTGCGTGAAGTGCTGATAAGCTTTTCTCTCATTGGACATATGCTTTCGAAACACCGTGTCCCGGCAATGTCGAACTCATTGGGATTGCTTCAGACTTGCGTGGGTTCTTTGGAGACCCCCATGAGTGGCATCATACGTGATTGGGGTGTGGTGGTGAAAATTCAACTTGCCTTTTCTTCTGCAACCTACGTTTCGTTTCAGAGATGATCTGTTTGATTGCATGAGCTCCTCTGCCTTCACACTTCAATAGTTTTCATGTATTCGCTTACTTCACAAAGTTGCTTTGAATGGAATTTTCTCTTCGAGTCCTCGCTCTGTATCGATGTCGGCTTCTTCAAGAAGAGACCCGGGCGGTTCGTTTCACAACGTACAATAGTGCATAACCACCTAAGGGCAGACAGAGGCTCTGTGTATGTGGCGGTGAGCCCTTCAGCCAAGTACGGGCCCCGGAGCAGAGGTCGTCAAGGACAAATTTCTCCCCGCATTGTGCACGAAAATCAGTTTGCCAAAGTCCCTTCGCATCAGAGTAACTTGCCCCGAGGATCGACCAGTTTTTGAGCAGACGGATGCACCAACTACTTGTCGACGGGCCTTCTTAAACCAAGAATGGTCGAACGCGGTTAAGAATAAACCCTCTTTGTGTTTGTGCAGGACGGTCGGACGGAGCAGGTGTGCGTGCTGGCAGTCCCGTCCTACATGTCCGGCGCCGACTTCTGCCAGTTCACGGGGGAACACCTCGCGTACATCTCAAAACTCAGGATAGTCAGGCGAGCGCGGCTTGCAACTTATGAGGAATGACCTGGCGGGGTCATGGTTTGAGGACTTGCTTTCATTTGTTTGACAGATAAGCGCGCGTATGCAGCGCCTGACGTTGTATCTTCGAAGCCATTCTCGGTTGGGGCGGTTTTAATCGGAGCCATTTTTGGAATGCTTCCGATCATATCTAATGCTGGCAGATTGGGGCCCCTGCTTCCTTTCGTGGCCCTCGGACAGGATTTTCGTAAATGATCCCACCGGAATGTTGTTTGCATCGGGATGAGCTCCATGAGAAAGGAGATCAATGGATTACGTCAGATACTTCTGGAAGACATACAACATTTTAACTTGCCGCAACGAGCTTATCCAAACGTTGAATCCACACCAAATCGTACTTCATAAGACAGGAAGTCAGATCTGGAGCAACAAATTGATTCTGAAGGCATGCGAGACATCCAGAGACGAGCCAACCACTCATAAGCTACGCTTTTTGACTTTGATCACTCCGCATCATCAACTAAAATCTGGACAGCTTTGTTGCAGGTACGAAAACGCGACCAATCAGTACATGGTCCTGCTTAAGTTCGACTCGCAGGAACATGCTGACGACTTCTACCTGTCATACAACGGGAAGCAGTTTTCTTCCCTGGAGGTGAGCTTGGATGTCCTCTTTACTACCATCCTTTCATTCTTCCTGGAGGAACACGTGAACATCCTCTTTTATGTCTTCATTTCACTTTCTTCTGTCCGGAGTAGCTCGTTCGAATTGTTCCTCGTCTCGTTATGGAAGATAAGCAGACACAATTTTGGTACCTTTTCGGGTGACACCCATTAGCTTGACGAAGTTGGATACGCAGGCAGGTTCGGTCGTCTGTGAGCAGCATGCCATTCCATTCCGTGTGCTTCTCATTCCGTTTGCTTCTCAGAGGAAAGACCTTCTCGATATCATTTCCATCTATAGACGATGCCACTTACACTAATCGGCCGCTGATGCTCATAGCCCGACTCTTGTTGCTAACAGTAGTGTAGACGTTTTCGTTTCAAAGTAAATTTTCGAACTCAAGTCTGCCTTCATTTCCTTGCAGCCCATCTTCTGCCACGTTTTCTTTACCTCGGACGTCCAGTACACGGATTCGGACGAGGTGGCGTCGACCCCACCTGCAGGCCTGGTGGAACTGCCCACGTGTCCAGTCTGCCTAGGTACGTCTGTTTTGTGGGTTTAGTTGTTTCTGGTGTTACTGGAGACTCTTGTCAACCATTCTGATATCAGGGAATTACAATTGCCCTAATCGAATGGTTCGCCCGGAAGCACCGAGGCTCTTCAACGAGGCTGATTGGGTTAGGTTCAGATTAAATTGCAAATACGAAAAGGAATACTCAAGTGCGGCGCCCAGCGTGACAGAGAAAGCGGATGTTGACGAAGTAAGCGAGACGGGCAGTCTACGCAAGCAGAAAACAGATAAGTCTGGGTTACATCGGAAAATTGGTGGGTTTAGTGACGCTGCTCAAAGTGGTGACGGGTTTGCAGCTGGCAGATGGTCAGGTCGTTCCAACCGGTTTTTTTGATGTCCCGATCATAGACTTTTGACTTGTCGGTTCTGCCGTCGCTGTCAATGACGTGAAAGAATTCCCAATATCGTCCTGATGAACGAACTTTTCGTCCACTGCCAATGCCCACAACGCCGTCTCCGTCTCCGTTTCGAGGCCTTCTTCCCGTCGCCCACATCTGGATACTATTGCCTTTGCTGAGACGGCTGACATGCGCTGACGTGAAGTGAATTCTGCTGACATGGGTGACAGTACAGGGATGATGCATGCACATACCGAAACTGACGTGGGCCCTGCAATGCTGACGTCTGACCCCTGCCTCCTTTTCAGAACGGATGGATGCGCACATCAGCGGCATTCTCATCACCGTCTGCAACCACTCCTTCCACAGCAGCTGTATATCGAAATGGTCCGACTCCACCTGTCCGGTACGTTCCTGTCTCATGCTGCTCTATGCACCGGTCTTTTTCGATTGGAAGTACTTGTTTCCAATTTTCTTTCGTGCTCCAAGCGGTGCGGATTCACCTTTCCCGGTACGTCCAGGTAATTCGTTCCTTTGAGGATTTCGATAGAATCATTGAGCAATATTAGCCTAGTGCAAGGATAGATAAGCTCAGTGCAAGGATAAGTGCCAGTATTTGGTCGGGTCGGCTTAGTCAATGGGTAGGATGGGTGCGTGCAGCGCTTGAAGGATTGCATCTGCTGTCACAGAATTATGACACTTTCAAAGCCTCCTGCGACATACCTTATTGCTGATGCGCCATAGCGTATGCCCCCAGGTCTGCCGCAACGTCCAAGAGCAGCCGTGCGACTCAGTGAGCGACGACTGCGGCACAACGGAGAACCTGTGGATGTACGTTAACGCAGGGATTCAAGTGACACATTCTGGAGCCTCCTCAGTCGTTTAACCTTGCTCACTTGCCATATCGTATGCCCCCAGGTCTGTCGATACGTCCAAGAACAACCGACTGACTCGGTGTGTGACGACTGCGGCACGACGGAGAACCTGTGGATGTGCGTCATCTGCGGGAACAAACTCAAAATAGACTGAAGCCTCTCACGTCATATCCTGTTGCTGACCCCCATATCCTATGCCCCAGGTCTGTCGATATGTCCAAGAGCAGCCGACCGACTCAGTGTGTGACGACTGCGGCACGACGGAGAACCTGTGGATGTGCGTCATCTGCGGGAACGTCGGCTGCGGGCGCTACAAGATGCAGCACGCGGTGAACCACTACAAGCAGACGGGGCACGCATTCTCGCTCGAGTGCGGCACCCAAAACGTGAGCTTGCAGATTCTCGAAAGGGCGGCTAAAACAATAAGGTGGTCGATATTGGCTGCGCATAGTGACCGGTAGAGCGTAGCCTTCATGAAGGTGAAGGTGATAAGGCGCGAAGGCCGCTAAGATTGCAGAGCGCCTCAGTGTTTCTCCGTTCAAAGAGAGCCCCGTTTGCAGGTCCGTGATCGTCTTTGGCAGGTTTTGCGGGCCCTATAATCTGAGTAGACTCATCTTCAGCACCTTTTCGTTTTTCACACGAGTGCAGAAAAGGGTAGCTATGGCTCTAGATGCAGTTGAGGTCGCCTGCCTTCTTGAACGCGCGCTTTGTTTAGAGCTGGGACGTCCTGAGGTGGTTTTCTTCCCGCTCCCCCATCCTAGCCTGCCGCTTCGCCATCGCCCTTTCTTCTTTGAAGGCCAGGATGGATAGCTTCGATTATACCGCCCCCTCTAGAACTCATAGCCTTGTGCGAGCCCCCTCCTTTCACCTTGGTGAGCCGCTCCAATTTAGCCCCGGAACCCTAACTCGCACCATTTTGTCGAATTTTTGTGGTGTGACGACTTGGGCGACAGCAAAGCCCTTCATCTGGTCGCGTCTTCAGATGACGGCGAACGTGCTCACGTCATCCATCTGTTACACGTCCACAAATGCTTCAGAGGTTAAAATTCGGACTCTGAAATCCATTCATTCGTTTGCGATTCAGGTGTGGGACTATGCTGGTGACGGCTACGTCCACCGCCTGCTTTCGTCTTTGGACGACGGCAAGGTCGTCGAACTCGCGCGCCCGGGACGCCCCGAGGACGTCATCGACGCCGAAATGGAGGTCGCACTGCAGGTGACGTTTTGATGTCGGGTTTTGCAGAATCAAATTTGCAGGATGTTTGTATGGGACCGTGTCTCGGACTTATGTTGACGGAAGTTCCTTCAGATAACGGCGTCCGATTGGTGATGGCAAGACTTGTGCACTCTGTGCACACTGAAGGCACAGATTGTCGAACGTTTGCCTTCTTGAGTCAAGCAGCGGAGAATCCTGTGCCTGAAACAGTACTTTAATTTGTAAGACGTCATGAAGACCGATCATTGAAACGAAGACTTTCCTCTGCAGACGAGCAAATACGACGCGATTGCGATGGAGTACAACCAGATGACGTTGGCGTGCCTGGACAGCCAACGTCAGCACTTCGAGGAGCGGCTCGCGCAGAAAGATCTGGAACGAGACATGGCCGTCGCGCGGGAAGTAGAAAAGGCGAACCATCGAGTGTCGCAGAAGGCGGGGGCGAGGGTCGTGGAGGCCGAAAAGGAGCTGCGAGAAGCGCGGCATGTGAGGATGCGTAAACGTATCTATGTTCCTCTTCACATTGTTTGCTTTCTTTTCTCTCCGTTTTCTGTTTCGGAGAAGCGGAGGAAATTTTTGGTAAGAAAAGGCGAGGAGGGATTCAGTCGAGGTCGAGAAGGAGCTGCAAGAAACGGGGCAGGTTAGAATGCTTTTGAGTATCTCTGTCTTCTTTTGTTTTGTTGGTTGTTCAACTTCGTGTTCGTATCTCGAAAAAGTGGAGAGGCTTTGAGGGAAGAGGCAGTGGAGCAATCAGTCGAGGTCACAAAAGAGCTGCAAGAGGCGCGGCTGGTGAGAACGCTTCTGCTTTTCTCCATCCTTCATCTTCTTCGGCTCCTCATCTCCTTTGTTTGAAACCTTCGTTGGAGAGGTCCGTAAGGAGTTAATCCAGTGGGCACACCTGGGGCTGCTACATCGTTCGGCAGTTTACTCGTATGTACGCGTTCAAGGTTGGCCAAGCTGAGTCTGTGACCCCTTACTCGGTGTCGCGTTCCCGTGCAGATGATCAACGATCTGACGGCTAACGTGAAGGAACTCAAGGGGCTGCTGAAGCAGCGAGAAGACCGGTACGTACCTCATCCATCGCCTGATGCTCATACAATTCGTTTTCCTGATAGAACGGATGGAAGGAGAAAGCGAACCGCAGTTTGCAGTTCCGCACCCCCACACCGCTTGGTACTCTTTGCGCGAATGCCGGTCTGGTAACGTCATTGGCCGGCAAGGTTCAGCGTGCCAGAAGCTGGCGACCTAGCATACCCATCGTCATCCTATAGCTCGGCCGCGAAAGTCGCACCGACGGGTCAGACCATGAAGTAGTACGTACCGTTCGCGCGTGCATCGAGTCCCAGGCGGTGTGGGGGTCTAGTAGCGCGAACTGCAGTCCGCGTTCTCCTTCCACCCGTTCTGATATCCTTCAGTCCCCTCTGAGCGAGGAATGAGTCAGACCAGAGTAAGCAGTGAGAGGACAGGTCCTTACCTCCCCCGGCCTCCCATAGCTCAGCCCATCCGTCCTTCCAACTGACCTTGACCTCCAGCAAGCATCGGACTTTACGTGAGAACGGAGTAAGCTCTATCTAAGCTTCAAACCTTGTCCACACGGAGACAAGGGATGCTTTCGTATCATACGGCGCCTCTGGTTGAGCGAAAGTTGTAGGGCTCGATTTGGCGCTGTCCCGCATCTCCACTGAGGAAACTCGAAGTTTTGAGTCGGCGCGTTGACATGGGAAGCGTTCAGCACCCTATCGGACTAGTGCACGGATCGAGCAGGTTCGAGCGAGCTCTTCCTGCGGATGCAAGCGCCGACCTTTTACAATCGATGTGATCAAGAGAGAAAGAGATCCTGGTATCGCAACGTGCTCTGTGACATCAAGCCCGCGTTAACATACCTCATTAAGCCAGTCATGCAACCCCTCGTTAACCCAGTCGTGCAACTCTCGTTAACCCAGTCACGCACCCCCTCATTAACCCAGTCAGTAAGCCAGTCATGGACCCCTCTGCTGCAGGCATAAGAAGGAGCTGGCGGCCAAGGATGCTACCATAGAAGACCTGAACGAACAGGTAAGGGTCTCGTCGGTCTAGTTGCGTACTTACCTTCTGCATCGTTTGAGCCCCTTGGAGGCAAGAGAAGCTTTTTTATACGACGTCCTGGAATGAAGAGATCCCTCTGGAGGTCAGAAGTTGGGGGTGATTCGAGAGGCAACATTGTTAACCATGATTGAGCCGATGGCGTCACGTGTTGGACTAGATCAGCGTTTCCACACGTCTAAGCGGTAGGTTTGAGGCGCTCCGTGCGGGCTTAGGAAACTTTGACGTACAGCTAAGGTCTATCTCCTAACAGACGTTTGTGTTGTTTTCAGTTTGCCGGTGTTTCTGCCGCGCTTCTCTGTTGCAACGAGTTTTGCTTGGGGAAACTGCTGACTGACCTAGGTTCGACAAGCAATTGCCCCCTTATTCGCACTGAGTGAATTGCTGCCTCGTTTCCGTTGCAAAACCTTGTCCACGAGCAGGGTTTCGAAACTTTGTCTACGAGCAGGGCTCCGCTGGCATTTTTGCTTTGTGTCGTTGCTGACGTCACATTCACGCGTGAAGCCGCTTCTGCTTGATCAAGAAGAGCAGAGCGCCAGACTTCTTCTCTTCGTTCCCAGGTTCGAGACCTTCTCTTCAACTTCGAGGCGCAAAGGACGTTCGAGGAGGCAGCATCTGCGGATCCAGAGCTGCGAGAGGGGTCCGTTCAAGCAGTACCAGCGAACCCCCCGACGAGTGCAAAAAAAGGCGCCAAGCCTGGGCGGAAACGATGACGCTGTGCGGTCGGCTTCAGCAAGAGTTCGACCCTTGTCACCACGTGACAGTATATAAGATTTGCGGTCGGTTCCGCATTTCAATTGGGGGTTGGCCGCGCTCATACTTACCAGACTGTAAATAGAAATTTGTACATTAACCAGAGCATTAGTATATTGACGGGATGTGTTTGGTGACACCATTTGCCTAATGACGTCTCGTAAGGCCGCATCCATTCATGTCGTATGCCACCAGTGGGTAGTGAAATATGGACGTTCTCAACGGATGTAATCCTTGAAAATGTCACAGCTAGGCCCGTCGTCACAATTCTGCACATACCTAGCAGCTCAACGGTGGAGCAAGAGCTTGAAAAAGCATGCCATGCAGCTGGGAATGTGCAATTAAAGTAATGTTTGCGCTTGCCGCCATGACAGGACTCATCAGATATCTGTGTACGTGTTGTTTTTTGGACGCCACGTCCGATCACGCGTTGCTCCGGAAAGGGTTGTGGCACATGTTGCATAGGGTGCACGCGTCATATTCTCAATTGTTAAGCGAGCGCGCACAGATGGTGAATTAATCAAATTAAGTAGGCCAGCGATTGCATGCATGACAGCTTGCAACATTGGAGGCCGGCCCGAGTTACAAATTATTCCCTACTTATTCTCACTTAACCTTAAATTATAGGACGCTAGCGCCGGGCGGCTGGCTCTTCCATGTGCCCAAATGGCGCGTCAGCGGGAATTATATTTCAGTGACTCGTCTCTCGCGCGATTCCATGCAATGATTGGGGAAAGGCCTCATGGTTCTCATGCCATGATGCCCGGGCCAGGAATACAGAAATGTTGTTGTGGACACCGTCAATTCCACGTTAAGTAGAGTATCATACCTGCTCCGCACCCGACGGCCCACCCTAACCACCAAACTGACCCTACCTATACCAGTGCGGTTACCTTACTATCATCTTGGCTTAACTATTATTTTTCTTGAGTTTCATTAAGGTCGAACTTCCCTAATTCCGAGATTCAAAACCCTATTGCCCGTAGCTGAGAATCATGAAGACGTCTTCATTCATATCTCGAGTTTCGCTTGATCTTTTGGAGATTCGTCTTTTGCATGAGCAAAGACACATGAGATGCTATCTTCAAAGCTCTAGTCGGCAGAAATGAGGAGCTCTGGCCACATGCCACGACATGCTCAAAATATGCTTTCTGGGGCGTTTTGGA